ACGTCAACCACAGCGCCTGGCGGCTGTACCGACCGACTACCGAGACTGACGCAGGTCGGTTTCGCAGTCTAATCTACGTCAACCGAAAAGTCTCAACCTCTTCCCACCGACAGATCGCCTGCGACCACCCGGACGTCACAGCAATCAAGATCTGGACAGCCGACTCTCAATTTCTCATCTTTTCGATTTACCTCTCATGCGTTCCACTATTCACGCCGAGCGAGGCGTCGGCAGAACCAGTACTCACGGCAATCCAGAACACACTCACAGCCAACACCCAAGACAGTCAAAAAACAACAAGCGTCACCTTGTCTGGTGATTTCAACCGCCATCACCCGATGTGGGGCGGAAACCATATCCAACCGCGATTCACCGAAGACGCAAGCGAACTGATCAACTTCTTTCAAACACATGGCCTACATAGCTGCCTACCACGGGGGACAGCGACATTTTGGCCCTTCAACGACCCAGGGAAGAGCACCACTATCGACCAGACGGTAACGAACCGCCCGGACCTGCTCGTCAAATGCCATCTCTACCACGAAAACTATGGGTCAGACCACCGCGCAACGTACTCTGAATGGGACTTAAGATCTCAGCGGCAACCCGTTGCTAAGGCAAAGAAAGCCTACGACCGGGCGGACTGGTGCAAGATCGCCCAAGACGTACGTCAACAACTGGGCCCATGGAAGGAGGTGAAAACGAGGCCGGCGCTAGATGAGATAGTAGAAAAGCTCACAGAGGTGACTGCTACAGCGGTGGATAGATACACTCCTGACCTACGACCAACACCATACTCTAAACGCTGGTTCACCCCAGCCCTCAAAATACAACAGACCGAGGTCAACCAGCTACGCCGGACGTGGCAAGAGAGCTGTGCGGAGCTCGGGCGACACGACGCCCGCTCCATGACCCTCTTTCAAGAGATGCAGCACAAACGACGATTATGGACCCGGACTATTGAGAAGGTGAAGGCGTCACATTGGAAACAGTTCCTTGACGAAGCCGGAGAAGGGAAGCTCTGGAAAGCAGCCACCTATATGAAACCACGAGAGGCCTGGGGATGTGTGCCGGCACTACACGTCGACACCAACGAGCTCATACAGAACGAGGACAAAGCGCAGGCCTTCCTAGACGCGTTCTTCCCACAGATGGACGAACCTCACGAGGATCCCCCCACCCAGACACCCCTAGAACTCCCGTGGCAACCTATCACCGAGCTTGAGATTCAGCGATCTCTCAAGGCCGCAAAAGGATCTACCGCACCTGGTGAAGACGGCTTGCCGACACTGGCGTGGAAACAGCTATGGATGCACCTCAAGGTCTATATCACGGGTATTTTCACCGCGTCGGTTAGCCTAGGATACCACCCAAAGCGATGGCGGAGCGCGAAAATTGTGGTGCTACGGAAACCCAAGAAACCAGACTACTCGGTCCCTGGGGCCTATCGCCCAATCTCACTGCTTAACACGCTAGGCAAACTTCTCGAAGCGGTGATGGCGCGACGACTGTCGTATCTCGCCGAAAAACACGGTCTGCTACCGGACACCCAGTTTGGAGGACGACCAGGCAGAACCACCGAACAGGCCCTTTTGGTCCTCTCCAATGCGATAGACCGGGCGTGGTACACACACAAAGTCGTGACGCTGGTGGCGTTTGACTTGAAAGGGGCGTTCAATGGGGTCAACAAAGTGAGCCTAGACGCCTGTCTACGGGCAAGAAGAATCCCAACCACGGCGAGAAAATGGATCGCGAGCTTCATGAGCGATCGCCACGCTAGCATAGGATTTGATGACTTCCGCACCGAGACCACGCCACTGGCGAACGCGGGACTAGCACAGGGCTCGCCTCTCTCCCCCATCTTGTTTGCATTCTTCAACTCCGACCTAGTCGACCAGCCTGTCAACGCTCACGGCGGAGCATCCGCCTTCATCGATGACTACTTCCGCTGGCGAGTAGGCCACTCGGCCGAAGAGAACCTAGCCAAGATCCAATCGGAAGACATTCCCCGTATTGAGGCATGGGCCCGTCGAACGGGGTCTTGCTTTGCAGCCGAGAAAACCGAACTGATTCACATCACCAGGAAAAGACGCGAACAGCTTCAGGGTCAAGTGGTTATGAACGGGAAGACAGTCGAACCGTCACCCACAGCCAAACTGCTGGGCGTGGTGTTCGACCAGGAGCTTCGCTGGAAGGAACATGTCCAGCAAGCGATCAAACGTGCAATCAAGGTCAGCATTGCTTTGGGCGGGCTGCGGCATCTACGCCCTGAACAGATGCGACAGCTCTACCAAGCCTGCGTGACGCCGGTCATGGACTACGCGTCGACGGTCTGGCACGACCCTTTGCGAGACAAGACCCACCTACGACACTTGAATACAGTCCAGAGAACCACATTGATACGCATCCTATCAGCTTTCAGGACAGTGGCCACCACGACTCTGGAAGTGGAAGCACATATTTTGCCAACACATCTCCGACTGCGCCACCGAGCGCAGAACACCATCGCAAGCCTTCACACCCTGCCGCGCGACCATCCGATTTGGGATACACTCCGGCGAGCCCAGAAACGTAGGAACAACATCGGGTCGTACGCTCGGTTCCCACTGGCGGAAGCCCTGAAGACTATGAACCTAGAAAGATTAGATGAAGTAGAGACGATCGATCCACGACCACTGCCACCGTGGCGAGCCGAGTCTTTCACGGATATTGAGTTCGGGTCAGACCGAGAGACGGCAAGAGAACAAGCGGACATGGTGCGGTCCACATCCGCCATTGTGGTCTACTCGGATGCCTCGGGACGTGAAGGCCACCTAGGCGCTGCAGTCGTTGCACTCGACAACAACCTAGGAGTCATCGAGTCCCAGCAGGTCCAGGTGGGACCGATGGACCGATGGTCGGTTCACGTAGCTGAGCTGATAGGTATATTCTACGCTGTCAGTACAGTGTTCAAGATTAGCCATCAACGGCTTAGAACGGAACAAAATGGAACAACAACGGCAACGATCCTCTGCGACAGCAAGTCAGCGTTGCAGGCGATCGAAAACCCAGGAAATAAGTCAGGACAACGCATCATCCACGCGATCCTCCAGGCGGCCGCAGAGGTTCAAGCAAAGGGAATCGCGCTCCGCCTCCAATGGATACCCGGACACTGCGACGATCCAGGGAACGACGCAGCAGATCGGTTGGCCAAAGACGCGGCAAGCCCGGGCAAAACACACCCATTCCGCCCTTTGCTGACAAGGAAGAGAGCACTTATCCGGGACAAGATCCGCGCTCATTGGGAGCGGGAATGGAAAGCATCAACCAAAGGCGGTCACCTGCGAAAAATCGATAGCACTCTACCGGCGACCTACACCAGGAAGCTGTATGGGAATTTGCCCAGGGGCCGGGCGTACCTGTTGACACAGCTACGCACGGGCCACAATTGGCTATCCACCTATGCCAAGACCTTCGGCTTCCGCGACAATGATCAGTGTGTGTGCGGCGCGCAAGAAACAGTCACCCACGTGCTGGTGGACTGTCCAAACTTGAGGGAAATCCGAAGGGAGCTAAGACGTGAAGCTGGGGACGCGTTCAACGACGTGTCGAGTCTGCTGGGAGGCTCAACCGAAGGTAGGAGAGGTAAGCCAGACATCGTGTCGCGGGCTAGGACGGTCAAAGCCGTACTAGACTTCGCTGAGGCGTCACAAAGATTCAAAAGTCGCGCGCCATGAGGGCAGCCTAATAACTTAAACGGCACCTGGGCCATGATAGGCCTTGACGAGGCTCCAAGTTCGTTTTCAGGAAGTGGGACATTACACGTGTACATACAAGGATATATATAGTTGTTGTATCCTGTATATCGCCAAAAGCGAGAGGTCAGGGTAAATGATATCATCCATCCATCCATACTGTACAGCTTATAATGAAGATTTTACTTTTGTTGCTTGAATTCAGCACAATTGAATTAACCAATGAGCAATTGGTACCAGAAAAACAGGATGTCACCAAAAGAGAATTGAACACTCATTGCCTAGATTTCACAACAGAGGGTTTAGCGATTTGTTCATTGAAATCAGTCCGCCCTAAATACATTCCGTTTTCCACCATATATCTCCTTAAATTCACTGATGGTTGTTGAATATAATCGTGCAAGGCTCTGAATTCAGGTGAGAACACGTTGAGCGTTTATACCTGCAGGCTGAGGGTGCTTAAATTGTTGTTGTTTGCCAGAACATAGCAGCTATTCAACTGAGCCTTACAAAAAACTGCTACGGTAGATTTCGTTCTGGGATGAGTAAAGGCCAATGATGAATGGCAAAATATCAACGCAATTTGGTTTTCCTTTGCCACACTGTCTGATTTGAGTATGGAAAGAACGAAACGCGTCCTGTGTGCGTCGTTGACCCCGCTACCCTATACACTGCAAAGTAGATAATGGGTCAAAGAGGGATCTTGGCCAGCTCCCTCTTTGTTGGTTTCGGCTTGTGTGAGTATAGCCTCCCGGCGCGACCAATTTTTGGCTTGGCGACGGGCGCCCGACGATATTCGAGTCTACGCTGCTTTCGTCGAGCCGGCCCGATCCATAACCCCACCAATTCAACTCTCCCCTCGCGCGTCAGCTACCGCACGGTGTATGACTTGTAGAATCACCCGAGGAATGCGATATGGATGGGAATAATCAGGAACGCCCTGACCGAGCTAAACCTTCAAAACCAAGGGCGGTTTCCATCGGCCCCCCTTAGTACTATTCCCGGAGACAGGGAGAGTCATTCTTCTCGTGATAAGGAACATGCGGTTGATAAATCGCGCGTATATTTAGCTATATATCCTCCCTGTACGACTCGCACAGAGTTATTCAATCTGGCTATTTCACGGTCGTAGTTATCGACAACTCTGTATGGCAAGGATTTTGGGTCTAACACCCATCACTAGTAACCACGCACCAGGGGAGATGGACTGAAACCGGGTTTGATTTCGCGGGAGCTAACGACAAAAGATCTATCTTGGAGACTGTATCAGGGCATTTCTACATAATCGTCAAAGCCTGGAAGTGCTGGCGGATCAGGCATAGAAAATGTCGACGCATTAACATCCGGAACAACTGGGTTGTCGAGCATATCGAATTGCTTGGACTGGTCCAGCCAGGACCCTTGAGCCACATCGGAATCTGATAGGAATGTGCTTATGTATGCGTTTTGAGACGCATTTATTCCCGCTTCAACCATTTTGGTCACGGACGAGGAGGCATCAAACAACTCCTTCAAAATCTTCTCATGTTCTTTCCGCGAAACGTAGTTTGTGCTGTCCAGGGTCGCGTCGTCCAAGCGCTTTTCCAGTTCTTGTGTCTTCTGCTTGGACTCATTGAGCTCCGACAGGAGCTTTCGGACCTTGCCTTGTAGTTGCGCTTTTTCAAAGTTCCACCTCCGCGCAGTATCTGCGGCCTCTTTTAGTTGCGATGTGAGCTTTCGACGATCTTGGTCGGCCTTCTTGAAAATGGCGTTGCAATTGGCGTGCACAATGTCAGACTCTTCGCCCTGCGGATGTCTTTCCGGGCCGTGCGCGGGGAGCGCCTAGCAATGTCGAGGCCAAGGTTAGCGCGATTTCGACTTTACATTCGAAGATGACAATAGCATACTGGTGGTCTTTGTTGTGTTCCCTGATTTGAAGGTCGAGGGGGTCTGTTGGCACGCTGGGGAAAAGGTTGACCGGGCTGAACAGTAGGCGCTCCGACCCGTGTCTTTGGGGCAGCGGTTCCGGTCCGGGTCCGGGAGGCCGTGGGCATTTTTGGCATGACGTGTGAAAAGACAATTTAACGTGATAGTTTAGCAAGTTCTGCAAGCTCGCTAAAACGGATGAGGGGGCTGTGGCTTCGAACTCTTTCGTAGATAGATAAATTCAAGGCTGCATCCTGGATTTATAGCTCGAAATGAACAGGCCGTGTACGCGTTGTGATCTCGGCTGAAGTTAATGATCGCCTAGCCTTTGGTTTCATCCATTGAGTGACCATAACCGGTGTGCGTGGGACTGAGTAACTCGAAAGGAGTAATTCGAACTGATTAATTCGAACTGATTAATTCGAACTTCCGACTTCCAGCTGAGTAATTCGGATTACCCATAAAGGCCCAAAGAATTGGTAGCAGCTAATTCATCTATTAAATATATACGCTGATTTTAATCTACATTGACTATGGGCGAAAACGTCTTTCGCTGTTTAGTAATTAAACGGCCATCCCCATTTAAGAGACCGAGGAGGCAATTTATGTCTCTATGCCGCAGCATTTCGTAGATATTTAGGTGAAAGACAGAGTGAATAAACCACATCTTAGATTCAACGTAGGAATCACTCGCCTTGGGTCAAGATGGGTGGAACATCAGATTGGTGGACGTGGAGCAACCACGAAATATTGAAAGTAATTAATCTTTCTTCGCGGATCTGTCAGGCGGTGAGACCGGATTAGCCATCAGGGCAGACGAGAGGCTGGGCTCGCGCAAGTGGTCTCCCTCGGCTGCCCTACTGACGTACAACATAAAAGAGTAGCCCTACCCAGGGTTTAGGAGGCCAGAATCCAGAATACTTTCTGTTCTCCCCTACCTGGCCTTGAGAAAGCCTTGTATTGTAGTGCCTCCGCGTGGCCTGATAGCGTTTGCTCCCCTACCCGACCTTGAGAAAGTCCGGTATTGTAGTGCCTCCGCGTGGCCTGATAGCGTTCGCTCCCCTACCCGACCTTGAGAAAGTCCGGTATTGTAGTGCCTCCGCGTGGCCTGATAGCGTTCGCTCCCCTACCTGGCCTTGAGAAAGCCTTGTATTGTAGTGCCCCCGCGTGGCCTGATAGCGTTCGCTCCCCTACCCGACCTTGAGAAAGTCCGGTATTGTAGTGCCTCCGCGTGGCCTGATAGCGTTCGCTCCCCTACCTGGCCTTGAGAAAGCCTTGTATTGTAGTGCCCCCGCGTGGCCTGATAGCGTTCGCTCCCCTACCCGACCTTGAGAAAGTCCGGTATTGTAGTGCCTCCGCGTGGCCTGATAGCGTTTGCTCCCCTACCTGGCCTTGAGAAAGCCTTGTATTGTAGTGCCCCCGCGTGGCCTGATAGCGTTCGCTCCCCTACCCGACCTTGAGAAAGTCCGGTATTGTAGTGCCTCCGCGTGGCCTGATAGCGTTTGCTCCCCTACCCGACCTTGAGAAAGTCCGGTATTGTAGTGCCTCCGCGTGGCCTGATAGCGTTCGCTCCCCTACCTGGCCTTGAGAAAGCCTTGTATTGTAGTGCCCCCGCGTGGCCTGATAGCGTTCGCTCCCCTACCCGACCTTGAGAAAGTCCGGTATTGTAGTGCCTCCGCGTGGCCTGATAGCGTTTGCTCCCCTACCTGGCCTTGAGAAAGCCTTGTATTGTAGTGCCCCCGCGTGGCCTGATAGCGTTCGCTCCCCTACCCGACCTTGAGAAAGTCCGGTATTGTAGTGCCTCCGCGTGGCCTGATAGCGTTTGCTCCCCTACCCGACCTTGAGAAAGTCCGGTATTGTAGTGCCTCCGCGTGGCCTGATAGCGTTTGCTCCCCTACCTGGCCTTGAGAAAGCCTTGTATTGTAGTGCCCCCGCGTGGCCTGATAGCGTTCGCTCCCCTACCCGACCTTGAGAAAGTCCGGTATTGTAGTGCCTCCGCGTGGCCTTAAAGCGTTTGCTCCCTCTGGCGAAAAGATAGACACCTCTTCGTGGTGCTGGAGACTAGTACACAGACCACGATTGTTCTGGGGAAGCTAAGATCTATCTTCGATATCTTATGTTAGACTATTTACAAAGTCCTTTTGAAATTTATATCTAGTATCGGAGATGACCAGAATAGCCAGTCACTCGCTGCTCACCTTGCAGTCGTAGTAATAGAGTCCATTTACCCCAACCCCCGCAAAGCCATTTGTAGCCTACAGCATTTATCCACATCCATGCATATATTTACATTCAGGGTGTACTACTTCGTAAACGAATTTGGAGCCTTGCCGAGGCTTGTCGTGGCTTAGTTGCCATTGGTGCTCGCTGCTCGTATTGCGCGGGACTTCGAAGACAGCGCCCACCGTCTTGACACGCGATGCGTCGTCTGGCTTACCCTTCCTTCCCGCTCCAGAGCCTCGCAGTAAGGATGACGCACTGCTGAGCGCGTCGACTACCGCCGAGTACAACCATTGTCGAAATCGGCTTGGCCGTTACACGGGAAGTAACTATTTCCTAGTGCGTCACCAGGGCTTTACAGCAACATTCGAAAACAGTTTACCCCTCAGACACCCACACTTCGTTTCTCGGCCCGTACCCGGGACAACACTAGGCAAGATCCAGCTAGCTCGTAAATGAAACTGATCTATAAGTGGACAATATCTTACCACTGGTCCCAATAAGTGTTCAACTTGTTTCGGGTACGGGCCGACAAACAAAGTGTGAGTGTCTTGAGGGGTAAACTGTTTTCGAAAATCGCTGTACAGTAGCGCAGATAACATATTGAGCAAGCCGAAGGGCAACAGAAAAATGCTTGAGTATAGTTCAGTATCTTGCCCCGTGGAGTCGAATTCGAAGATTTGACTATTGAACGGTACTGTGCATGTTTACTATGCTATATGGCGGCATAACACAGACGACGTCACAATACTGCGGGCCTGAGCTTGATGCGGCTTGCTTCATAAATTTTCTGCACTCAAACTGGCGCCAGGCCGGAAAGGGCAATGCAAATAGACAAGCCAGAGCAGATCTTTCACAAGAAAAGCTCAGGGGGCATATACAGGCTTTCTATGTCAAATCACCAATAGAGGCTGGGGTAGAAAGAAAATTAGAGGCGCCAGATATTATACACACAAATCGCATGTCCTCACAATAGTGATGGCACTGAGCCTCAGCTACTTGTTTTACTCCAGTTGTTGTCTCAATCCCTCCTCTGACCATAAAATAACCTTAAAGTAGGCAACTTCCGAATCCCAACTCAGAGCTTTTTGCAGGTCTACCGGCAGTGTGCGGCCTAATATTTGTCAGTGTATCAGCCTTCACATCCCCCTAAAGCTAAGCTGTACCCATGTAGCAGGAGAATATTTGTCTGTTCTTTGTGGCTCAAATTAGGCACATTTAAATTTTCTCACGATGGCTCCAGGCAACCCATGGTCAAACGAGGAGGTAACAATCGCTGTCTACTTCACGTCTCGAGGTGTTCGACCTAAATCTGTCCGTTGTTTACTCGAAAGAAGAGGATTCGATCGGTCATGCTATGCTATTGAGTCCAAAATTGCCCTTGTACTAAAGAGACACAAACATCTGAGGGGACCTAGGAGATTTTGGGACTGGAGAAATGTCGATAGGTGGATCGATGATCTATTTGGGAATCATGAATTGGTCAACACGTTAATCAACTTCGTATCTGAGGACGCTGAAGACGTGAGATTGGTAAGCTAAGTGTTGCATTTCCACTTCGGTCCTGTTTGCTAATAATGCATAAGAATCAATCAGTTCACAGCCTCCTCGAACAATTTTCAACCCATCGGCAATGGAGTCCTCCAGGGTATAACGGCTTATTGAAAAAAGAAAGCACAAAGGAGAAGCATATGAAAAGGTGTCAATTAATGACACATTAATTGAATGGCTTTTGTAGGACCGTTAGCTGGAGCCCTATAAATTGAGTATATTGAATAAATCAAACGCCTTCTCTACAAATAACTTAACACGAGGTAGCTTGTCCACTCGGGCTCTAGGCAAGACATAGTAGATGTTAGCTAAGAGATTCGCCACTGGCCCCTAGGCGACGGTACTTGCCTTCTCTTCTCCATCCGCCATGACACCTCGCAAGCCTAACGTTGCTAACAACATTTCCTGTTCGATGGAAAGCCGTTTGTTTTGCACTCCATTGATGAGTCAGGGCTGTCCCTGGCTAGATTTCCGACCATTAAGTAGATCACCGAAGATTGTGCGGATTGGTGGCAATCTTGTGTTTTGCTTTATTTGTGGCTCGCGACTTTCAGCAATTCGTGGGAGAGAGGCTGTACGCGTTGGGATGATTTGTGGTCTAGTGGAACCAACGATGTTCATTTCAGCCGCAGTATTGGCACAGCTGGTGCCTGTAGCTCGCCCAGTGATTTCTTGTCTCGTCTCCCGCCACTGAATGCTTTCAGTTGCTTGTTGTGAAGGAATATACTGCTTAGGAGCCATCAGCCACCTGTCAGACTTGTACCTGCTATCCATGCTATAGTGAGTGATGGGGGATTCCGGTTGACTGTGGACCAAATACCTGTTATCAAATCTCGCTACTTTTTCCAGCCTATCCATCCTCTGGTGCTTTTGCCACCGAAGGCGACAGGCAAGATGTGATCTTCCAGGAAGCTCCTCACTTATGTCCGTCCATGTGCAGCCCTTGCTTCGAAGATTGATGAGTTTCTGGAACTCTCCCGGTGTCCATGATCCAGGCCTCGAGCGTGGAGCTTGGTGCCGCTTCTGGGTATTAGAAGCCTGACCTGGGGTACCATGGCATTGCAAGTAGTGGGCGGGAATTGGGGCTTTCCGCTGTTCTATCCGATCAGGAAGAGCGCAGTGGTAAGATACACCGGATCTTGGCTCTCCGTGTAACGGGCTTTGTATAGCCCGCGAGATAGAAGGTGCATCCCAATTTGTAGGGTTCATAATATGGAGGAAGGAGAAGTGAGGAGCTGGTAGGTGGGGAAAAAGCCGTCTGGCCACAAGAAGTAAATATAGCAGGGGATTGCGAACTCAAATAATCACGAGGGGCACAATATTTTCGTCCGATCCTAAGAAGGTGATCAACCGATGATTTACTCACAGGCGTGGTGGCTAGGCTAGGCTGACTGCCTACCTTCAAGTTAATCACAGTATTAATCGCACTGACCAATTTTCCAAAGAATTTGCTTCTGGCATACCCAGACGACCAATGCATAATCCAAAAGTGAACTCGTCTTCAACTTGTACGCCTCGCCGATTCACCGTACAGTCGGCCTATTCTTCCTCTGCCTAGAGATAAACACGCTTCTTCGTTCGCAAATATGGCTTTATGACATGACTACTTGGTTCCCAAACATAATCTGCGATAATCTCGCGGTTAATCTACTTTGAGTACCGCTTCTACCTCGCCGCCAGAGACTGCTTCGGTCGCGTGTGGACGCAGATTTCTGGTCTCATAGCTCAGTAATTCAGGTGATGGGTACCGCAGATGTATCATTACCCGATCGTATCTTTTCCCGCCCGTTGCTATCGAGGCCTTATATACCTAGAATTTTAATTCCCTCTGGCCCAGAAATGACCCTTCTTAGTTCGAGACGAAGGCCGAGAGATTCATCCGCCAGAGTCATATCCTACTACAGTGTCGTTTCTCATGTAGGAGGCGATGAAGTCATGTCTACCTTTATCTCTTGCTGATCATGAACGTATTTCTGAGACTAGCATGGGTAGACCGAAGCTCCTGTATCTAGTGACTGGACTCACTATACCTTGTAAAGGAATGTCATCTGGATATCTCAAGATCTTGTTATCGGTGCTTCGGCTTCATTTCTGTAGTATGATTTGAACGGGGAACACGGAAGGCTAGGATGGATCCGCTTTGAGGGTAGCTTTTCTTTCCTTAATCGAGTCAGGAGTTCTGTCGGAGTCCAGAATCCACCCCAAATCCATGTCTCCACGCACCACCCCTCAGGGTTAAAGCACTGACGCTACCCGTGAACCGTCTTGTGATCGTCGGTACTAGTAAACTTACGCCTAAGGTACAACTGATACGGGCGGCGCGGCCCTGAAACCAGACGTGGGACGAAAAACTGGTAGGGTAGGAGGAGCCCCACAGCAATCCGGAAGGTAAAGACAAGGCCGATAGGCTGAGAAAGCAGACCGGAAGAAGCACTGAAACGACGGTTGGTCACCGTCCCTGGCTTGCTCCGAACTGTTCAACTGTATATCAGCTGCTGAAGCAGGTAACGGAATTATGCTTCTCCTGCCTGAACTGTTCAGAACAGTAAATAAACATGAATAATGGCCTAGTCCGTACTTCCAACTTAAAATGGTCAAAGCTCTGATTTGCGATACTGTAAGCATCGGACAGAGCCGTTATATGCCTCTAGTGATCTGCATTGCTCCATGAAGTGCGTGATCAACTTGGGCCTCATATTTCGTGAACACATGTAAGGAACTCCACTCGCTCAGCATTTGTGTGTATGAGATTTCGGTGATGCCCGTGACAGATGGTCAGCTATTAGTCGACCAAACCAGGTTTCATCCCTCCCAAGAGCGTAGTTTTTCCCACAGCTCTTACGTCATATAGATCTTCCAAATGCAATCTATGGCGTATATTGAATATTGGCACCAACTCGTGCCTCGTTCGCGCTCGCTTAAGGTTTCCCTCTTATTTTGTCCTCCCTCAACTCCTAATATCTTTCGGCTAGGAGGATTAGAATTTTAAGGCCCCGGTATCTTAAACTCGGGGAACACATATACCGAGAATATATATTGCCAGCTAGGCCCATCAACTCAGCTTCAGCCAAGAGCGGAAATGCCCCGATTTAAAATATAGAGTATGAAGGCAGCCCTGCGATGTGAGGATTCCTCCAGTCACATGGATTCTTAGACATCAAACTTCAAGAAGAAAGCCCCATATAGGCTCATATCCTTCCCACGACACGAGTGCAAACCAACGATCAGAGTGACACATAGACTAAGGTGTTGATCCCCTTCACTCCAGTAGCACACTCAATTGACAAATGGGTGTAGCAGTGGGAGGGAGTAAGATTGTTATTATGTATATTGGCATATCGGTATAGTTTATGTAGAGAGATATTGTTGCAACCACCTACATGCCTAACGGCAAAGCAGGAAGCTTAGACCGTTTTCATACTAGGTCCCGTAATCCGCCACAGTATTGTGGTAAAGGGATCCCATGCTCTGACTTTTACCCCCTGCAACCATCTGCTCCGGTGATATGCCTATAGATCTGCCAAAAGTTTTGTGACTCATAGGACGACTGGCCGGGTTGCGGGCAGAAGGGCTCTGATTCTTGGCCAATGGATCTATCAGTACTAATTCGCATAGACTATAGCTGTGTAAAGTAGGCAAGGTTGGATCACTCACCCGGATTTTTGCTGACCCGTAAAGGGAGATGTTGGCGACCACCCTCATCGGTCGAGCTGTCTGCTGATGTATGGCGCCGAGCAGTCTCAAGCTGCCGCATCTGACGTAAGATTCGACGAGCTTGAGGGTTGGGTTCCCTTAGTTGAAGCGGCGGGGGAGACGCAGGGAGCACCGCCCATATCGTCTGCTGCCGATGGCGTGTCTGGCGTGTCTGACGTGCGGCTATCTGGTGTAGCTTAGCTGCCCTCTTTGAAATGGGGCGTTGCCGGCGGTGTCCCTTCTGCAGTTGATCCAATTTCCCTCGTATCGAGTGTGCTGATCGTGGGATCTTGAATTGTCGAACGTACTCTTGCTCTATTTCCTTCCAGGGAAGGCCCTGACGCTGATAGCGCGGCACCCATTTCGGAAGGTTTTCCTCTTCTTCGGGAGACCATGGTATGTATGGACCTTTTGTCACTGTACAGACATGCGCCATCACCATTGACACTGGAAGGTAGATCCTCAAGAATGGTAGGTGGAAAGCGCAATAACTCGACACGGTCTGCTGGTGAATAAAAAGTTCACCTAGAAAAGGTGGGCAGAAGGCGATTTAATCCAAGCGAAAAATTTTTTTTGTCTTTTTTAGAGCCGATGGCCGTATTAGCTACATGATAATAAAACGCTGCCCCACACCAGCTATCTAGCCCCAGTCAGTTTGAGAGGGCTAGGTGGGGAATTTATAGCGCGTTATTTTGCGGAGTCCAGTTGCAGGGGTCACAAACGGAGTTATTAAATGAATATTCAATTAAAGGACAATGATTAAACCAGCAATTAAATAAGCAGTAGATTTCGTCTCTCGCCGATTCAGCAATTGACCGAGGTAGAAGAGCAATGATTCAACTCAGTCAACACGCAACTTCACCAATTTACACAGTCTTGCACCACTGGCTCTTAGGTTTTACTAGTAGCATGCATTTGTGTGATAGCCAGGTCTTCTCTATCCGCTTTGATGTACAAGCAGATAACCATGTCATCCTAGAGGTGCTGCAGTGAAATTAATCATTTCGTCAACATTCCCTTAGCCGGTCACCCGAGCAGGGGAGTAAATGCCAAATAGCGATGTATCTCCGCTCCTACTGCTATACTCCTCTAAGATCGATTGGCAGACATGGCCCGCAGATGTCTGAAACGTAGGTAGAAGATGCCTTTCCCCTGGAGTATCTTTCGGCGGGCCCGAGGAATATTTACCGGAAGTCTTGGATAGAGGGCATGTAGACCTAAACCCTCGTCGTGAGGCGCAATAAAGTGTATGTGAATTTGTGCTCGTAGGGGTTTCTGTCCTATCATTCTGGAGGTTAAAGACTTGCTCAGAGCTCCATCAGTCAGTAGGTGAATTATCAATGCCATGCGCGTTGTGCGGCTTTATGTGCGGCTATTGCGGAATTAGTCCCCTACCGCGCTGCTCGAACTACCAGAGGACAAAAGAAGAGCTAGGCTCGCGCTTGGTCCCCACTCCTTTGGGTATATATTCTATCCTTTCCTCCCTGGGAGGAAATGACTTGTCCAACTTCAATCTTTGTAACATTCGGTACGCTCGCCTCGCTTAATTCATTATGGCGCATAACGAAGCGGATGATTGTTCACTGGGGTATGCAGCTCAATGGCTCAAAATGCGAGACACCAAGCCATTTGACATTTCGAGCACCGCCGACTCGCCGGCCGCTGAGCAAGATGAAGATTGCGAGTACGATGATGATCAGACTTATGTGGATGAGGGTTATGTACAGACGGATAATGGCAATACGGATGTATTAGACGGCGGATACTGCGCTCCGGGCACACACAGCGGTGAATCTGCTCAAGATGTGCCCCCCGAGCTCCATGGGTGGTTTTGTACCGTTTACACCGAGTAAGCCAAATTATTGACCTCTGATCAAACTCATTCTCGGGCTGACATGGCTTTTAGGTTAGATGCCCAGGTGAGGTGAGTATGGACAGAGTCCTGAAATATATTATAATGAGTCATCGCTTCTTGATACGAACTGGTATACTGATTCGATCTTACAGTGACCTGAAGGACCAGTTCTACAGGCAGGACGGGTGGAACGAAAATGCGCAGAAGAGTTTGGAGACGGTGGCTCAAAAATATGATGAGATGCCGGCTATCCAAGAAGCCTTGGCCATAGTGCAGGCAGACATTGCCGAACTCCGAGAGGCTATCGCAGCGTTGGAAGGAAACAAAGGCAAAGATGGGGTTGTTGGACGAAAATCTAAGCGTCTCCCATAATGAGACCCCGAAGTGTACCAAGTGTTGAAGGCTATAGGTAATCGAGTGATACGATGTTGGGAAGAGAATAATGATGCCCTCTAGGTGGTGGGATATGCCCTTAGCTACCAGTATTATAGTATTATGTTATGAAAAGCCCGCACTCGAGCGGAATTGCAAATATGGTCCGGTCTTTTGTCTGTTTTGGAAACAACGTAGTCGATCTTTGATGGGAGAATATGCGCTACTGTCCCCACCCCGCCCCTCCCACCAAGTATCCTCTCGTCCTCCGCGACATACAGAAAACGAAATAAGCTAGATTATCACTGAGCTATAATATCAAAGAACATTATAAAATTCTTATGGATTTCTTTATAACAGTAGCATGCAGCATTCCTCCCAAAATCCCATCGGTATTACAGTACCGGACTTACCAAGGAGGTTTTGTATTGTCCCCACATAGAACCGCCAAGCCACCGTTATAAATAAGCTTCGCCCTACTGCAAGAGAAACACGGTATATCCGATGGGGGCCAACGGTTCTTGTGGTAAGTGTATCCTGTATTTCCGACCCATCATGAACGGGCACATCAGCAACTACGATCACCGAATCAGGAAATGCAGCAAAAGCCTCGTCAAGTTTGTCTAATACCCATTGGAGAGTCAGGTATGCCGCCATTGATATTGAGGCTTGAGTTTTCGCATAACCACCCCTCGCGAATCAAGGCAAATAATCTGTGTTCCCCTCTTCTCACTGCGGCGCAACATGTCAGGCCAGGAACAAATGGGGGCAAGCTATGAGCTACGGCTACTGACCGGCCTGGTTATTTTCCACTTTTAACGCAGATCAATACATGACTCGGATGTCATGATCTCGATCCACTCTATGTTTCATCCGCCCTGCTTGATTTGGATTTAGTCCTAGCTTCTTTTCTTTTTCTTTCGCTGATTATTTCGGCTCATAGGTGCGCCGACCGAGGGATGCCATACATACAAACAGACATTTCTCCCTGACCGACCCTCGGGTGTAGCACCAAAGGGAAGGTAGTACCGCTGGACACTCAAGCGCGGAAAATGTCCGTTTCAGCGGTTGTGTCGATCCTTCTTTCGCCTAATTTTCTTTGATGATTAATTATTACTGGTTGGCGGCAGAAGAAATAATTCTAAATTTTATAGCAAGCGCCTGGCTACGTCCTGTGCGTGCGGGGCGATGCGGCAGAGGATCAGCAACGGTGGGACCGGTCAAGCATGGGCCTCTTTGAGATCCACTCATCAATCTTCCAATTCATCATATTAACACTTGCCAAACGGCTCCACGGTTCTACGACAGTCAGGCCAAATCAAGTTAATCGAGGTCTTCGTACATTGTACATTCGAGAGCCTGTGGGCTATCAGCCACCACGTAATTCCACCGAGACTCAGTTTCTGGGCGGAAAGTTCGACTGTCTACACTTTTCGTCTATAGTGCGCCATTGAGTATAGTGAGAATATGGTTTGCTCGAAGACTGACTTAATCATGGCAATAGGCCTACTATGACGTTGCTTTTTCTCGCCTGTCGTACCTCATATTGGGTCAGTGTCATGGAAGGGTGGCCCTCCCGCTGGTCTTGCCATTGGACTCGGAAGCCCCGGGTACTCCATCTAGGTGAACCGCGATACCGTTTTGGTCATAGCAGCATCGTGCGATTCGCACAAGATCATCCCGACACAAGACTTGTGAAGGGTGGCCCGACAGTATTTGGAATTAACATCTGGGTCCTCGATACGGTTTCAGCCCATATTTCGTAGCAAATCAGGGTACAGCTTGAACCGCAGCTCTCGCTTAGCGAACCATAACTTCATCCACATGGTTGCACTCCCCACGCCGCGGGAAAGTATATCACAGGATGGGACCTTTTAACTTGTAGTATTCCAGACGAAACTTCATCCCCTTTCAAGTGGCGATCTGTAGGTGTGCCGTTAGTTTAAGAATGAGGCTGACATGCAAAGGGTGAATCACACGCAGGGGGAATCAGTGGAGACGTCGGCAAATCCCCAACCATGATTTTGGATCATCAGTGGATCTCAATCTTAAGGCAAACTAGTCATTGATTGGAGGCAGCTTTCGAGCAGCCTAGACCAGGTGATCTACACAACGGTGGATACCTAATCCGGACATCGCATTATTTCCCCGTCTTGGCAAAAGTCGGGATAACGGATCAACCTTCATTGTTTAAATTGCATGTTGTGTGTTACTAAAGGGTTTGTTACTTTAGTCTTAACCAGTTGGCAGAGATAGGGTATAGTAATACAGCGTGTCGATTGGCCCGTACACATTTGACCCGACAAAGTGCAAGCCAGAGGGGGTAAAAGGCTTTTGGAATCCAATTTTTATCGAGAAGAGAATCAACTCGATAAGTATTATTTGATCACTTCTCCTGGCATTGTATTATACGTGTACAAAGGCGGCAGCCCCATCAAACAATTGGAAGTAGAGGGTATTGGTGCCATTTCGTTTGGAACGACCTGATTTTCGTGCAGCATTAACTGCTCGGCCTGTGTCCAAGAGCTTTGAGCAACATCGGAAGAAGGCTTAACGCCGCTCAGGTATATGCTTTGGGTTTCATCTCTCTTTGAATCGATTGTTCTTGACACGGACGAAGAGACCTTGCGCAAGTCTTCTAATATTCTCTTATGTTCTTCCCGTAGAAGATAGATCTGATGGTCCACAGTCGACTCCTTAAGGCGTTGTTCCAAATCGATGTTCTTTTGTTTCGACTCGTTCAGCTCTGACGTGAGCTTTCGGAGTTGTGCATTGGATCGCACCTTTTCTGTGTTGCACTTGCGCGCAGCATTCGACGCCTTTTCAAGTTGCGCCGTGAGCTGCCGACGATCTCTGTCGGCCTTTTCAAATATGTACTTGCAGTCGGCATGGACAAGGTCGGAATAATCTTCTTGGGTGTTTTCATGCGGACGGTTTTCCGGGCCGAGGGAAGCAAGTGCCTGTGAATAACGAGCTCAAAGGTCAGCATTACTCCTACACCCTCAACAAAAACGACAAAATCATACCACACGTTGCCGCGTTTTTCTCTGGGTTGAGGCACGAAGTGGACTATTGACGCCAGGGGGAGAGGGTGAAACTGGTTGGGAAGGTGCCCTTGCCAGTGTGATTGGGACGGCTATGGCGGGAGCCACTACCGATTGAGTGGCTTTGCCCTCTGGCATGGCAGAAGGCAAGAAAGGGGCGTAGTAAAGCTCCGCTGAACTAGGACAGCCAGCGAAAAAGAATTAATGAGTTGTATGCTCATTTTTCGGCGGCAGGAAGCTCCCAGTTTTCAACCTGCTAGTGTGATTGGAAATGGTTCATTCGTAGAATTGCTTGTAATGCACGCCCCACGGGCGATCGACAGGGCCCACTCGGGGGTATTTCTGCTTACATCCGAGGTCCGTTTTCTTTTACCCCTGGCGATCAAACAACCCGATTTGGGTGCATGCATGATTAACGCCTGGCTTGTGGTGTACCTCACCTTCAATATAAGTCCAAAACGAAAAGAGGAGCTGCTCAAGTTTCATGACGTGTACGGCCTGAGCTACGGGGTATATCGGACCGGGAAAGAGTGGATGTCTGGGATATGCCCTAGGAATACGTTTCTTTATCCCTACCACCACTCGTAGTGGAGTTGTGCTAGTCAATTCGAAGCTACAGGGCACGTGCTCTCTGCTTTGTTCTTTTTACTATAGTAGATTTATGTTTGTAATGAAAACTACCTTGTTCAAGCCCTATTCAACTGCACCCGTAAAGCTAGATCTAGTCTGCCTCCAAAGAGGCGATCTGGTCATCGAGCCGTATAACCATCTGCTCAGTGTCCCTGTGAGATAGAGCTGCGGCCACTGCGTCCCGAAGCGACTTAGCAATTTTGGCATAGTCTGCCCGTCTGCCTCTCGTATGGATTTGTTCAGGAGTTTGGAGACACTGTTCACCGAGAGGTCTTGAATGATTGACCCGAGTTTGGTCTTCAAGTAGTCCCGAAGGTCTCTTGCCACGCGAACAAATCCAGAGACATACTTCAGCACAACTATCTCGCAGTATAGACGGTGCGAGATCAACCAATGGTTTTCCGTCCAAATCCGCATCGCAGGGGTGGTTTTCCTTGATCGCTCTTGCCAAATCCACCGCTTCTAGAGCAACCTTTAAACTCTTGTGCTCCGTACAGAGAGCAATTGCGTCTGTATGGACCAATACGCCCTCTCTTAAGCCGTACCATGCAACACATTCTTCGATTTGCAAATAACATTTGATCTCCAGCGCCCACAAAACCGCACGCTGGAGACGGGCTTCCCTTGCTGCAATAGGAGTAGATGTCATAGCAACACGGGCTTTCTCGGCGACCTCGCTCTGCCGATCTATTGGCTGTTGCAACTTGGGGGGCAAGATATTCTTGCGCCAGTGGCGAAGCAGTTCGTAGAGCGAACGAATATCACCGTACGCGATACCTGTGGCTTTCACTGTGGTATTACACAGCTTTTTGGCTATCTGACGCGCAACGATGGACAAGCTGAGTATGGCATCGAGATAACTTCCCGCTTCATGTCGCAGAAAATCCTCCGTTGAACCAGGATTGTGGTCTAGTATGAGAGACGTGCTCTTCTGATTGAGGCAACGGAAAGCATCACGGCCAAACACGTCCCAATATAGAAGCGTAAAGCGCTCGTCAACATGTGCTAAGGCTGCCGAAGGATCCAACTTCCTTGGTGCGCGATTCCGAGACTGCAGGCTCATCAGGACTAGGGCGTCATGTGACATAAATCGCTTCCATATGGTTGTTGGGGGCTTGTGAGCTCGATCGAACTTAAAATCAATCAACAGGGCAATCGCCTCAAGATCATCGAGACGAACTATTGAGCCGGTTTGGACGGCTTCAGTCTTCATGAGATGCTTCATGCACGCGATGGCAAGGCGCTGCTGCTTCTTCCATTTGTCTGCCGCTTTTGTGTAAGATATACCGCAACAGGCGATAGCTGAAAGAAGGGCGGGACTGCAGCGGTCTGCGTAAAAGTCCAGCCAAAACGCATGCTCTGGAACAAAAGGTCGGTAAAGGCCCGGGAAATCAAAGTAAGCATGGAGCGACTCGACATAAGCGCTCGTGTCGCCGCATAAGTCAACTAGATGCGAAGGGAAAGTTGCGCCAGGATGAGCTATCTCATCCAACAACAATTGAAAGAAGTGGCTTCTCGCTGAGCGAAAAGCACCGGACCTAGTATCATGGCGAATGAACTCGTGCGCCACAGCCGTCGTCGCCTTTTCAGTGTTCTGTGATTCTGAGCTGCTTGAGTCTGAGCTTGACTCAGCAAGAGGGGTGGTGTGCGAATTCTGTGGGCGATGATTGCCAAAGACACGTTGGAGGAACAATGAATGTTCAGAGCAGGGTTCGAGGAAGCTACCCGAGAACTTCGAGCTGGGACTTTCGTCGAACAAAATTGTAGCGGCAGTGACTTCTGGCGACAATGACGGAAGAGAATCGCAACCTTCTACGACACCTGGTTCTTCCAGTGGCTCTGATTTCGAGCTACAGCGCTGCAAGGACTTGCGCTCGTTTCCGTAGGTGTCATCCGAGCTGCCAAAGTGGCATTCATGATCTCGCTCGGCACATCTGGAGCATCTTTCTACCCCGTTCTCTAGACGAGACTGAAGGTCACACTTCCTTTTCTGTCGTCGGCACAGGTTGCAAGATTTCCGGTTGATTCTGGGGATTTTGGACCGCATGGTGTATCGATCATCTCGTTGGGCACATCCCGAGCATTTATTTCCCCCGTTTTCTTGACGAGTCTGAAGGTCACACTTCCTTCTCTGTTGTCGGCACAAGTTGCAAGATATTCGCATGAATCTGAGGCGTTCGGACCGCATGGTGTGTTGACTCTAGGAAAAGAAAACAAAAAAACGAAAGCAAATAGAACGAGGTCCGAAGGATTTTATAAGGCTAGAAACTAGAGAAGATGGAATTAAATCTCGCATGCTCTACCCTCCGCACCGCCCTCCGCACCATCTTCCGCACCGCTCTCCGCACCGCCCTCCGCACATCTTCCGCATCACCTTCCGCGCCACCTTCCGCACCGCCTTCCGCAAATTGTCTGTGCCATCTCCGGGTGTGCTGCCTCAAATTTGCTGGGAAGAAGACCGCGCGGAGGTCGGGACTTGTCACGTTCGGGTCATATGTAATGCGTTCTGGTCAGGAAATAGCGTGATCGTCTCTCGCTCTCTCCATATACACTGTACATGTACAACACAATGGCAGTGAAGTACCTTGTTCTTGATATTTTGTGTAAAATAGATTCTAGTACATACCGTATCATTAGCAACGCATACTGATGCCCTTCAACAGGATAAAAAGTTCCACAAAAGAACTAACTTTCATACGATTATTCGCAAGCCAGGGGATCCCATACTGTACATAATATTTGTCCTGAACCGTCTTTCAGAGAGATGCGGCAAAACAACTAAGCGGGCTGTAACTTGTCTCACAGGACACCAGATATAACAATGCGCAGCCTCGTTCCCTTAACTCTATTCTCTAGGATGGTTGAATAAACTTATGAAACGGAGTATGAAATATACATACAGAATTGTGACAGTACATTTAGTCAATTTATCGCTAGCGCTGAATCCATTTCATCGATGAGCCAAGGCGACTTTACTGATGGGAAATGGCCAATCCGGTACGTATTGTGCATGTCCAAGGTGGGCCCGCCGTGTGAGGACGGTACCAATAACACAGCAGCATTGGGATTACTCTTGAAGTAGATGAAGTAAAAATCATCGCCCGCATGTATCGCCTGTCCCGCAACTCATTGAAAGGGCAACCCGAAATCTAGACAAGCAGGGTACCCACCCCAAACTAAAAGGTAGTGGTATAAAGGTGTCTGCATAGAACCGAAATTTGGGCGGCAACAACTCTGCTACGATTTTAAAAACTATGGACAGCCCCGACTGTGAGCCGAATGCAAGGACTAGGCACTCTCAAAACACAGTGTGTCCTCCACACGAACACGAAGACGGTTTTTCCATTCATCCTTCCAACGAGCTGGCAGAAAAATTGCTAGTAAGTATACTGTAACATTCCGCAAGCTCCTGCTAATTCATTTCTGATAGTGGGCCGAAGATATATTGGCCCAGGAGCCCCATCCGAAGGCTCATGATGATCCCTGTGAACCACTGCCTGTAGGCCTAAAGGGACTAGAACAGGTCCATCCCGACCTTCCGCAGCCGTCGACTCAGATATTGGGATTATATTCGACGCTTTGGGATTGTTATTCCGCAAAGAAAGCTCATAGCCAGAGACTCGAAACGGAAAACAAGGCGCTTCGTGCAACTAATATCCATTTGTCCCAGGAGAAAGAGATTTTAAAACATCGATACGCCAACCAGGAAGCCTTGTTGGTCTACTTCGAGCAAGCCTTTGAAAATCTTCGCCTTGGTATTCTTGGAATTTGCAAGGACTGGGAAGGCTGCTCTCCCGGGCCTGTTTTTGAGCATGGTTCTGCTCAAGCCATTGGCGATTCATGATCGGCCCAGGAGCATTTCTATCGGGAAGATTGCTGTTGCTGCTCCTCATTAAGTTCTTAAGCTTACCTGCGGCGTGTTAATTATAAAATAATCTAGTCTTTGAAACATAGTCGCTGCTGCCTTTTTTGTTGGTCAGTAAATACTGCGTCGGAAAATAAGACTGACCAGGCGCAAAACTTCCGATAAACGGCTGTAGCACCACTAAACATCATGGTCCTCTTCCCCACGCTGTAGAAACAATTCCCCTGTGCCCCTCATAAAGTGCGAATCAATCGTTCCCGAGCTATAACAATAATTAATGCCATGTCAAGACGTCCCCGCGATAATTCAGGCCAATTCATGACGTACGAGCGGTGAGTGGGACTGCTATCTCTGGGTTACACGAGAGAACATAAGTTTAATGTAAACCCAGATTGCTAGGTTTCATTCGTGTAAACTGCGTTCGACATTAAACTACCTACGTCTCTATCAGAAGACCGCAATTGGCACCTCAATGGACACTACTCGCCGCGTGTCAGCATTAACCCCAGAAGCGGGATGATGCTCTTTCATGCCTGTTGACACACTGATCATTCAAAAACTTCCTCCTTTTCCCAAGAGTACCAGAGTACTAAATACTGAGTTTCTTGCTGGCCATTACAGCATATTGTTCTCTTTGAGATTGTTTTGACCGGCTTTTTCATCCCCGGAGAAGATGGCTACCGGTCGTTAGTGAATCGTTTTATCTTTTATGTCTTCCACATTACGCACCTGTAAGCCACAACAAACATTTCCTTCTTCCGAGGGTTTGTCGGATACATATGAGAGCGTGTCGGTGTCCGGAGCAATGAATGCCCGGTCCGAACTTGTTTCTGATGGGACGTACTCAGATTCATAGTCAGAAAAGGTGACGTCTACGGCATCGGCATCATTGGACTGGAAGGTAGTACCAATGTAGGAGGAATCCGCATCGTCGGTGAGTTGACCCTGCCAATTGGACATTTGTGCTGCTCGGTTGATAGAAATATACCGATTTATAATATCCTTGGAAAACAAAAGCTGTTGTCACTATGGCCTTGATCTATATATTAATGTAGTTTAATGCCAAAACCCAATATATATTCTGAGGGCAAGCCTACTTTCATCGATTAGTGGACGGGAGGATCGTCGAATAGATATTTGGTAATTGAGGTCAGCTTTAATGAGGAGGTTCAAGATGCTTTCTCTAAAAGATGGTCACTTAGTTCTTTGATTTTTCGTCGCGAGATCTAAAATATCAGTCGATTATTGATGGGTTGGAAAGAAAAGTGAGATTGGCGATATAATGATGAACTGGTACATATGTCGTTTATTTAAATACCGCAGGCTCAATTCTCTCGCTTAAAGTTTCGTATCCTATTGGTATGATCTGGTACTTGCAGCAAAAATCCATATTTCATTGCGCTCGGAGACATATTGACCAGAAGATCAATCCCCCGCACACCAACTGCATAATATGCCATGCTTGCTAAGATAGTGATTTCTATTGCCCTTGCCTTTACCACTGGAATAGTTGGTCTTCCATTGAGCATTCCAACCAAGTGTTCTGAATATATTACAGGGTTCGTGCCTAGTAGTTCCACGCTCTCCTTTCGAACCGCGGGAAAAGAATATGCTAAATACGGTAAAGAGCTTTTCCATCACTTTTTCGAACGAAAACACTAAAAACCACCTAGGAGGAATCCAACGACGACCGCTACGGCATGACCAATATGAAAATTCAGCCTCAACATCGAGAGCCAGGTAATTAGTAAGCAGGCGAAACTTGGTGTACTGAGGTTAATAACTTCCAGGTTCCAAGTCTAGGCTACATGGGCACTTTAGATCCTCGGGAGGAGGAAAACATGTTCATCACTCATTGACTAGATATGTCCGTAGATTTTGAGATTTTCCTTCGTGGCTGGCGTTGTGATTAAGACTTAAGAAACGTCAAATTAATTTAAATTAATAACTCCGGCAAATATGAGTACAGTAGCTTCGATAATTAGGATTCTGGAAGCAGGGTACGGACAGTCATAGAAAATCCAGTAAGCATCTTTTAACTATAGGTCATGTAGATCGAGCCTAATAGGTCTTATTTGATAGTAAGCGTCGATCCTATTTGCCGCTATAATGTTTAATAGAGGGATTCAGTCACTCTCAAATCGGCTCAAGCAATACACACTAACAAATCTTTGGCACTACCGCCAAGGGTTTAACGGGTATGAAATATTGAGGAAGCCACATTAAAAGTAATGAGTAAGACAAAATGCATTAGTATGGTCTTATGACTTACTGCACCTCGTATAACTGAATTCTACTCTTTGACTGTTGGACGGGAAAACTTGATATTCACTACACTATGTGACGACATACTACAGATGCCATAAAACTGCAGCCCTCAGCTTGAAGCGGCTTGCTTAGTAGAATAACTACGGTAGAATCTTGGCGGCTGAGCCAGGGACGAGTTATTCAGTGCGTGTGGGTCGCCGGATAGTGCATCGAGAATGACCGTCTAAGGCCGACTCAGAGTTGCAAATGACACTAGAAAACAAAATTAGCTCTGCATTGTAAAGCAGAAGCATCATGGGCCAGGCTTATCTATCCATGACTTTCAGTTTCAGTTCCATATGGCTGCCCTCAACTGGAGATACGAAAATAAGTTCATGTGCCAGGTGTTTGGCGCATAGATGAAAAAAAAAATTTGGGATTTAATAGGTCATGAGTAAAAGGGTTTTTAGACGAAATGGCCCCCCAATGCTAAGCCTGCGCACCTTCAGACGTACAGCCAGCCGTTAGAATGTGAGGTCTGTTTTTTTGATGTATTGTGGGTTGCAATCTGCCCTTCTTTGCAGCATAGAGCACCCCTTATTACATCCTGCAACTTCCCTTGAAAGCCCTCGGTCCCCAATATCTTCCAGGTTAGTAGAGCATATTCTGACCGGCCAATCGCTTATGTCAATCCTGAGAATTATACAAATGGCACCAGTTATGAGCCGAGTTAAACAAGAACAACTGCGAAAGCGTCGAAACAATCTTCTTCGACGTCACAATGACTTTTGGAGTCTATACGGCATTCGAAGTTGGTTGATTATGGAAATGCCAAACAGAAGAATCTATACGTACCATTCTCACCCTAATGTTCCTGCCCCGACCTCGGAAGACATAGTAAGATACGTGGCTAGGTGGAAGGAACTAGGTAATAACTGACCATTACAGAGGGCTCGTCCACAACCTGCGGTTCACAGGACTCCGGCAGATTACGTACCTGTTGCTTCGCCTAGCTTGGTGATTCCAAAGCCCCCTGCTGTTAGTTTCCCCGAGCGGCGTAGCGAAATTTGGAACATCTTATACAATGCATAAGATGTGACTCCGTAAACGAGCAGCGAGTGGCTTGAAGGCCGGGATGGAAGGGTTCTAAAGATGTATGTAAAGTATGAAATGATACTTTTCTACTCATTGTCTAAAACTGCTGCTACATTCTGTGCGCTACTTTTGATTCTCGATTCTATTCTCACACCAGCCTAAGGGTAACCTAGCCTCGAAGACCAACGAGCCATTTCAAGAGTTAGCGGTATAAATTCCTGTCGGCCTTATATCACAGGAAATTGGAGATACAGGGAGGATCGAAATTAGTTTCACCCCTTGCACACAGGGATTCTTTCTCGAACCCTCCTCCGAAACACGTTATGCCTATTACAGTTACTCTTCCCCTGAACCCCTGTCTTGGCAGTAATCCAATTCAGCTGTAAATAACAGCATAAAAATAGCTCCTGTATTAGAACTGTACGACCTCTCGGGTTTCTAGAACGTTGATCCTGCAAACATGCCAAAGAGATGGGTGTCTGCTCTTCTCGTCTGGAGACGTGGCAGGAATCTGAATCCCCCTCCGTCAACCTCTTGCCATCTAGAGTGACCACTTCGAATGAGCCAGTTGTATAGAGACAATACTAGTGGGTAATGTTTCCTTGCATCATGTAGCAGGCTTGGCCTTCTCATACGGGCTAGCATCTACTGAAGTGACTGGTCGTGATCATGCTGACGTTGGATCCTCCAGAGCCCTCAAATGAGGACGATGACTGCTAATTCGTATCCCGATGACAGTGATTTTGAACCGCAAGACCTCGTACTCGGAGATCAAGATTCGCAATATGCCCCCCACTCTAGGATACTACGGTCGCACACAAGCGTCAAGCTGCGGGTTTAGCCCTTCCCCGACCATCACTCCGAGCACGATATGGAAGACCTGTCCCAACACCAGTCCGAAAGACCTAGACTGCTCCAGCTATCTGAATGGGACGATGGTATGCTAAGTGACGATCTTCCAGCAAGCTGCATTCAGTATACGATAGAGTGGAAAGTTACGGTGAATAAGAAAGTGCTCTCACGAGACACTGAAGAGGATATAGCCCTGACTCCAAGTGCTTACTGGCCGATGACCCTGAAGGGTAAGCTTGAGAGGTTGTCAGAAGGGAAGATTCCCCGTAAAGGAAGGGTAAGATTGGACGACACCTCGATCGCTGTGTCGGTAAATGATCGCCCCCAGCACGACCTGATGAAACGGTTTGACCATCTCGACATCGATTGGACTGCCATTGAAAAGCAGCTGCTGAAGTGGGGCGAACCATTTCGTCAAGGCAAGAAACTGAGGTTAAGTATTACCTTTAAATATGTTGAGGACGACCGTCTCTCCAAAACTACCGCCGGTAGGGTCGAGAAAAGAGGAAGGTCATCGGTCACTAAACGAATGCTCAACGAGCGAGACGCTCAACTGGATGCCGAAGAGAACGTGTCCGGGCAAGAATCGATTTGGCGGGGTGTTTACAACCTGATGCGTTGCCCATCCTCCTCATGCCATCTCGGCCCACATTGCTGGAAAGACCCGCACGGGAAAAAGCACTATAGACTGAGGAGCCATCATTTAAAGCGTCTAATCGCCTTTATGGAAAAAGGTGGCACCTTGCAATCTCATGAAGACGTGCCGGATAATTTCCGTGAAGAACTATATATGGAAGAGCAGCACAGGCTAGAGAGCCAACAATCTAAGAACAACAAGAGGGTAGGCACCCCAGGAAGCAGTCAACCTATCAATATCAACTTCAATGGAATGCAATACTCCCCGCAACGAGAGGCGATCAACGCAACCGCAGCCTCAGCAATGCTTCTGCCACCCGATGACCAAGTCATGGAAGATCTCAATCTTCCTGGACTAAGAGATAAAGCGCATGGCATGAATCGAATGTTGGGGACGAAAATTTGAAAGCTCAGTTTCGGCAAGCATGCAATGTGGCGTTAGCCAGTGGTCTTGATCTTAAAGTGATTCATGAGGACCAAGATCCGTCATTCTTTATCGACAGCGGGATTGTGTGGGTATTGCACGCCAATTCGTGAGAGATATCGGCCAATGGGTTAAGTGTGTGAGAAATGTTTCGCCGGTCGACCAAGTTACGCAGGCCGTAGATAAACGTGCCTTCCTTTCATGTTGAACGTGCAACTTCACCATATCTGTGTCCTGTGATCTGGGTAAACGGTCATTGATCAGTACACCAATTACTTAATGTGGCATGTCAGGATGTCTCCGTTTTTCAAGCTTGACCTTTTGAGAATCCGCGGACCCCGAGCGATTGATACCTGACTCCTTCCGTTGCTCTGTAGTTCCTGCAAAACATGCTCAATTTTCATATCAGCGTGCACCATCCATTTCAAATGGAAGTTATTTACACCGAGCCCATCGACATTGTGTACTCTGCGAAAACCAGAGATTCTCGCAAGCGTGGGCTTAGAAAGTTGTCAACCTAGTCCCGTTGCCACTCGTCTTCATAACAGCAGGGGTAGAGTGCTTTACAATACTCCCGATACCTCTAAAACAGCTTCAAAATCGTATCCCAAGTACCGGCTTCCTACATTAGTTCCTCGGAGTCAGGCTGCTGACTGGAATGGGAGTGAAGAGGAAGGGTGACGAGACGTGCTACGTGCCAAACCGTGCGGTAGCTACCCTCAGGGCCGCTTCAAATAACGCTGGTAGTTAGAGATAGAAAATATAATCATTGGTATGACTTAATTCCAAGCTTCTCTAAGTTCTCTTTGTGCCTTTCCTGTAGAAAGAGCATGAATTTCCTCCGTTTTGATCAAGATATCCAGCAGAGCTTCTCGCTCCAGTCTCTCTGTAAATCGATCTCCGCCTGCCATTACGGGTTAGCAAAACACTTTCTGTGTATTAAAACCCATGTAGGATACTTACACATCGAGACACCCATACATGCAGTGATTAGCCCTGGGGCCGTCTTGTTCGACAATGCAATACCACATAGACGGAATAAATTGGTCTTTATTTCGGCCTGAGTAACTGATAAGTAATAATTTATACTTCCTGAAGCGTGTCTCACTTCTCTATTGGCGGCCGCTCGTTTCTGGTTGGGACCTATGCGAGGCATCTTTGGATCAAAGGCTGCGAGGAGAATCCGCGCAAGGTGCCAGTGCTGGACCGCCGTCACTGAAATGACGGTTAGAGCTGTGCTAGTGGTAGTACTCCGTCGCTAATATCGGCATCATACCTTGGCAGTCACCGAGATACCATATCTGAGGAAAGATCTCCTTTTGTGATCGGTTTGGCGCTTTTAAATAGATAGGATTAAAGGTCTGCGGTTTGTACGCGTACCAGTTTTGGCTATATTCCCAAAGCTGGCCATATCGATCCAGATCGTGAGCTTCATCTCCGTAGCAATACAGTAATGTCTCTGCACAATGCAGAACCACTCGATTGGCCCATGTAAAGTCATCTGCAGGTCCGAGTGTTCTGTATGGTGAATAATTACAGCAGGTGAGGTCGAAACGGAAGGCCCGCTGTTTTATGAACGCAGTATGAAACTCCTGGCGGAATCCCACCCAAAATGCAGCGGTTTGAAGGCCATGGCCTTTGACCGCCATCTCAGATTGTGCTTCAAGGAACACTTGTGTGCCGCGTAAGTATGTCTCATCATCGACTCCAATAAGCGGTGCTGTATCTCGCTTTATTAAAAGCATGCCAGGGGAAGTTATAACGTTGCTTACCATCCAGTTCCTCGTAGAATCGAAGTATGACAGCAGCTGCCAGCAAGTTCTCGTCTTGAACTTCCGTTGCGTCTCCCGCTAGTGACACCAAATGCGAAATGCACAAATTTTGATATTCTAGTGCGACCTCATCTCCGATGACAGGTCTGGCCTTTTTTCTTGAGGCATTGTCGTTGTTGCCAGCACTTCGGCACCTACTGAGATGTCTTGCAGATACCGAAAATATCGCGTAGAGGAGTGCTGGACAACTGGGTGCGCGGTAAGGAGCTACAAGAGCAAAATGTCTGGCCAGGTCACAAGAATCAAACTGTGTGAGACAATTGTCAGCTTCTACGGATAAGTGCTAGTTTGAAGGTTGTTTTGGCTGCTTAGTCAATCGTTGGGTCCTTACCCATTGTGCAAGTTCTTCAACGAAATAACGCATCAAGTAAGCCTCCTGGATATTCCTATCGGGCCAGAAGGTTGTGGACTCTGGAGATGTTGGATGTGGGCCATTTGAGAGGTGATGATCCGATAGAGTATATGGTTCAAAGCTGCCAGTGCTAACAGCGCGTGTTGCGCGGTGCTTCCGAAGTGACGCTGTCCGCCGTGGGAAGTACCATGACTTGGAGATGTCGCTCTCGTACCGAAGACGTACAGGTTGTTCATCATCCTGTCTCAAGGAACCGTCATATTCTGTGTTTGGGTTACTATCTAGCTCAACTCTGGTATTTGGTGTCTCTGTCACTGGTGATGTTAATGCCTGGTGTTGACTATAGGTCGTTTGCATCGGTGCTGAATCGGGGCTGCATGATGAGGACGAGGCCGGTGAGAAATAACCTTCGATCTGGGGTGGAGAGGATTGCGAAGCAGCAAGTGACTTATAGTGACCATAGGAATGTGCTATATCCGAGGATTCGTCGATGAATTTTAATCCTGGAGTTATGGATTAGCAAATGAAATCCAAGCTTAGAGACGAGAATCAGCGCACCGGTTCTCGAGATGCTCAGCCAGGGCTGATCATGGGCGAACTTCAGTCCCCGTCGGCCACTGAGTCCGTTGCGGATCACGGGTCCTGGAAACGCGCAATTCTTGTTGAGGCGGCGACACCGCGAGCAAACTGGCTTTACGCCATCACCTATGCTTGCGGGTGAGTGATCTCCGCCCGGAAATCGGGTATGGTAGAATTGAGTTTCGGAGGGATTCTATGTGCTTTGAGGTCTCAGTTGCTCACATTTCAAATGCCGCTCTGTAGATTTGGGGTTAGCACCGTGCCAGTGTTCAATCAGTGCAGGGAAAATACATACTTCGACAAGTTTGGCTATTAAGAGAAAAATCAGCGACCGGGATCTTTGAACATACAGCCGTCATTGAAGCATCACAGAGGATGATAAATTGCCTCACCATGGAGCCACGCTAAGGGTGGGCATCTTGCTTGCAGCAGTGCATTACACATCAACGCCCGATATCACAACGTCAAGCAGGGTCGAAGCAGTCGCTCGATCGAGTGAAAGGGTCCAAAATAGGTAGATATGCACGGGGCCATGTCGACGGGGATTTCTGCCCTTGATAAAGTGTGTGGGCATCTTTCACGCGGTGGCGGCCGCAGAATAGCGAGCGGGGATTTCTGCCTGCCTCAGCACAACCGGCAATTTTCCCCGACTACCCCGAATTTCCCCGCAATCCACATTCGCCCTAACGCCAACGAAAGCTAACGGGATCTGGGGACGCCAATTAGCACCTAATGATACACGGAACTCTATGATGATGCCTCACACGGCCGACGCCGTGGGGTTTGATTATGGCCCGTATCGAGGACATCCTGATGTATTTGGAATGGCTTCCCATTCCCATTGAAATACTGCTCCTTCTCCGCGGCCTTCTCTCTTTTTTCATTCCTCTCAACGACACCAAGGACATTACTAGTGCTCATGCTCGACCTAATGGATTCCAATCTCGGATCAAGCCTGACAGAAGACATGAAGACCAAAACAGACGCCTTGCATGTCGAGGATACATCCAAAGTCGACATTCAGACACTATCGCTAGACTCTATCGAACAGACCAAGTCTGGATACTACATCTGGCTAGTTTCTATCGCAGTGGGCGTGGGCGGTTTCTTATTCGGTATGTCTTAGGTCGATTTTTCACTGTTCCAGAAATACGGCAAGTAAACTCATTCTTCTCCTGCTCAATTTGACAGGCTACGACACTGGTATCATATCTGCTGTTCTTGTAGTCCTTAACGAAGACCTCGGCCATGCGCTCAGCTCCAACGAGAAAGAACTCATCACCTCCCTGACCTCGGGCGGAGCCTTTTTCGGGGCCCTCGCCGCGGGCTGTTCGGCCGACAAGTACGGCAGAAAGATAGGTATTTTCCTGGGCTGCATTGTGTTCGTCATCGGAGCCGTTCTACAAGCATGTGCCTTCAGCCTGGCGCAGATGGCGGTCGGGCGGTTTGTCATTGGCATCGGAGTGGGCTCAGCAGCCATGATTATTCCCGTAAGTAACGTACACGAATTCCTCCTAACCCCGCCGCTCAGATTGACAATTCACAGTTGTACATCGCAGAGGTCTCTCCTGCCAAATATCGTGGCCGCATGATCGGCCTCGATAACATGTCTATCACTGGCGGACAGTTAGTAGCCTACGGCGTTGGCGCAGGGCTGGCGGAGGTATCCCATGGCTGGCGATACATGGTTGGCCTGGGAGCTGTGCCGGCCCTTGTTTTGGCAGTTTGCCTTCACTTCTGCCCCGAGTCGCCGCGACAGTTAATGTATCACGGCAAGTCGGAGGAGGCAGCGCGGGTGGTGGCGAAAATTTTCCCCAATGGGACAGACCTGCAGGTCCAGCAGAAGATTCAACACATGACCATCCACGTGGAAGAATCAAGAGCTTTGAACGGGGAGAGTGGGTTCTGGAAGCAGCTCAAGCAACTCTATGTCGTCCCTTCCAACTTCCGGGCCCTAGTGGCAGCCTGCGGACTGATGGGCATGCAGCAGTTTACAGGCTATAACACGCTGATGTACTATTCCTCCACACTGTTTGGGATTGTCGGGTTCAAGGATCCCATTGCGGTGGGCACTATCATCGCTGGGACAGGATTTGGTTGCACGTTTGTGTATTTCCTGATGATTGATCGATTTGGAAGGCGACTCATTCTTCTGTCCACAATGTGGGGCATGGTACGTTGGCCTTCAACTGCATTAACCTTTTCACCACTAACAGAGCGCAGGCTGTATTCCTTGCCGTTGCTGCGATTGGTTTCCACTGGATCCCGGTACGCCACAACCTCTCCTTAGAAACTAACAATATCGGATGGCCTGCTTACCTGGTGCTGGCTTCGATGATCATTTTTGTTATCTTCTACTCTCTGGGAATTGGAAATCTGGCTTGGGTTTCGAGCGAATTCTTCCCTATGGAGATTCGAGCCCTGGGAACTATGATGGTGCGTCATTATGCCCTCCCAAATGACCTTGTCTTTTACTAATAGGTTGGTTTTATGTAGATGACTTGCACCTGCTGGGGTACCAACATCGTTGTTGCTTCGACGTTTCTGACCCAAATGGAAAATACGACACCCTCGGGTGCTTTTGGATTTTATGCTGTCTTATGCTTTATTGGCTGGGTGTAAGGCCTGAACTCCTTCCTACCTTTGTTTTGAGGGCATACTAATGCAGACTTCGAATTCTATAGTGCTGTCTATTTCTGGTACCCTGAGGTTAGGGGCATGACTCTGGAAGACATCAGAGAGGTATTCAACCATGGGTTTGGAGTGAAATACGCTCGACGTGTTCAGAAAGAACTGGCACGCCAGCAAAAAGCCCAGATCGAATCAGAAAGTGGATCGGCTCAATTCTCATGAAGCTGGTGCCTTTGGGCGTGTTTCCGGATAAAAATATGACCTCCACGCCCAAAGCGAGATGTGTTATGTGGGCGGCCAGGGAATTTCTCTGCGTTCCAGGTAGACCTCTGTCACATATTACGAATGCTGGATGGTATTTTGGCAGATGCATTTACTAGTATATCGTTATTCCCCACGAACAATTGGAGTGCACGGGTCCTCTCTTTTCTCAAAATCATACAAATCTTAGGCCTGTTACTGTCTACGAGTACACACCATTATCAGAAATATAAGAAAAACAATTTATGAGCATAGATCAATGATTAGAAGCTAACTTTTCAGCTCTCTTATAAATGTGGTGGAACTTTTGCGAGGACCACGCACGTATTCGGTCACCTTAGTACCAAAAGCATACTAGGATTGGGACTAATACTACACTGGCGGAACCTAGGATAGTTGTGGTAAGCGCGACGCCGAATGCCTTGACTATCTAGCATACAAATAAAGGAAAGATAGCACTAACTCTACTCCCTATCGAACCGTTAACCCCTGTTGCACTATTAGCTATACTCGTATAGTTATTAATAATATAGTTAAACCCCTAGATAAAAAGTATATATATATCGTAGCTAATTAGGAAACTAGCAAAAATAGGACTTAGCTATAAGACGACGGGAGTGGCCGTCTAAGTAAACTAGAATATACTACTTAGGACTATTATACCCTAATAACTATCGGGGCATACTGCCTTCAGGGGTAAAGGAGCTATCTAGTATATAATAGTGGTAGCGGAAATAAACCTTGTTATAGATAATAATGCTAATAGATCTAGCAAAAATACCGTAGATAATGGCTAAAAGAGGGAGATATTCTAGACTTATATTCTATTTACGGTCCTCTCCGAAGGCGACGAGGTAAGTTTGATAGAATAGGAAAAGGACACTATAGATAACGGACTAGTATAGAGTTAGAAGGGTTAAAGTAGGTTAAGTGGTAAGAAGGCCTAGAGTAATAGTGTTACTAGTTTGCGGACTTGTATCTCTATAGTTTCTATTTCCGTGCAGAGGGGTCTTAACGTATAGAGTAGTTGAATCAAATAGATCTTTGTTACTTACTCTAGTCTAAGACATTCCTTATCTAATGTTATCTATAAGATATGAGGGGTTCTAGTGTTTACAGGATAGAGCCTGTCAACTAGGTAAGATGAGGGTGCTCCGGAAGTTTTTGGAGAGAATACAGAGACTCATTCTTGGAGAACCTGTGGGTTCTCCTGGGAGAGGCTATTTAACATGAAGGTCAGCGTTGCGGTGAGCCAACGCTGACGTGTCGACATCTGTATGTTGTCGATCCTCTATTGTTGCGAGAGATCAATGCACAATTCCTGGAGACTCCGTGACAAAACTAAAGAGAGATAAAATTGTAATGCCTAATAGTATTAGCTATTTACGACCAAACCGCTCGGAAAAAGGGCCGAAAGTAAGGATCCTGAAAACGTAACCCTAAACGTTAAAATTTAGCCTTCATTGGAGGAAAAAAACTATAAGATATAGATATGAGTATAAGCTTACCGTAAGAAATAACGACGTCCTAAGCACGGTAAGTTTATAAATAACGTTTAGCTCCTACATAAACTCTTTGTTCCCAGTCTCGAAGATCCTACTAGCCACCGGTCCGCAACTTCAAGTAACTCTCTGGTCCTAAGAGAATCATCGGCTTCGGCAGTTGGGACTTCTCTACTCAAGCGTCCACATATAAGATCTTCAGCCAAGGGACCAGCTCGGCTAATTGCCTGAAGCTTGCGACTAATATTGCTAATTTTGTGAAGGAAAAGGGCCTTGACGGTGTCGACATTGACTGGGATTACCCAAGTCCCAAGTTTACGTAAAAGCCACGCCATTCTTTCTGGTGCGAACAGCATGATCGGTTACTAACACAAACCAGGCACCTGTTATTCCTGGAATCCCCTCTGGCGACAAGAGTGAAGGAGCCAACTTTCTCGCTTTCATCGTTGCTTTGAAAATTCTTCTCGGAGCTGAATCCGCTTCAATTGCCCCTGGCTCGTATTGGTACCTCAAGGGCTTCCCTATCGCGAAGATCAGTAAGGTTGTTGACTACATCGTCTTCGTGACTTATGATTTGCACGGGCAATGGGATGCAGGACACCCCAATTCCAAACCAGGTTGCGATGATGGAAACTACAGATTAGGCTTTTTTTGCGTGAACCTTTTTGGCCTGGGGGTCTTTTCTCTTATATAGTGTTAGTGTATATATATTGTGTCACTGTAAGACCTAACGCCATGGCGCCTCTAAACCTACTAACTAGCCGTGAGTGCCAATGACCACCCCAGAATGTCGGAAATGTCCCAGTTCCGTCTAATGAATGCTTTCAATTCTGAGAAGAACTCCTCGATAGGACTTAAGTCGGGTGAATAAGGGGGTAGATACACTAGCTTTACTCCTGCTTCAGTGCACATTTCCTCGATACGATCAGAACGATGGAAGGATGCGTTGCCTATGACTAAAACGGACTTTGGCTCAGGCCATCTTCCACAATGCCGAAGAAGCTGATCAATGAAGTCCTCGAAGACTGCAGCATCCGTGGAGCCCTGAAATATACGAAACAGCAAGATCCCATCTTCGCGTATGTAGGCAATATCTGGTACCGCTGTTCACGATAGAAGTTGGCTACCTGCAATAGTGCCGTGCCTAACGGAGACCAGCCTGTCCGTCTAAACCCAATTCGTTTATCACACCCAGACTTATCCACGTAGACCAAGTGATACGACTGAAAGTCGGACAGGTTATGCATATAGAAATCCCGTAGATCCGCATTCTGTTCCATTGCTCTCTGTCGAGCCACCTTCTTCGACCAACCCACCGAAGCAAGAGCCCGTTTAAGGCTTGAATTTGAGACCTGGACACGGAACTCGTCCCATAAAAAGATTGCCATCTCATCCACATATAGCCCGGGCTTTCGAGGAGGCGATCGCATAGTGCTTCTATCATCGGAGGTGTTACGGTCCGTCGTCGACCTACTCGAGTTGGGGGAGCTCTGACATTTCCGAACCGGCGAAGGTTGTTGCTGATGTTATGTTGATAATGGAACGCTTACTACATTCAGCAGCCTTAGCCATTTGCGAGGCAGCCATTGATTTGCTCAATATCATGTGCTGGATCATTTCGAGCTTGGAGAGAGGGAGTCTTGGCGCCATGTTGCAAGAGAAGTCTGGACGTTGGTGGAGGAGAGCTTTGGCAGAGGGGGATGGGAGATGACTCTATCTGCTCACCCTTGCTCACCCCTATGCTCAGTGAGCAGGTGAAATGATTTTGGGTGAAAAGTCTGGGGGATGCTAGGTAATAGGAAATGCACGTGACTTGGTGATCTCGCAGTTCCTGGGAGCTTGGGGGCCATCTCAAAGCTGCGAACCTCAAAAAAAGGTGGTTGCTAGGTTGGAAAACCACGTTTTAGTTTCGCCATAGCAACAACAAAATGCGATCTCGTATTGTCCATTGCCGGTGGGAAGAGGCCGAGCAGCTCGAGGTGCAGGTGATGGAGACTCGCAAGATGAAACTTGGCGAGGACCATCCCTCCACGCTGACCAGTATGGCGAATCTCGCTTTTGCCTGGAAATCTTCAGGTCAGGATGCGGAAGCCATCAATTTACTAAGAAATTGCCTAGCCAAGCAGAAACAAACATTGGGGCTAAACCATCCGGAAATTTTAGCCAATTCTGAAGCATTGGTGAAGTGGGAAATGAGCGCCTAGGTATAAATACCTAGATAAGTTTGACACCTGAATATTGCTTGTTTACATAGCAATTCCAACTTTATATGTACTTCCCGAAATGATCTTTCCCATCATAGATTGACTTCGCGGGCACCACTTTAGTGAACATCGCTGCAAAGAGATCGAGGACAAGCGGAGTCGTTAACGAGCTAGCTCATGTGCCAGTATTCTTGACAGAAGTATTACAAATAATTTATAGTATTGTTTATCGCGTGACAATATATTTCAATACGTCAATACCTTAAACTGAGCTAGGCCGAAAATAGATTAGCGTGTTTCAGGCTAGGATTCGGGAAAGATTCTATGGGATCAAAGTGGTGAAACTGATTTCGATCCATCCTGTAAACTTAGAAAGGGAAAGGCCAGGTTACTAGTGTTGGAATACAGAAGGAACTCCGCTTCTCCTTGTTCATTGTATTGTCTTCCAGAACATGAGTCCCTTGTGTTTGCTCCCTAAATCACTGCACACAATGAATGTTATATACTTGATGCTAGTTCCTTAAAGTTCTTGCACATGCAAGTACAGAGATTACCAGCCTTGTCCCAGGATCATGAAGCGCGAGATGTTTCCCATCGATGTGCTACTTCTGGCGTGCAATGATAGTGCTCCCCCTTTGATGATATATGGTGAAATAATACGCCTTGGAACGTGTACCTTTACACTCATCAAATGTTTCCGGCACAACGTAAACAGTGGCTGGAAGGGCCAGTGCACTCAGCCCCTTGACATGATAGAGATGGATAGAAGGATTAGGAGCTCGATTACGCAAAGACCTAAATAAAGTTGCAAAGGTATCACTATCTGAACTATTACAGTGAATTTAATCTCAGGAAACTATATCGTAAATCTAGCCCTACTAAAGAACCAACGAACTGACAATTTTCGTTGAGGAGCTTGCTTGTTGAGAAATTCTCTGGTGAATACCCAAAACCACGTGCAGATTCCCATAGTTCTGACGAGGCTTTAAAGAAAAATCCTTTTGAGGTAGGCGAAAAGATGCTTTGGGAGGCTCGACAGATGCTGAAGTTCGTCCTCTTTTATAACCTTTCTCAACTTCCAAAATTTAAATATGGCAAACAGTGCGAGGAACAACATAAAAGTAACCCCTGTCACAATAAAAGTCATGAAAGCCATGACAGAACAGTCACCGAATTGCGATGTTAGAACATTCACGAGAGTGGTCAGTAAGCCAGCAGCGGCGTTCATACAAGCTGGCCTGAGATTTTCTTTAGTATCTGTCCCTAATATGCACGAGGGATCACTCACATGAAAATTCTATTGATCAGCCACGAGTAACTGTGTTTAAATTTAACTGAGAGCCAGCCCAGTAAAATCCCACCAAAGATGAAGAAAATACAGGCAATTACCAGAAGTGGAGGGTTCTGTATAGTTTTCAGCAAAACCCTCCCAGCGTTGTTTTCCTGTAATTTTTCTTCAACTTGGTCTGAGTTTTTCAAAGATGTGAAAGTGCCCGGGACCACTAGATAACCGGCAAGTAGCACCCAGTTACCGGTACCAGCGCTGAGATTATACTTCCAATCCATTTCCGCTTCTTCTCTAAGCATTTGAGTGTATAATGAGCCCTGATTAACACGTCCACAGTTGCCGCATATTTCCTGAAAGCGTTTGCCAAATACCTTGTTAGCTGACTTGTTCTGACTTGGTCGAAACCAACTCCGGAGTAAAACTCGCGCCCAGTCAAACATGGCAAGTATGGTACAATGAAGTAATTATAGGGGGAGAGGGAAAGAATATGTATTCGGAGCCTCCTATTGCATGATCCTCAGATGAACGGTAGGTGCCAGCTAAAATTAGCAGGCGAAGCTTCTTAGATGATGAATTGAGACATCGTGTTTGTTCTTTAAGCATTTTCGTTCTTTGCCATACCATCATCAACCGAGTGAACCTGCATGGGAAAGAAAGAAAGACTAGCCCAACAGGACAAAGGCTAATTTTGTGCTGACAGAGACAATAATTAAAAAAGGGGCTTTTGGTGGTCTCGTTGCGCCACACCTTGGGCCTATAGCTGTTCAGGCCTCAAGACTTCTATTCTACGAGAAAACTGTGGGACTCACTTTTTGATATAAAACAGTAAGCAAAAAATATGCTCGAATCCGCCGTTTGTAAAATTTCTTTAAATGGGGGCATCAAAGATTGGATGGTAGATATGTGTATGTGGATACCTATAACAAAGACTGTGGCATAAAAGGTTACTGATATTACTTGAACCATAAACCGTTAAAGATAATCGTCCAAATGGCAGCGTGGCTTGACCTCGTACCAGAAACTACCGGCTGGAGTTTGGTGGACACAGGACGATTGGAAAGGCTAGTGGAGGAGTTGGGCCATCCCGAGACCCAATATCCATCTTTAATCTGGTTTTCAGGTAATAGAAACCGGATCAAAGCTCTTCAAGCGTTGTTTCCTCATAACAATATTACCCGGAGGGGACAGACTGGATTGGCCCAACTACATATCAGCACGGAAACCGCAATTACAGAAAACCCTGTCCTTTTTGCAGAAACCGATTTATTCAATGGTCATGGAGAGCACAAAGCAAATATATCAGATCGGTCACTGGAGAAGACTCAGCGATATCATATTCACCAAGAAGGGTCCCGGTCCGCGGCACACACACGGCGACAAGTGATCACAAATGTTCTCTTCGCATTCACACATGTCCTATGCCTTTTCGTAGATACCCCATCAGAGATGCAAGAAGTTCTCGAAATGCTCCAGACTCCACGTCAAAACGTCAAAATTGGCTCTCGTTCGGTACCTGCCTTCACGCGCGTTATCATTGTTCTGACACGCAGTGAAATGCCCGAGGCTCATGGTACGATGGTAAAGGAGCTTTTGCATTTTCCAAATGCAAGTATCCAGCTACAGGTTTCTATTCTTGATCTCCGAAATCGCCATATGTTGTCTCTCAAATCAGCTTTCGAGCCCTTGCGACGTGTCGTCCTCGATGAGGTCCAGATTTCCCGCACAGAGCTGATTGAGCAGGGATTATCGTTCTCAAGCCTACAACTATGTACACTCTGGAACCGAACAATTGAGCTTAAAATGGGGAGCCCAGAGAATTCGGCCTTGAATTGCCTCAAGGTCGCCCGCGAAAGCCACAAAATGAACTTTGTTACCATGGAACACTTGGTGCGCTTCCTAAGTCATGCAAATGATTTGGGTTGCGCTACCGAAGATACCCATGCCTTTGTGGCCTCCGCATTGTTCATGAACGCGTACCCCCCTGGGATGCATTGTAAGTACGCATTTTCGGTTCCATGGTATCGCTGACAACGGAGTGGTCAAGGTTTCCGCCATGAAGACATCTTCGAGTACCTTTACAAGGATCAATGTCAGAAAGCGTGGAATACACATACGGGTCTCGATCCCACGGAGCATTGCAACATGGTCTTAGCCCATATGGGTCGGTTTTGTCGTGAAATGAGCCCCACTCGATCTTCTGCAAGCATCAGAAGAGCTGCGTTAAACGAATTCTATAACAAATGGAAAGGCCTTTACTCAACAAATTCTTGTTTTCTATGTCTGTGTCGATCGCCCGAGCACATGCTCCCCTGTCATCATGCTATCTGTGATACCTGTGTGGTTATATTCGGATTGCCAAGTAAAACCGCAGAATACCACTTTGATATTCGCCATTGTCCTGTATGCAGTGCGAGTTTCCAGCTAGTGATTCGACAGCTCCCTCCCACCAAATCCCCTGTTGTCTTTAGCCTAGATGGCGGTGGAATTCGAGGTATTATTCAGTTGGGCTTACTACGATCACTGGAAAAACGGCTGGGCAAAGAAATATTGCTCTCACAGATAGTGGATCTTTTCACATGTACAAGTGCTGGTATGTGTTGCTTGTTCATTCCCACATTCTGATAGAGTTTTACGATGGCATCTATGTGCTAATATGTTGGATCTCAGGGGCGCTGAACGGCATGGATATGGTTTTCAATGAATCCACGGCCGAGGAAATTTTTCAGAAATTTCCAGAATTTGCACGGAAAGTTTTCAAATCTAGGTCCAATCCACTTCAGGGAATAGCGAGCACCAAATGCATGAAATGGCTGAGGTGCTTTCTAGGTTTCTTGGCAGATAGCCAATATGATGGGAAGAACCTAGATAACGTGCTGAAAGACGGATTGACTTCAAACCGCCGCCTGTTTGATTTTGGTTCAACTTCTGGCGCGAGCAGCCGGATAGCTATCATTGCAAGTCGAACATCTGACGGAAAAGCATGCGTCATGGCAAACTATCGTGGTGTTGGCCCTCGTCCCGACGAAGGAGCATATCTGTTCCTCAAGCCACAGGATCAAAGCCAAGACCCGTTCCTTTGGGAAGCGTAAGATCCCATGTCCTGTTATGACAAGGTGTCTTTCATTGTTCATATTTACATCACTGCTCTCTTTGTTCTCCTTTACTGTTTGAATTGGCATCTGACAATATGCAGTGCTCGATGTAGTGTCGCGGCACCATGGTGAGTTATTTTATTGAACACGAGATACCGTCGTTAATCATAGGCTAGGTTCTTTAGAACAAAAACGCTCCCTGGGTTTGGTCCTCTACAAGATGGCGGTGTACGCGCAAACAACCCCGTATCGATCGCCTTGAAGGAATCCGCCGTTATCTGGCCGGCAGCGAGACGACATGACCTTCTCATCTCGGTAGGTACAGGATTCACAACTCCAAGGAAAGAAAACGCCGACTGCCTTACTGGTAATATCTTCAAAGACGGGGCTGTCCCTCGCCTCTTCAGAGCAGCCATGTCCTCCCCTTCCATGGATGGAGAACAAGGGTTCTACGAAGCGCTGAATTATATACCCGATCACATGCGAGAAGACATTCATCGGCTAAACCATCCTGTTGCTTGTGCGCTTCCCAGGCTAGACGACGTGGACGTATTGGGTGAGTTGGAACACTCGACATACATTGTGCCTGAAGATATAGTCCACGCTGTTTTAGTTACTGGCTGTTTGTTTTTTGAATTGGACCAAACACCAGTATCTAGAAATGGGTCGTATCTTTGTCAAGGTTCAGTTCTTTGCAGAAGCTCAGAACCAAGGATTTTACTGAAAAAGGTTGTTGGAGAATTCCCAGGGGCGCAATTTCAGACTGCCCGTGGACATCCTCTTGGCTTTCTGGAGGAACATGACGGTTGCTACGACTGCGGTTACTATTGCAAAAGAGTCGCATTCCTTGTCAAAAGCCTGGAAGAAATGATCACAATTGAGCTTGTTAGTTCCTCGTCCCGGCGGAAGATCGGAGGTTTCCCAAGGTGCGTGCAAGAAATGCTCGATGACCAACAGGCATTTGCGCGCTTTGGTCGTCCAGATCACCTAATATCTCCTTGGCCCCCCCGGAGGAAGTGTTTCTGCGTCCGCGGAACCCGAAGACTGGTCCAGTTTATAGAGCCCCCTTTGAGCAAGAAAAAGCGCCGGCTTTAGCTCACACTCGGATGACTACGCTACACAAATAGAATCACATTATCTGTGATCCTATAAAAGAGTGTAAATCTATGCAAAGCAGCGTTGCTAAAAGTCATCTCCGTTAAGATTGATAGATTCATACTTATAGAGGCACCAACATCAAGCAGTATAAGATAAAACCTTGATTTATTGTGAGAATTACGCTTAGATAGAATAACTACAGGAGTCACATTGGGGATGCGTTATTAAGCTTGTGTATTAACAGCATCTAATTCACTGGGTCCTCAATTATGAGAAATCTAAGCGGGACCTGATCAGTACTCATTTACGCGCTAGCTCAGCTTTGGATATCTTTCTAGTTTACCTAGACCTAAGTAGAACTTCATACCAAGCGCCGTACAAATATCGGAAGATACCAAGTTCTGCAATAGATATAATAATGTCACTGATATTATGAATGGCCAAGATATTCTTAGTAACATGTTACCAGGGCCAAATTTACAGCTTCATAGAGCGGTTTGGACGTTGAACAAATTTGCGCGTGAAGCATTTGTGTACTTCCACCGGAGGCCAGTTATGAGGATTGTCTAGTAGAGGTTTTTGACAAGGAGCTGTGTGACTCTAGTAGAGAGACATGCCACTGCGCGAGGCGGAAATTATTGGAGACGTATGGCGACAGAACACCTATGGCCCGAAGAACATAGTATTTTTCAATATTTTCTGAGCAACGCACGCTTTATTAACCTAGCAAATACATATCAAAGCTCTTGCTGTCCATGCAACATTGTGTTTGGGACATGCTTTAGGACGGAGCGTAAGTCGCTCATGGATATGTCGGGTTGTGACAAAGAAAGAGATTTGTAAATAAAGGAAAGAAAGCCACAGAAACTAGGAATCCACTGAGAAGCGCGAGACTTCCCGCTGGTCGGAATGACCGGCGAAGGAAGTCTTACGAACGTTCAGATTTTCAGGGTTTTGCGACATCCACATGCGTTTTCTTGGGCCCCTGAACCGCCGATAGCATGGCCGATGGAGAATCAGAATGGAACAGAAAACTATACCAGCACCAGAAACACTACCGAGAATAATACCCAGACTTCGTTTCTCAATATAATGGGACCCCTTACTTCGGGACATTGTCAAGTCATCTTCATTCGAGGGCTTTGCATCAGATGTGGACGATGTAGTAGATATCCCCGTTGTGGAGGCCTGTGTAGATCCTAATTCTGAAATTTCTTCATGACTCCCTGAGCTTGAGGTATATGTGGCAAAAGTTCTGGACGAGTCGTATAAAACCGATGTTTTACCTTCCTGCTGTATGTAGTCTACGAAACCCGAAGTCCGTGATGAACTGTAAGTCTTTTCTGTATGATACATAGGAATCATACCAGGTATACCTGTGCTTGCCTGGCGTAGAGAACTTTCAGGTGCTTTTGGAAGGCGCGAAATCTCATCCGAAACAGCCCACGTAGGTGAGCTATCTAGCAAATAATTGTGAGTCAAAGTTGTAGGCTTATCCAGTATTGACTGCGTTGAAACGTTGACCGTACCTGTTCTCAACTTCATTTTTCCTGGTGGTAAAGCATTTGAAGCTCTTGAAGTTGTCAAAGTGTACTCATTGGAGACAGGAGACATATCCGTCAATTCGACTACTTCTCTGCTCATTGACGGTAGTATCGATGGGTATCTCATGAGTCCTTCTGATAAAGGGAGATTGATTTTGGCGGATTGTGGGGTTGGCAGGTGTAATTTAATTTTGTTCTTGTCTATCGCTCCATCCTCTGGGAGAGCTTCGGTAGAGATGATCGATGGAAACGTTGTCGATGGATCATTGGCAGAACCCATAGTCAGTATTACACTATATTCGGTACCGGCGTAAGTGAAAGGAGCAGCTATTGATGTGTACGTCGGATCGAATGCTTCGTTCAAAGGTGTTGAGACCTTCTGAATAACTGTCGGGCGAGGGTAAGAAATTTCAGCAGAAAGGTCAAGCGTGGTCGTTGGAATATTGAAGTCAGACGTCAAATTTCCAATTTGACCGGTTTTCTGTGCTTCCAGTGTCCATGGTCCAGTTGGTAACAATGTGTCGAGGCATGTAGTGAGACTAGAATTCAATATGTGACCGCTTAGACGATGTTAGCAAATTATGTGATATGCGCTAATGGTTACGTGGACAAACATTACCGAAGACATTGCGAGATAGTAGTAAACATATTAAGAGACACTTGAGACTGCTGAAATATTAACAATCAACGGCAAAGTAAAAAGGAAAGGGAAAGAAAACCGATTTGGCTTGTCTTCGAATCAGAGTACGGAGAACACGCCATCTAGCTGTGAAACTAGAAATTGTCAACAAGGAAGGCATAGTCAACAGCCGAAATACGCATTAAAATAGCAGAAATATCCTTTATTCTTTGAGGAACAATTTTTTAATTTTCCACCATTTTCTGCGGGAGTGGAGTCCTCTATGATTACTACCTAGGGGCCAGTGGATGCAAAGTCCACTATAAAACTGCAGGGCCTTTTTTCATTGAGCGATTTCATTCATCCTTGAAACCCAACCAAAACAAAAAAAGGGGAAAAAAGAAAAGGAAATGAGACGAAAACAAAGGCAAACCGTGGAATATGGATCTATCGTTGCATCTAGGCAAATTAGTTGCCTCAACATCGTTTCGCCTTTAATTTATTAACTGGTGGTAGTGCGTTAATTAGGTGAGGGAGATCGTCATATTCATACAGTATAGAGCAGTCTTCTTCTTCTCACAATGATGCTGATAAATTCATTTGCTCGATGTAGCTCGCTCTAGGATGTTTGCTGTTATGCGGGTTCGCTATCAGGCCTGCCGACAACTGGGAAGCTAAATATGCGGAATACTGCGCGTCTTTCCCTTGATACCGGGTGAAAGGTGAGATGCCCTTCTTCAGTGGAATTGTTGAAGGACATTTATTGAACAGACTTGCACGGGCACATTGCCGTTTGGTCAAAAAGGTCCCAGATTGGTGTTGGTGAACTACCAACCTTGATAGCAACTTAAACTTATCGCCCTAGGGGGTGGAAGCAAATGTATGAGTGTGCTGGTTTTGAAGAATGAATAGGGATAAGCAGGCCAAGGCCATCAAGTATTGGCGGCGAGAGTGAAATGGTACGTTCGACAAAATGAACAATTTTCCCAGCCTGGTTTTGGAGTAAACAGGAGTGTATTTGCTCCAATACAGTACATATCAAAATATATTAAGCACTATAATATTAAGAATAGCGTATTTTATACAATGGATTGCCAGAGACTCGGTTTCGATGTACAAGATCATTGGAGAATAGCAGGGAGACAGACGTACGAGTCACTGTACCACTATGCATTTCCATGACCTGATACATTAGCTCAAATATCACAGCAATATGTCAATTTAACACACTGGTATAAATGGCTTTAGCGGTAAGATTCGATACTTTAGCTCGTTATTCCTTTATATAGTACAGGCTTTTTTGCAAATAATTATTAATGTCACTTCCTTTTTGTCGGTTGGGGGCTCATCTCAAGAGCGTGATGGAAGATATTCTGGTAGACCTCAGTGAGGATGCGGGCATCGGCGCGAAGGGTGGGAGAGATGTTTTCGCTTTGCGTGAGGAAGCCGACTGTGCGTCTGAGAAGGCGCTCAAGGAGCTCTGCGTCGACGAGCTCGTGCAGGCTGGACATGTAGGTGGCCGACAGAACGAGCATGTTGCCGAACTGCCTGTACAACGAAAAGGATATTAGTATTGTCTCCCAATTCTGCGATTTTACTCATTGATCTGATTCCTTACGCATGTGCTGTACCGAAGATGTTGGTAACCACCAACCGATGTCCGCCTACACCATCAAAAGCCTCCGTACTCTGGATGACAGAGTCAATGCAGATCTTGCAGGCCATGCGAAGCTTCTTCGGAAGCTCGCATAATTGGACCTTGGGAGAAGTCCAGCCATGGGCGACTGACGCGGCTGACGTGGAATCCGTGCCGCTAGACATGGGCATCAGGTTTGCAGCGAGGTTGTTGTTTTGTTGTATCATTGAGGACATTTCTTGCGTCGACGTAGATGATTCCATTGAGCTGTGGCCAAATGGGCCGACGCGGGCCCCGGGATGACCGTGGTGCAGGGCGTGGTAGAGAAGAGGTCGATGGATGATGTACTGGGCACCATAATACTTGGCGCGCATGCGAGCAGCATTGATTTCGTCTGCTGGCTCGTCGGAATCTTTCCACTTCATGCTGTCGGGCAAGCTTGTGCGCCAAAGCTCAAGGTTCATGCTCAGGGCTTCTTGGACAGTTGATGACCATCGTGTTTGTCCTTGATTTTCTACCTTGTAAAGAAAGGTGTGGACACGATTAAGGAGTTTGTGCAGGTGAAGTTGAGCCAAGTAGTACAGTATCATCTTGGATGCGGGTGAGCTGGGATCGTCTGGGAGATGAGTGATTGTGAATTTTCCTTTCGGAAGACCCATCCGAGCCTCATAACGCGAGATGCCACTCGCTGGAACGTCAAGCTCCACGAGCAGGTCACTCTCCAGCTGCAAGCAGGTCCAATAGGCGAACTTATAAAGGTCCTTCACTGGTCCCTCCTCGAGTCTCTCATACCGCTTTGATCCCACAAGTACCTGACAAGCCCTTGAGGCCTGGGAGATCCAACTGTGACTCTGTAAAGGATGGACTAATTGGCCAGCGTAAAGACCAGCGAGCAACCCCGTCTGAACATGTTCTAAATCGTTACCACCTTGCAGAAGGCCTAATATCGCGGTAGCATAACCATAAAGAGCCAGGCCAGGAATGACCTGATGATTCCTCGTATTCCCTTGTTCATGACGCGTGATTGACACACATCGTCTTGATAGATTTCCTTGAGTTTCACCTAACGTGGCTGGAAAAGGCTGGCTAGTAGGTTGCATTGGCAGCACATACGGAGAATGCGAATGCGACATTTGGATAACTGCGGCGGGATTTGCGGGCGAGAGCACATGATTGGCGGTATACATCCCGTTCGGGGGGAGTGGCGACAAGGAACCAGGGATGGGCTGGCTGCGATAATCAATTCTGTGAACCATGATAGGCCCAGGAAGAGGAGCAGGAACTTCGCAAATCGCACCAAGGGCAAGACACAGCATGATCATGGCATTTCCTATATTTTTTCCGACGCGTGGCCGCGGCGGGTTAGAGACAGTCTCCACGGACTCACCTGGCGCACCCAATTTCTCCTTGGAACGTTTCCGTTTCGCTGGCGGCAGGCCATCATGAGCTGATCGCTTGTCATCTGTGGCGGAGCTCGTAGAGGAACTGGGGCGGCAATAGCATCTAATGAACGTATCGACCTTCATATTGAGTTCGTCCTGCTCAAGGAACGGGTGGAGATTGAACATGTTGGCGAGATAGCTTTCATAGTAACGCTGAGCAGTTGCAGCGTCCAGCTTCAGGTTACCAAACTTGTCTACCTCGACGTCGGAATCTGGCCCCGCGCCATCTCCACCGGGTCGAACACCGTCGAAGCCGCCATGCCTTGGTAATTGGCTGCCATCAGCAGTGTACGAGATCTCACCTTGACCATATATACTGATAAGGCCACGCTCTTCTTCCAATCGCATCACATAATCCTCGTCATACCCCTTCGGGGATAGCAGTTTCTTGATCGCGGGCCACATCAATAGCTTGTGAGCCGCTATATTGTGACCCACGGGAATGGAATACTCTCCCTCGGCCTCGGTCGTCGAGTCATCGTACATCGGCTCCGCGGGTCCCAGCTGTTGACCATATTCAAAAGTCTCCACATCCTGGCCCACGGGATCCAGGATACTTTTCCCTGCGGTATGGGTCTCTGATACCTCTTTTAGAGGCGGGTCATGATCGAAGGCGGGTGTTGGGACGAGAGAATGTTCCTCAATGGCTTGAATGGGCCGCGCTGATTTATTGCCCTGAAACAAGTTTTGCAGCACTAACCTATGCTTCTGCTGGATCGCATACAGTTCCGATATTTGAATATCCAGACGGTCTTTCGTCTGCAAGAAGCGATCCAATACTAGCTGGGTAGCCTTATCTGGCTTTTGAGGTGACGGCGATTTGTAAACACAGGTAAGGCCGTTCTTTTTGCAGTGGCTGCAATTCGGTTGTCCCTCATCACACTTTGCTTTCTTGGCTCGACATTGATGACAAGCCTATTGCTCGGATGTCAGCCAATACTCATCCGAAGTATGTTGGTTTCATATGAGCTATGTACTAACCTGCTGGGCTCTAACAGTCTTGAGCTGGCGCGATCCATATATTTGATACTGGTAAAATGCCGGATCGTACCGGCCTGGCGGCGTGGCAGCAGCCATTTGGTGAAGGGGTGCCGTGGAATGTGAAGCTGGAGGCAGAGGGCCCGAGAAAAGCGTATACTCAGCGCTATTGATCTGATTTGTGGGTAAGTAGCCCATGCGAGTACGATCGTCTGGGGAGCCTTCACGCGGCGCTACATTCATCGGCGGGTGAAGGTTGGGGTGAGGGAAATTTGGATATTGGGGGAAATGCACGGGCGCCTGGGGGAGCAGGCCATTGAAACGACCATACAGGCCCTCCTGTGTCAATTCTGGTAGCTCATGGTGGGGCAAATCGGGGTATATTCGAGTCGATAGAGGGCGGAGGTAGTCGGGCGGGTGGCTGTCAAAGGGCGGAGGGTGTGGAGGACGCCATGAGCGTTCGTCGGTTGCGTGCGGGATCGGGAGCGCATCCCGCCCTTCGGGGGAAGGTATGCGGTTCATGGTAAATAGACGGATGGCCCGAGTATACAGAGATTGGAGCCGCCAAGCGCATTTGGCTTCTCGCAGTGTTAGTCCATTAAGTGATACTGTCCATGGGGAGAACAATATACCATCAGAAGCGGCTTGGCTTGATAAATCGGCACTCAAACCAACATGGTGATTGGAGGAATCAAAAAGTACCCGCGTAATGGGGGAAAAAGGATGGAGGATCAATCACGGCCGATCTGATGTCTGGAGGCGCGATTGAAATCGGGATCGCGTCGTTAAAAAGTGTGTTACTCCTGCGAATCAAATAACGGGCCTCAGGCTCCGATCTATCTCAGGTGTGTACGTGACTTCGGTGAAAATCCAGACTCAAAGTGCGGTTGTGCTTAGCACAACCATCTTGCTTGAATCGCTTATTATGATTGGTTGGGGAACAAAGTGTATATTCCGCGAGATCCACTTGGCCACAACACAGTAGCTCTTGATCGTTTTATGGCCAGCCCTACTTTATCGACGCTAATCGTCCATTTATCACGCAGATCCCCGTGTTTCCAGAGTATAAATCGCGGATCTGGGCCCGTAATCAGTTCGACGAGGTCAATGCGCTTTGTTTTTGGACGCGAGCCAAGAAGTAACAGGCACCTAACAGACCATCTTCGGTACCTGTCCCCCACATCATCCTTCATATCGCAGGGCTGGAAACGTCTCATGAGCTGTTTAATGAGCCCGAAGAACGGTACTGACGAATGCAACTCCCCATTACTGAGGTAATGTCGTGCATCTCCCAGAAATCTAATAGAAAATAAAAAATGTAAGCACTTCACCCAGCCTTCCTCTAGGGTTGAATCGAGTTCCTTTTGTGAGATCTCGGCGACGGAATGTCCAGATTTGTACAGATCTTGCGTCGACTTATCAGCAGCGAGGTGTTGAAGGAATATTCTTGTCGTTTCTATGCTTATGTTCCAGTGCTTGTTTTGACGACATGACAGGATACCGGTTGCCCAGGGAAGGCCAGCCGTCAATGGGAAAAGATCAATAGCATTGTCACTCCTTTGAGTGCACTGCCCGCTGCGATCCCGTTGATCTGCCATTTGGAGGAATGCCTTGGTTTGCAGAAGTTTATTGAGGGTTAGAGGTGGAAGGGAAAGATACGCAATACCCCCATTGAGGTAGTCATAAGCATAGTTCACGGGAAATTGATGCTCTTGGTTTTCCTGTGATGTCAAGTTCTCTATGAAGCGATATTAGCGCACCTAAGAATAGACCCTGCTGTAATATGAGGATAAATTACCTCTAACCGATAAAACAGTCATGATTTCGATTTTTCTCATCTCAAGGGTTGAGATGCACACAATCAGAAGGATTTGTTTCGTATGAAAATCTGGAAAAGAGCTCTGATCTTCGGACCATATTGTCTGTTCATGTGGTGTGAAGACGCTGTTTATATAATGTCCGGGGATTCGAGACCGGAGAGTGATTTCATTTGTGTAACAGTATTCTGCAGACGTTATTGGTCTATTTCAGCAAGCAGAACGCTAAACCCAGGTTTGGTGGCTTGATCACTGCTATAGGCAAACGAAATCCGCTTTTTACACACGAGCCCCTTCCCTTCTCCTCACGCTATCTGATAGTTACACAAAGTCATTGCTGAACGCAGCTGAAGCAGCATTGGCAATTAAGCAATACAGATGCTGACCGGACTTAATCTAGACATGATCGCCCTATGTGGATAAACGAGAATTCCATGTTGGTGAGCGGTTTTACTCTCTCCAGTTTCCAAGACCACACCCCGGCAGCTAGCTGTTTGTTGGCACGTGTCGATTGGACGCGTCGCAAGGGCCTTGGCTGTGAGCAGTAAATCATTCTGCATTAGTATCTTCCACCCAGCTGAGCACGGCCAAAGGGGCGTGGTAATGACGGCAGTGGCACTGCTTCGCAATATCCTGTCCTCGGACATGACCCACGGACTCACCCGGTCGGCTTTGCGGGATGCTGCCGCAAAAGTCGCAGAAGTAACCGGTGGTGAAATAGCAGGGCAAATTATGTGGTCCTTTTTCATGGTGCAGACCGTGGAGAGAGTGCAAAGCAAAATGAGTGGCTGGAAGGGGTAGACAACGACCCTAGAATGACCGAAGGCTCGCTTTGTCCTAGTTAGACATTAGCCTTTCCTGTGGGTTTTCCCATATGTGAAATGGCATAAAGATAGACTCCCACGAATGGGGCTGTTACAGTCGTCCTCCAGACCTTGTAAAACAGGGGGCAGGTTTTGCTAATCCAACAAACCTAAAAACTCATATAGCGGTTCTTACAGCAATTGTACCTGATTAGTGAATGTATGAGTTTAAATACATTAAAATTACGCTGTATTCTTCTGTGTAATAGTTCCTAATAAATATATGAAACCCTATATTATACAAAATATTAAGCGAAATTTTTATTGTGCTATTATTAAGCAACCCTGAAATTTAATTATAGCATTATAGACCATAAAATGGTGGTGCTATATACAGTGTAAGTGATATATATATTTTACATGAGGACCCGAAAAAGCGGAGTGGGAAGGAACTTTTGGTAGGGGATGTAAGTTCATCCACTTCCAGTTCGCCAAAGGATCCAGCGTGATTAATCCATAATTTGCAAGAGAGAAAAGTAGAAATAGTAGACTTGATCAATTGCGAAAAGAATCGGCAAGCAGCTACATCCTTCTTTTCACACGAAAGCTAGGAAGACAGCAGCACCTGTCTCACGGCTGGTGTATATATCAAGATCATTTACCAGCCAATATTCTCCCCCTCCCAACAACCCACAACCGAAAAAAACCAATTTTTCACCAGTGACTACCTTTGCAATAACTCCGACACCCTTTATTCGGCTATTGAGGGCAACATGGCACAGCACGACTACATATCACCAATTCCGAGATATCCCACGTTCCACTTCCCTTGGCCATCCGGGGACGATGTTTGTGGTCTTGACCAAGAAATCCGGCTTGAGAAAGAGCAAAAGGAGAGAGAATATCCCGACATTTTATGTACAAAAATGAAAATCCTCGCTTCTGGTCATAGGTTTTCAACAAATCCGGCGCCAAGGACAATCGCGATGCAACTTCTTCACGACAGTTGGATTATTTTCAAGGAACTTAAGCTTGAAGACTGGGTTAACTATGTCATGGGGATGCCATCCGTGGCTATCGGTTTATTCGAATCGTACCACAAGGAAATGGGACTCTCCCTTTTCTCTTTACTGCAACAATCACCTTGCGTTGTCGAGACATTCCGGGAAGTGACAAAAGTATCTGACGTCACCCTATAACCGCAAGACTTTATTACTCATCCCTGATTCGCTGCAGACTGTCAAACAAATTGACCGTTTCCTATATTCCACACTCTCACACGCGCTCATAGCATTTGAAAACAAATGCCCTTATCACAATTTGCCTATGGAAGCTGGCGTTATTGCTGGTCCTCTTAAGGTTTTGCTTGATCGACCGGATAGATATATTATTCGACGACTCAAAGTTCTTGAAGCCCGCTACACACGATATAAGATTGGCCCAGATATAGCAAGAGGCCGCGCCTTTGATGTTAGAACCGATTTCTTCACGGCAGTAAGCGGACAAACAGCCGCCACCATGGCTTGGAAGATGACTCAAGATGTGCTGAGCGAGTTTGATAACCTTAACATCAATGAAATATTGCTCAATGGCGACCATCTACGCCACTTGGCTGAAAAGTGGGATCAGTTAAGTCATGACACGGAGGAGATTGCAACCGCGGGAGGTCTGGACGGGAAACTCCGAGATGTTGCTAGGGTAAGGATTTACGGCTATCATTTTCTTTCTTCGGCTAGCAGAAGCTCACTGAAGCCAGGAACTTTGCAAGTTGAGAAATCATTTCTGTCTATGTGCCATTTTGAATGGAATGGCCCAAGCACAACTTCAGGTGGAGAGCAACTTGACTGCTTTCACCGATGCGCACGAGAATTATCGTCAATATCGGGTTCAGCTACATACCGACCCTTCACTTCCGTTCATATACCCTTTCATCATCGAACTGAGAAGGGGACATCATGAAGTCTTGAAAAAGATTTTCAGTTTTCTATTGTACAACCAATTTGTACGTGGGTTCCAGGAAGCTACCATTGCTGACGACTGATCTTTACGCATCCTCGAACACTCTATATGCAATGAGGTCCGACCTTGAAAGTAGGACGATCTGAACGCTCTCTGATTTCATCTCACCTGTTTAGGTAATACCATGCAAAAAATAGATTAGAAACTACCATACAATACTCTGGCACTAGCAAACTTCACCTATTTAAAAGGGTCTATAACCGTGAGAATTGTGCAATTATGTGTAACTCACACACGCGATATGGCCTCTCAATGATAAGCTAGAGCGTAAGGCGGCCCTTTACCCTTTCATGTCCTGATACACTCTACCGCAGATGCAATTCCCATTGAAACTCCGAAGTTTCTGAGCCTCGCCAAGGTCTGCCATGGATCAGCCGTTGTGTTGGTGCTGCCCTCATGGCCTACGGCTTTGAAACAGCTGTAATGCTTCGGCCAAATCCGAGACAGCTTCCGCTATCTTTGTCCGCCACGCACTGTCTGTCTTAGCTGTTCGCCTTTCTCCCGTCCTCCCAACTGGGTGATATTCTACTAAACGCGTCTCACTCGTAAGACCTGTAGTAGTTCTCTCGGCTCCGATCAATCCAGTAGTACATGGGTTACATTTATCCACTCACCACAAACCCATAGGTCGTCCTCACAGAATCGAAAGGCCTTCGCGTATGTTGTACATGTATCCAGCAGTATCCGGTTTGCAATTGCTTTAGAGCGTAAGCTCAACTCATTGGCAGAGATCTATAGAGCCGGCTCGTGTATTTCGCGGGCAGTGTGTTGTTGATCTGACGCAGGTGGTCGCGGTGTTGGACTCTTTCCATTCTGTCCCATTTAGCGTGTACCCCTTTCCCGGTGTGTGGGTGTATATAATGAATATGCCAACAATTGAACACACCTTTATGGGTCCAATCTTAGATTAATTGAGTCATCCATCTGCACTTGGCTATTTGTACCGAGGTTTGCGGGGCTCTATAATGGGAATGGGAACGGCCGACCTTACCGTAGCATCTTGCTGTTTGTAATTCACAAATACATCAATAGTCTGCAGAGCCTTCACTTGGGATATAGTAGTGACGTTCAAGTGGTCGAAGGAAATAGACTTGAGCATAATCTTACGAGCTGGCTGTACTGGATATTGAAGTTTTTTTTTCGCGAACTTTACTTGTCGTTTTATATTTCTCACTTAACTTACCTGACAATATTTATGTTTTCGATGACTGAACTTCACAGTGGTGGTGACCTTAGGGAGCTCTTTTTCCTCTATGCTAACGAGGCAGTTTGCAAAACAAGATCAAACTTTTTGCTCCTTGACCCTTTTGGGAGAAATAAAAGAAAATATAATCATTTATGACTGCCAATTGCAGTAGGTCTAGGCTTCACCTCTTTTCGTATTTTTCAAGCTGGTCTTGAAATCCATTTATTTGCCAAAAAGACTCCTATCTTCAATAAATCCAAGGTTTTCTCGTTCATCAGTTTTTCTTTAAGTTCTCCAGGAACAAGATTAACTGCCGTCGGAAGGGCACGAATCATACGATCGTATTTGGGGTGTGCAGCCGCTATCACATGTAACAAGGCTTCTCCGTCGCTGAATAGATCACTGCGAGCTTTGAGGTGGTTTTTGCGGAGTTCCCCAGCTATTCTTAGTGCGCCTCGACAAGTAATAGGCCCCAGTTTGGACGCCTTAGACAAGGCTTTTTGTCTGAACGAAGCTGATAAAACAGAGTTGCTGGCTTTGGAGCTGTATTGGCCAAATGGGAACTTTCGCACTCTGCTTGGCTTGCCGAATTTTTTTGTGATCCTGCCACTGGTACGGTGTTGGACTGATTCATCTGCTTCATCTTCCTTTCTAGGGACAGCGGATTGCTCGGTCTTACCACCGGGAGATCTTGTTTTGACGTTGTTATGCTTTGATAAATTGCTAGCTTCGACTTGGCTCTTGGGATCGTCCATACTCTTTGTCTTTTTGGGCAGTTCAGGTGAAGTAGGCAAGCCACCGAATGTCACAGATACTTCAGCTGGCGTGACAGGAGGCAAAAGTATCGATGCTGAGTCATCCTCTTTTGGTTGAACAAAATCCATGACCTGGACACCAAGTTGCCTCTCAGCTGTAAAGGTCGCTCGCCACCTTCTGATCCGCTTCCCAGGCTTAGTGGAAAAATACTCAAACGGGCAAAGAAAGGTTTACTTAGCTCTATATATGAACTTGAAAATGCGCTTAGACCTGGATATATTCCAGATGTCAACTCAAAGCTCAATCTTGCTCAACAAAAAAGTGAGTGGTGACGAACAAGAACCCTCACAAAACCTGTTCATCAAGTAATTATTGACCTCCAGTAATCCCAATCGCGCAACAAAAGTGATTCCTTCCCGAATTGTGTCCCGGATTAGAAGTTGTGGAGTTATACCTCACTTTTCTTCCGCTCCATTGAATATATGATGGAACTATGTCACTTTGTATGCGCCATAGCCAGCGGATGGCGGGGACGAGAGATAGAGGGCACTACGATAATTCGATTACGCTTTGCAGTCGGAAGTGGCATCTGATCCAAAATATGGGAAAATGGGAGGAGAAAAGTGATTGTTGCATGGGGGGTTGGCTTATGTAATGCATTTCCGATCATCACAGGTAGATTGTAAGAAATTAAGCAGCGAGGGGGAAGTAGCCCCACGGCCCGTCAAAAAGCGCTTATTGAGGATTCGTCCCGCAGTTTTCCCACGGTTTACTAGTTGCGACTTAGTGGAATTGTAACGCTCTTGGATACTGGCATTAGAAGCTCAGCGCCGCGATTAACCGGAAATAGCTTTTAATTAAGGGTCTCTAGTGCGGCCGGGCACGTTAAGTTTAACAAGAGATGAAGCCGTGAATCCGCCTTTCTGCTTGCAATCAAGAGGGCACGACTTCTTGAATTTTGCGCCCTGCGCCTGATGGCGACTGTATTAAGCGAGGTGCAGCTCACCTCATGTTATCAAGTGGCTCACTAATAACCCCGTTGATTATAATGCGCAACGACTGTGAGCTTCAAGGACACAAACGTGCGGTGCTGAACCCCGTAGAATGACTACACTGTCAGATTGTGCTAAGGTTACAACTGTACATTGGGACGGATGTTGTGACAAATGGGGTTCACGTTCTATTGCCAAATCGGTTATTCCGTGCAGGCTGAGTATAGAGTAGAAGCCGACATAGAAAAGCTGCGATAGTTTCGTAGCCTTGTGGTTCTTGAATACAACCTCTGAGCACGTTCTTTTCACTGTCAGCACCGCATTTTCCACAAAGATTGACTTTCTACGATGATGAATAATGCAGCCAAAGATTTCCTGGGTGCACAGGGCTCCTCCCAAGCAGGTCTATTTGAGGACCTTTGCCAACATCTTAGACACACATTCGTTTCGCAAAGCATCCATTGCCATAACTTGAAGGCCAGGCATCAGGAACTTGTCACTACGAACATCCGGCTGTATCAGGAACAGCAAAGGCTGAGCCGATCATTCGTGAACGAAGATCTGCTGGTAGCATTCTATCGCCAGGCATTTCGGACGTTTTGGGACGGTATAGTTGAGATTCTGGAGGAGTGTCAGCCACGTTATGCTTAGGCTCCAGTGGCTAGGATACATCGTTTGGTCTGAGATTGCACACGGTTTTGGCCGTATTTGACAAAATACCGTGTATTGTGTGGGTGGTCATTGGGTTTAGTGTGGGCCGGTACAGAATGGATAGACGGATGGTTACATTCCACCCAACTCATCACCGAAGAAGTGTGCAAGCTACAACTGTGTAGATGCATCACTGTACGTTTCAGTTCGGTTATGCCAAATGTCGATTGAATACCGTCAACAACCCATTTACCTTCTCCATCTGCTAACGTAAAACCGAAGTTACGTAATTTCTGAACCATTAGAATACCGATATCTATAATTGGAATGCCTAGCGGGGGTGGAATACTTTAGGGTTTCGGTGCTAGGGTTAGAGAATACAGGCGGTTGCCTGTGGACGTGCGAAGCGAGGGCCAATTCTCCTGCTGACGCGCTGCAGTGCAGGTTCTAAATGCCGACAAAGAACAATTGAGTCCATGCAAGGCAACTAGATATGGACCATGACGTTCTTGGATTGAACACGAAACACTGGCGGACCATTTGCGCTACTATAGTTCGCATGTGGCAATGCCTTGAGCGTAATTTTCAACTGGGTAGTCATTCATTGTATGAGCTTCTATTTTGTTCATCTAGCCCCTCTATATCTGCATAAATCCCTGTTTATGTCCCATGAATCCATATGCAATATGCTCATTATATCACTTTTCCGATTTTCTTTGCTCCTTCCGTAGCCCCTACTCTACTTTAGTAACGAACTAGAAACAGAAGTCAACTCAGAGTACATATATTGCCTGAGTTGAATATTAAATATCGGCGGCTTGCCTTTATTTATGAGATACGACTAAATGATTTTATCAATGATATGTTGGCAGGCTTTGAACTGGTCGAAGTCGGGGTGGAGCCTCTATAATGGGCCCGGATACTCATTCGAAGAAGAAATCCTTTAAATTAAGCCTAATCTTCTTATGGAGAGCAGAAGACTGCAATCATGCTACATCTGGGCACGCACGTCGAAGCCACGGGTTCGCTTCGTCGTGCTCCCCAGCCTCGATCATGGTACGGTGGGCTTAGTGCTCTTTGTATATCTCTTCCATATGGGTCGCCAACCGGTCAAGCATGTGGGGTTACGTGACATCGTTGATATGTACGAAACTACCATATTCGGGGCATCGGACGTGCATATAATGGGACCCAGCCCCGTGCGTGAACGGCCGCTGGCACGATGTAACTACAATAGGTTGTATCAAGTCCTGCTCGGCGCCGGAGCACTTCCGGTATTGAGCATAATCAGGACCATGCGGTACAGAACATTAGTGCGCGGTACAGTAACGCCCGACATCGCTTTCCGTATCGTTGAGACAGAGATGCCCTTTCGAACCCTAACCACATGATACTTGAAAATAACAAGTTTTGTACATATTCGTAGTAACACAGTACTATATGCTTTTTATAGATTGTAAGATAGATACATGAACGCTGGAGGAATGAGAGCGGTCAGGAAGAAGGTAGCAGCTGGTTGGGGATTGGGATTTTTTTCTGGAGGTGTGACAATACATAATCTTACTGTTTTCTCGGCGGCTTGTGGTTTTTTTTTTTCATACCATTCGAGATCGGAACAGACTTCAAATACAGAGCTAACTATATTTAACTATGCATTATGATGTGACTAGGATTCGAAAGCGCTATCTCTGTTTCCGACATGGAAGGCGATGTCGGGCGCTATTATAACGCCAATCATTTATTATTATAGCAGTGGTACAGGCCACGACGGCTATACCATTAAACCACTCACTTTGGTTGCGAGTGGGATCATTTGGTGGTAATCCTGGTCGAACACTCACTTTCTAACTTTTAAAGTCCCAGAATATTTTGTTTCTTGGACTTATCTCAAAGCATAATGGCGGTAAAACAGCTGGGAAAACACAAGTATAGATGAGGCTGATATAGAGAGAAAAATTTGACACTCTTGATAGTACGGGGTGAAGAAACGACATATTCTACATTTGATGACGGAGCATAGAGAACAAAAAGTGGTGCTTAGTAACATCAGCGCATTATTGAAATTCTAGAGAAAGAGGGTACTCCAATATTTGCTAGTCTAAATATATTAATCGCCAAGAAGGCTGATTTTAGATCCATGATCCGGGGCTAAAGGCAGATAGATAACATCAGTTAGCATAGTTTACCGTTTGCGGAATCTGGAAGAAATCTGCACCAGTCTAGAATCTCCAACATAGGATAGATTTAATTAAAAACTAAATAAGTTAAAGTTTTAAGTGGAAAGTCAAATTAGAGACTGACAGAAGGTTAATGTCAACTTCCATGGGTCTTGCCATCTAACTATATGATTGAATAAAAGTCCACCGAAGTTCCTAACTATTAAAACTACGGAAAACATAAGTCTTTATATTTGTTGAAAATAGGTATAAATATCCTATATTCCGTAATATTAGCACCCAATTATGAATATAATGAAAACAAATATTCTCCTGAATAAGTAGATATTCTCCGTTGACACATGTTATCTGTATAAAGTATCCTGAACTCTACCCGCGACCTACTTTAGGTTTATTTCAATAAGGAATGTTCAAGGTAAATTATGAATCTGGGCCATTCGAATCTTTTTCTTTTCTTTTTTTTTTTCCCACCCAGAGCCGATAATGACGTGTTACCCTTCACTTTTCACTGCAGTTTTAGCCGTGGATTAGATCCACCCTCTGAAAGTTCCAGTCCCCTGATATTTCGCTCAAAAACTCTTGAAGTCATACCCAGAATGCTCTAGGGTAGGCTTGATGTGCTGCTGTATTTTCCTTGGTCTTCCAAATTGTTGTAGGTTCTAGCCACGTCCAAAAGGTTACTATTGCGTCAACAACCTACCCAAAGCCATCATATGCTCACCATGTACCTGTCATCCTGTCGTAATTGTTCATTCAGTCAGCATATTCTTATCGTAATCTGCTGAGAGAGTATCTTTTACTTATAAAAATGCTTGAATTGTATCTCGACTTGTCCTACTAAACACTAATTTGACCCTGCGTTAGGTCCACTAGTATTCGATCCCATATATATATATTTGCACGCCCATATCAGCCATGGATAAGCTGGAAGAACTGCAGAGAAAAAAGCCCGTCCTTCACGCAGCAGAGCCCAATGAGCCGAAAGAGCTGGAACTGCTGGAAGCACCTCCAGCATCTGTTTCCCAGAAGGCGCTCAGTTTACCTCGTTATACCACCACTGTCAAGATCTACCTTCTCTCAACAGGAAGAGACCCCGGCAGCACTTGCGAGCTGAGGGGTTGGATTGTGATGTTTACAGACACTGGCCGTCCTTATCGGAGCATCAATGTCGACATGCCCGTGAGTCACGACTTTAGTGGTGATAATAACGGACGCGGCACGAGAGTTGCTGAATTTACTGTTACGACTCTTGGCAAACCTGCCAGCTTTGCTGGGTTTCTCATGGAAGAGGGATTTTTGCCTTTTGTGCCAGACAAGGTTATCCTAAACTATTTCCTTGACTGGGATACAGCCCCCCTGGATTGGGCTAATGGCAGTGAGTGGATGAGCCGCCAAGTCTGCAAGGACGATCGAAATTATGCTTGTCACATCGTTTGGCAAGTCAGCCCCACCATTTCATAACTTGGAAATACTTCCACCGCAACAATCGGACAGGATACCAGGAGCATGTGGCCTGTGAGAATTGTGAGGATAATTAGTTTCTTATGTTATTTTGTCCACCAGTTAGGACATTTTTGTTTTTGGTGAAGTACTTGAGACATTATTGTTGCGGTAATCCCCGGAGTCTGCCGTTATCCTACAAGCTTCCAATATTCTGTATGTCTAACCTGCGACAGCTTTGTTAACGCTATTCTTTGGAGTGCTCTTCTTTGGAGAATGACAAAAGGCTTCGAGGATCAACGCGCCCCGCAAGGTATGATTCTCAAGAAAAAACGTTAATGTGTAATTTTATGTTTTTCTAATGAGTTATTGGAAATTATGTGGGCAAAAGAATGCAGAATACTCGATGCCCTAGTTAGCAAACGAGATTGAAAAAGAAAATGTCTATTCCTGCCGTGCGTCGGTATAGATTAAATCTCAGCTCGTACCTAGCTGATACTAATTGATTACATATAAGCAGAGTGTGACCTTTACAGTGACGATGAACCGCAGATAGTCGAACCAAGGACGAATTTAGCTTTGTTGCGGGATCGGGTGATCGACGTGCATCATGTGGCGTACCCCAAATTGGCGGCGGTCAGCTTCAGACCCTAAAGCTTAAATTAACCTAAGGGCGAAAAGGTTTAATTTCTTCCTTCCAGATCGTAACACTAACCCCTCGACCTACCTCGAGAAAGGGTTCTGGTTTAGTAAGGCCCGTTTTGTTTCCTATATCACTTAGGCTAGCTGTCTTAGCCTTTCCAATAACGATGGGTTGCCCGATGAAGCTTTCCCCGTTACCGATCATACCATAATTCTCTCTTTTGACACCTTTGCCGCTACAGTACTTCCCGAAAGTGGTGTCACCACTTACACTCTTTCATTCTTCTCAAACGCTAATTGCCAAGACCAATAAGTCTCTCTTAGGAGTTTTTCCGCAGTACCCCTGTCAATGGGGCCTGTATTGTTTCTTTCGCAAAGTTAATATCGGAATGTAGCACGGTGTAATGACTTGTAATTTGATATACCTAAGACCACGACACCCTTAGTACGATCAGATCTTAACAATATCACGAGTGGTCACACTAAGATAGCACCCAACTTAGCCAATTAAGAGCATAAGCTTATTTATGATATGATTCGCAGCGGAGACCTATATATGTTAGGTATCCAAGGCTGCTGTCTGCATTAAGCGTACTATCCTAACAATCTCTTCTAATATACGAATACTTGGTAGCGTTAAAGCACCGCCTAATAAAGGTGGCAGACAAAAAGCATCAGTCTAAATATGCTAGAAGACCTTTGCGAACGCCTACTCAAACAGCCCAATCTATACTTGATGAGATAGCACGTTTTCTATAGGATGAGTTCAATATCCAAGCCACAAAGTCTAGTATTAGTCCCGCACTTGTATTAAAACGCTGATCAAAAAAGACTGCCCGAGTTGAGACTAAAGAGCGTAATCTCAATCTCCGTGATAAATACTCTCAGTTTATCTCAGAGTTCAGATCCCACTACATTGTGTATGTGGATGAATCTGATTGTGATAAAAGGATAGGCTTTAGGCGAACGGGTTGGTCAACCCCACTAGGGATGACACTAGTTATTGTTGTACCCAAAAAGACTAAAATCGTGCCCGCCGCAAAACATCAACCGTGTAATCACGCACTATGTAACCACATCTCATCATATAACAGAATCATAACAAATTCGTCAACATTGCCTCTTTCACGACGCCACATCGCCATTATCATCCCTTCTCTTCTTTCTGGCAAAAAGAAAGTGCGGTAGCCAACTACTTCATTTAGAAAGTTTCCTGGCACGGTGTTCGATGTCATCTTTCACCTCCTGCTCCGAATATTTTCCAGTATAACCTCTCATTTTTTCCATCTGCTGCCAATCATCCAACTTGAATTCGTGGTCATATATTGGCGCGTTGAATCGAAAATAGGGTGTCTCAATTCTTCTTGTGCGGTTTTCTGGTTTGAATTTTGCAGCCGAAGTTTTGTTGCTCAGCTTCCGTATTTGTAGAGAATGACGTAACTGGGTTGACTGTATTGAGAAAGCCCAAGAAGGAGCGTTCACGCGCCATGGAAAAGCTGGTGCCAATGCTGAGGACGTACTTTACTACTGGCGTATCGGTAAGATTATCCGTGAGGTCATATCTTGGTGCCCATACTTGGAAAATCAATTGGGTTGTTGTTAAGAAGTCCGCCGTCCCAGCATCTTAACCCTTGAATCTCAACCTCGGGCATGTATGTTGGGGCAGCAGATGTAGCGCCTACAGCCTCATTGATTGTGGTATGATTCAAAACCTCGAGTCTCGAATAATCGTCTGGTTGAGTTGCGTAGGAGCGCAGGAGAAGAGATGTGCCCTCCTCGGCTAGGGTAGCACAAATGAACCTAGCGTAATTAGTGAACAGTATAGTATTAACCTCTGACATTCCCACATACTTCCTGTATTGTCTGATCGATCCCTTACAAGACGCGACTCGCCTTTCTTTCGTGGTCTTCAGGACCATCGGATTTCTTAACATCCTCGTTGATGGCATCGATAACGGGTTTATTTGAAAATCGAGAGGTAAAAGCAAGGGGCTTGAACTTAAGCCAGGGGTTTCCAATGTTGTAGCCTAACCAGCCCCAAGCGTGCATATTAACTGCTCCCCACAATACTCTGGGAACTGAAGACCTGGGCCGCAAAGTTCATTGCAAACATTGATTGCTGGCCGATACGCCAAGACCTCGGCAGTGGGGCCAGAATATAGTTACTCAGTGTTTATTGGTAAGTTGACAGTAGTAATGTAAAGTCTTCTATCATGTGCAGCGCCTAAAACCCTGACATCTCCTAGGTTCGCTGAAAGGAAATTTTGTGTCCGCCGCGATAATGCGCGCGGTTCGGGTCAGATCCGCATAGACCGGGTCGGTCCGTTCCCTTCCACGAGCCTGGCGACCAACTGTTGACCAATATTATCAACGGGCTGAAGAAACTTCGTGGGTGGGAAACAAGAAGTCGTTAGCACAAACTTGTGTAATTCATCTATGCAACTCTGAGCTAAAAAGAATTACCACTCGTACCCAGTATAAATCCAATGAAACCTCATAGGAATAGAATCAAAACCATAATATATGTAACAAAGCATTGCTTTACCTACGCAGGACCTTTCTTACCACGGCGAGCATTGAAATTTCCATCTACTTCGTCCAACTGTCACACATCAATCACTGAGGCGAGAACTTCACACAGTAACCTGCTGCGAGGTTCTTCAGGAAAACAATCTCTTCTCAGCGGTTCATCCGGTACTCTCCACTTCTCGCAATCCTGGGAACTACCCCCATGAGGCCCCAGTTGATGGTTGATCTCCATTGTGCTCTTTTTGGTCCCACTCAGAATGTTCTCTTTGGAATCGATCGTATATCTTCCTGTCAAAAGTGCGGCCACTATACTGTAGCGGAACCAAACTTCAATGGCGTTATGAAATCGTGATGCTTTCCAGCTTACTGAGGTCAGCTGCTGGACACCCCCTCCATCTGCAAGATCCCGCGTCTACCAAGGCACTCAGGTCGGGAAATATTTGCTCCATGCATCTCACATAATAGTACGGGATGGATCGATATTAGTTTGACCACTTTGCTCTCATAGAATCTTTCTTTAACCCCTATTCCGAAACACCCTAATCCAGTTCAGGCTTAGCAAGGATTCTAAACCAAATCGTATTGAAATTGAACCTCACGGGATGTAAGATTCTATAAATATTTGTAAAATTTTTGCAAACAATACTGGCATCTCGCAGGTCCTGGTTTCGCCTGTTGAAAGCTGTGATTGCTCCTGACCTCTTGACACCTATGGACGCTTGAATGATCAGGCCAATCCTTTGTAGTAACTAACAAATCAATCTATGATAGGAAAGATTATTTCAGAAAGAATTATAGTGAGTAATAATGTAGATACATACACACACATGTGCCGCTAAGCAGTTAGCTTATTAGACGTTGGCATACTAGCTCTGTGTTTCCCGTGCTAGCAATATTTCTGAACTGGATAAAGTACTGTAGTTGTAGCGTCATTGCGTGAAGTCTTCTATTTCGGCTTTATTGTTGGTAGAAAAACTAGCTCGAAGATTTCATTTAAGTACAGTAATCCTGCACTGGTCCAAGATACCCCAAGGCTGGTTTAACACCCTGAGGTGGGTTCAGAATTTTCTTTGTAGCAGATACCGAACAATGTTTGAGCTTAGGGGCAAAATAGTCTACTAGACGTCTAAAGTAGTCGGGTCCGAATTCGATGTTCAAAGGATGTAGTCAAAGGGCTAGGAATCATCTGAACAGATGCGGAAGGAAAGTTTTCTGCCAAAGCAGGAACAGTATTCTACCAAACAGTTGATGTCAAGGCATGAGGCCATGTGCCTCGAAAGAGGTGTCGCGTTATTTGGAAGGCTTTGGGTGGCGTTCTAATGTGGGATTTCGGGAACGCCAGCGTTAAGGTATGAAAAGAATGCTTGAAATATCGACCGACGCACAAAGCCTGCGCTGACCCGCTGGAAATTCCAATTTTGTCTCAGAAATTCTCTGGAAAGGGCAAACCTGTCAGCATGCACAGAGTCTGTGAATGGTTTCCCAGACCGTCGCTCAATCTCTACCTCATCGTTGTTGTTCAGCGGAAAGTCGCATGGATGTGGGCGAGGAAGCTCCCTAGCTTCGCTCAATCGATCCCCTTCGCTTATGGGAACTTCAAAATTGTAACCTCGAGCTAGCAGAAGGAAATGACGTAGAAGGAGCAATGATGGAATGCCATTTAATTCTTCATTAGCACTTATAGAAAAGGCACGTTCCTTGTCCTTGTTCTTTCGTGGAACGCGACGGTAGTGGTCCCTCTTGGGGGTTAATTCAAACGCATACTGAAAACTGAATCGCCAAAGATCCTGGAGCTGCTCGTTTTGGACGGTTTGCTCCCAGTAGGATCTAGATAACAAACCGGAAGTGAACCCACTGCATTGACTTCTCAGGACCTTGTCAATGGTATTATCTCCCTTGGGTGGTACAAAACAGAGCTGTCGCATAACGCATTGCCCAACATCCAGATACAGGATATCTTGAAAGAAGGTCTCAAGTGTTGGGATGGGGAAGTCAATGTCTTTCAAGTTTTCCCATATCATATTTCGCTGGTAGTCTTCCATGAAAGGAAACAGTATCTTGTTCTCGTTCTTACTTTCCAGATCAGATAAGTCTTGCGATGAGATTCTTGGCACTTTGGATTTTAGAAATTTCACAGAACCAGCGTCAATAAGGCTCAAAAGGTGTTCGTCGCCATCTACCAGCCTCAGGAAAGTCCTTCGAATATGTTCCAAATAGCAGATAATTGGCTGAACCTGTAGTGTCAATCCCTGCCTCTCCCAACGAACAGGAAACTCACCTCGTCGCTTTTCATAGCTTTCAATTTATGCAAAACTCCAATGCTCATACCGGCCCATATACCCGGTATCGGAAGGAGAGTATCAAAGGCTGTTTGCAAGCTCTCTGGGAGAGTGCGCAAATAATCTCCCTTTCTACTTCCAGGCTCGGACTCTAAAAGAGCCCACCAATAACTTTCTGCAGTCTCATTGCGGAGATCTGTGGAGCTACCTTGATAATAGCGAATATTCCAGTATATTCGTCCGTCTGAAGGGCGCTGGTCGTTTGGGAAGCTCTCTTGCAGGCTTCGCACTAGTTCGCCACGAAGATCCAGGTCATTACCTGGATAAATATTGGGCAGGGATCAGCTTGTTGGATCAGGTACTCTGGAACGCCTGCCGCTGACTTACTCGCTCCTGTGATGTAGACATCTGCTACCCACCAGGGATCCTCGATTTGGAGCTCTTTGAACATTTCGCGAGCTGCGATAATAACATTCTCATGGTCTAGGGCTGGTAGAGTATAATCCGATCTAACCTCGAGTTGGTCCATACGCAGGCCACGTACCAATGTTGGCTCTCGCGAATTGACCTTGGTAAGCCAGTCTGCAGCATCTACCACCACTGGAACATGAAACTCCCTACTCAAACGTAAGCACCCCTGGATACTTAGGATCTGGGTGAGTCGTGCAACATTGTTTCCGTCTTCAATTAGTCGATTTTTGCTTTGCCCAAAGTCCAAGTCGCAGAGGTGAACAAGAAACGGCCCCTTGAAGCACGAATCACGATAATCAAATTGCTTTCGCTCCACTTTCTCGACATCAATCTGATTTGATGCAAATGCACTTGGACGTTTTGATCGACGTCGTTGAGCTCGGGCCGTCCTTCGTGGCATGTCGGTCGTCTTTTCAACTTTGAATCCTAATTCTGGGAGTAACGTTCGCACAAGCGGGAAATATATTCAGTTTACCAGCGATAAATCTATTATATAAATTGGGAAGGCGTCCGCTACCAGGCTTGAATGCCTCAGCTTTATACGCAAAACTTAAGCTAGAATAAAGTAAACGAAGGTGAACGAATCTTTGTACCAACTACCAGAGGACCAATTAAATCCTAGCTCTTTGGTCATTGTGTCGCGCCTTTGGCATGAGCCTCATCTTAAAAATTTGAGGCTATACGATTAAATGCGTACTGCAATCGAAACTTTATATTGCCTCTCATAAATTGACACGCAGGCCCTGATATGAAGTATTTGAGGGGGTCCTTCATCGAAAAGATGGCATGCCGTTTATCTCACTCATTATGTCACGCAGTGTACAGGGAGGATCTAAATCAGGTTTACCACTCGCGCACAGAGATACTTTCTCGGACGCTCTATCTGACCACGCGTTACCTACTACGGTTACTCTGCCCCTGAACCACTTTCTTGGCAGTATTTCAGTACAGTCGTAAATAACACCATAAAGGTAGCTTCTGTAGTAGACTCATAAGGTCTCCAGGGGTTTTATAACGTTGTTCCAGCAAATAAGTCAAACAGACAGATGCCTGCCCGTTGGGCGACATTGCAAAAATTTGAAATCTCATTCTGCCAACCACTGTCCGTCTAGAGTGACCACTACGAAAGAGCGACTTGTATAGCGATAGTGTAAGTGGGTCATGTTTCTTTGCTTCCTCTACCAGGCTTGGCTTTCCACCTAGAAGACCATGATCTACTAAATTGACTGGTCGTGATCATACCGACATTGCATCTGTCAGGGCCTTGAAGCGAGGACGATGACTGCTAATCCGTTTCCCAATGACACGTGCTTTTAAGCGGCATGACCTCGACTCTGGAACTCGAGGTTCGCGATACGCCCCTCCACTCCAGGATGCCACTCGCACGCCCGCGTCAAGCTGTGGGCTCAGCCCTCCCCCGACTGTAACTCCAAGAACGATCGGGAACTCCTGTCACAATAGCAACCGCAAACTCATAGACTACTGGATCTATTCGATGGCATGGTAGAATTTCAAGCAACGACCATCCGGGAAGCTGCATCGAGTATACGATAGAGTGGAAACACATGGTGAACAAGAACGTCCTTTCACGAGACGCAGAAGAGAATATAACCCTGACTCCTAGTGCTTACTGGCGGACGACCCTGACCGGTAAGTTGGAGAAGTTGGTAGAAGTACAGGTCCCCAGTAAAGGAAGGGTAAAGTCGGACGACACCTCGATCGTGATGTCAGTTTCACTTCCACAGTAGAGTAACCAAAACCCTCCAGATTGACGGGGCCGAAGATTTCTCGGGCCGATCTTCAAGGCCCATAAGACGCGTTACAGCCACCCGTGCCGCGTGCACACCATAGCTTGTGTCCACACAAGTCCGCCATGGAGTCTCGACAAATGGCCCAACTAGGCCGACATTGACGACTGATTCTGGGGTAATGCAAGCGCGGTCTTCGAGGGATCTAGTCAATAATGCTGAGCTCATCCTCGGCATCACGCGTGGTATGGTAATAGAACGCTGAAGCTTCTGTGGCCATCTCGCCAGGGGGATTCAGATAATATAAGATCTCAGACATGATTTCGGCACCCGAACAAACAAGCACGTTCTTTTTGACATGCTCGCCTTCGTTTTCGGGAAAGAGCGCAAAGCCCCAGAGGACGCAGACGTCTTGCGACTGGTGAGTAAACACAGGCTGGACAGGGAGGCAAAGCCTCAAGGGTAAGAATAATTGCACCAGCCTGAGATGTGCATCGTGACAGAGATTGAAGATATTCGACAAATCCAATGTGCTCGGTTGTGACAGTGAAGGATTCCAACATGGATTCGGATTTGCGTGTGCAGAAAGTATAAGGGTTGCCATGATCGGAGTATTTGTTCCCAGCTTCTAGCCATAGTGCCCAGTTTGCGTCGAGGTGATCTCCTGCTTCAATTGAATGACAAGCTGGCGGGAGATCATTTGTTCCAATTTCAGATCCCGACACAGTCGATCCCGGTATAGCAATGACGATGTCGCTAGGTCCTATCACATTTTCGAAATCAAGTCCGTTCTGAGAAACGGCGAGCCGACTGATTGTACGACGATTTTGGTTGACTGTCGTTTTGACATTTCGTATTTTGATATTGAACTGAAAATCCACGCCCTGACTCCGGAGAAAGAAATATATAGGGAGATGTATCGACTCGTATTGATAATAGCCTGTGAGATCCAGACAGCTCAAAATGCCTAAGCTGTGGAAGTCGGATAAATATTGCCTAACAGCACGCCTGAATTCTGCAGCGCTGTGCCAGGGCTGAAAACCGAACCTTGCCCGAAGTTAAACCAGGGAATCAATGCGTTGGGTCGTGCAATTACGCACTGTGTCGACCATATCGTCCAAAATGTACTCCTAAAGAAGCTCTCTCGGAAAAAATGACGGATCTCCCTCTTTTGCAGGGTTTTCTCTCCTTTTATAAGAAGATGCATCAAATGTATTCTGTGGCTCCACCCTGTATTCAGCGACTCCGTGGGCAGGTGTCTGAAAGCCCCTTTATTTTGAGCGATAAAACAGGTACCCCCGTTTCTGTTCATGGCATTTTGTTCCTCCGCTGCTCGAAGGTCATGCAGATAAGAGCGACCTTCTGTCACTGCGGATGGAATCATATCGAGAAGCTCTGTCAACCCCGATCCAGCGGGAGCAGGGAGACACCCTGCGAACTGATCATATCCTGCATGCGTAGTACCTTGATGATGTAATGTTTGCTGCAAGGACAGGTGTTCATCGAGGACGTGCACAGCAGAAGGGCGTAAATGAGCATTCTTTATCAGGTAAACTGCTGATGCTAGAGATGCAGTTCCACTTCCAAGGATCCAAGCCTCAGTTGTTTCTGGTAAGCGTCGGCTGTATTGTGCTGAGCTAGCCATAGAATGTGTCTTATGGGCGAAGCAGATTCGAATGTGATGGGAGACTGGTGGTGCAATGCACACGTGTTGAATATTAAAGAAAGCTGCTAGCACATCGCGCACACATCCGCCCAATTATATCAATGAAAATTACAAGATGGTGGCGATATGAGACGTTCCAGTGACTCAGTCATACAAGCCTAAAGATTGTCTCTTCCAGCCACCGTAGCCAACGGTCGGTTTGGGGTAACCACGGCTCGCTTCTATTTGCACGGTCATCTAGGATAAAAAGAGTCAGAAAGGAGCGGATAAGCGAGAAATGCAAAAGGTCGATAGTGTTACTTCATGTTGAGTTACTCCATGTTGAGTAGACTAACATCTCTCGATTGATACCAAAACCTCTAACATAGTGGTCGGACTCGATGACGTCATAAACAACATTTTGACGTATTCCACGAGCGAGTGTCCACCCCACCCAACTCTATACAGTACAATAATTCACTTAAACAGTCTGTGCCTTGCTTCGTGCACCCTGTGCCTCCCCGGGCTTATTAATTCTTCAGAAGCGCTCCCCTGTTAACATTCAGCTGATTGCGAATTCTGTTACGGTACTTCTAATATTGTCATCGGAACGGTATACTTACAGTAGACATGATATACGTACATTTCTACTTCACTAAATGATGAAATATCCGCAAATATTTGGCCAGCTTCTATGGCAAACCATACTCTACGTGTGCAACATACTGCTACTCGGCCTCGCGAGCTTATTTCCGAAAAGGCTATCAACACATGAAGCATGGCTATCAAGTAGTCGTGGAAATCTATAGTGGTATTGAAACTGTTTCAAAATCTGTATATGAGTAGACTGAGAGTGGTGGTAGCCCTGGGACATAGTGGGCCCAAATATGGCTATCGTTTATTAAGAAAGGATACAATGTGCAAGAATCCGATGACATAGTATAATGTAGATACATTGTAATGTATGATACTAGACAAAAGGCCAAACGATCGGTTCACCTCGCACTGTACACATATTCAATCATTCACTGCGGATGTAACCTAGAGTGCTTTCGCAACCCATCATGGAATCATATCCAGCGACAAGTGGGATCCCATACTCGATAATGATTCCATTGGGACTTCCAATTTTGCTCTGCTCTTGCCTCCTGAGCCCTAGACTTTTCCAATGTTTCGCGTAAGTGGCGTATGGCCTGTATGACTTTCAAGTTTCTTGTGGAAGTGCACTTGCATATAAAGTAAGATTGTGGTGTCAAATCTTGCACTGCGTCAATCGCCGACTTGGAGAGCTCATGAAAGTTTTTAAAGCATGATTGGTAAAATTCATTCTCATATTTTTGCTGCTCCCACTGGCGAAGCTTTTCGCAGCGAGACTCGGGAAGTGATCTCCTATGTTCCGACTTTGAACTTTGTAAGCGGACTCTTGTAGTCTCCAGAGCCATGGTTGAGCCACGAGCCATGGCGATCTGGTGATCAAGAGAATTAATTTCAGGTAAGTCATGTTTAGCGGGCAGTGTGCTGATGGCACGTGGCATTACGACATCCTTTGGCGAGTCGACGGGTCGGCTGTAAACGCTAGAAGTGTCATCTCGTATTATACGATGTTCGCTCATTTTTGACAAGTTGATCAGCTGTTCATGAAATGAGAAGTGTGTCAAGGATTATGAGTCGAGTGACAGGTGTTTCAAGGCCAAAGTGATACTTGAATATTAGGATCTCAATCAACTAAGGGTATAAATATTTCCTATGCGGCAGTGCCCTCTGTTGTTCTTAGTCCTTCATTCTTTGTATTGGCTTTTTAACCTCACATTTCTGATAGATCGAATGGCAGAAAGTATCAGGAAATTGGCCGGAATATTTTCCAGGCGAGTTAATTGCACCAGCAAATAAGATTGGTCTAGAACAAGATACGAACAAAACATAGACAGAGCTGTCGTACTTGTGTAGTTGGACAGTAGGCATTACTCAGCCGAGTGATTGGGCCGGGGGGGGTGGGGGGATTGGATGAGACAATGACGGAAACACCTTCAGGGAGCGGTCAAGCGGGCCGCGAAAATATTCCTGCGCCGAGAGTTCACACAGCTCTAGAGGACATACATACAGCCGTTTCGTTGGTTGGTTGGTTAGCGTCATTTACCCGAAATGAAACTACGGATCCGTACCCAGCCTAGCGGGTTGTGGTTTAAAAACCAACTCAAAAAGCGATATGGAGCCTACCGCAACTATAAACACCCTTGTATGTACCTTCCTTAACGAACTTAGAGCTTCGCGGTGGCTGCCGGCATACATACAGCCATTCTCGAAATCGGCTTGACCGATACACACTGAGTTTCTCTTGTCTGGCCTCATCACGAAGGCTTAGCGCAGTTCGTTCATTGATGAAGCCGCAATAAGCTGAGGGCCAGTATTATGCCAACTGTATTATGCCGGTATATATTACAGTAACCGTTAAGTACTAATCAACGGTCAAAGAATGGCAGAACACAGGACTATACTGAAGCATTTTCCTCTTGCTCATCATTTATTCCATGCGGCTCTCTCAACATTTGTCCTCGCTAAAGCCTTGGTGGCGGGCACAGGGAAGAGACATTCAATGTATATCGGCCAAGCCGATTTCGAGAAAGGTTGTTATGTATGCCGGCAGGCAATGGCGAGAGTCAATTTCGTTGCTCTAGCTAAAAAGTCACATTTTCGAAAGTAATCTTTGTCCATTCTGATAGAGCCACTCTATTGATCACCGAGAACGCATGTATTCGTTTAAGAAGCGTATCAGACCATGTGCATGGTCCTCGGTCTTGTTTTTGGAAGTAAGCCCAGCCTTGGTCCCACAACACTGTGGGATTAAACGATCCCATTCACGTTTCTGAGGCACTGTAGCACGCTTCGAGTGAATTGCCTCGGTCTTTTGTTGGCCTTCTCGTCTCTTCAACCCAATAGTCCGCTGCGTACTGTATGTTTTGGCCGGCAGCCGCAGTTTGCAGAGGCCATGCAACACGTACGGATACAGTAGAAATGCCCTTCAACCTTACTCCTGTACTTTCAAGTAGCATCACCTACATCAATAATAAAAAATAAATAACCAATCAGACAGCAAAATGATGGCAAGAAGAGTATTGATATTATATTTTCAAGAAAATGTGGGACGTCATGTCCAATCCCACTATATAATCTATGGGCCCCCAGCTTGATTATGGGCTCCAAATGTTTCTTTCTCGCAACCCTGGACTTTGGCTCTTTCACAGCGTCTGGAGGCTATGCCGCCTCAAACCAACAACGTCATAGATGGAGAATTCAAGTGCCTTAAGAGGATCCAGATGAACGCGTTGGACAAGAATATTATGGCTTTCCTCGAAGCAACTCACGTGTCGGCCCAGTCCAAGGGCATAAGCAACCCAAGAGGTCCTTTCAACAGGTCTCTCATTCATTACGCTTCTATGGGGGACTGTACTGAACTACTCTTGCGACTTCTGGACATAGGCGCGCCAATAGACGACCGCGATCAAAACCAACGTACCCCTCTCTCCTGGGCAGCTGAGTATGGCTCTTACAATGCAACGAAAATTCTGGTGGAAAGCGGAGCCCAAGTCAATGCTCTAGATGATGTGTACAGGACACCACTGTCATGGCTGAGACACGCTGGGCATCCTGATTGTAAAGGCCTCCCGGTTACCAAAGCATATCTCAAAAAGAATGGGGCAATCATGAAAGGTGCCAAGCGTGCCTGGGTTTTGAAGAAGCTTGGACTTCTCTGAGTGTCTAATAAGGAATCTTCCAGCATTTTTCCAGACCTAGTTTTCGTCCATAGTCCCTATCTGTCTGTCGCTACTTTGGCTATTACATGCTATCATTCCGAAGGCTGTGGCTTTTCGCTACAAAGCCGTCTATGAATTCTTCTCCCTTTTGTTCTTTGGCACAGAGCTACGTCCCCGGGACAAACTTTTATTAGCGGCTGCCACGCTTTAATTCATGTTCCTGTACTAGTCAAAACCTTTGCTGAGATTGAAAGTTAGACTCATCCGAGATTGTCTACACATCGGGCTGGTAAGAATGTGCACTATACCTTTGTTGTACAATTCTTGCCCGTATGCAGCCTATAGAGGATCACTGGGTCTCGCGCACACTAACAAACTTGTCTCGTGATGCCATAGTTGGGTCGCTGTAGAAGCTTACCACGACGCTAATTTGCTAGCAAACGTAAACATACCAGGATATCAAAGCAAGAAGGCTTGTTGCTGGCGGAGCGCTGCACCATTACACGGAAGGAATGACATAGGAGTGGCACAGAGACACATAGATTAGGCAACTGTATACCCCCTTGGAATGTTCTAGGACGGTATCTAAATGTATGGGAAGGTCATACCATATTCGGAATAGCTGCGGACTACCAATGTCGCCATATACACGCTCGAAATCATTTTCACTTCTGTATCTCTTTGATTCTCTCTCGAAAGCCCGTCTTGCATGGCCCTATACGTCTTATGGTTAGTATAACGCCGACTCGGTATCTTCATACGGTAACGAAAATGTTATAAAAATAATTATCGTAACATGCTTTATGGCCTTGCCACGTCGAGAACACAACCCAACGGACTGACTAATTGACAGGAGGTTGGGTCAGTTGTTGGGCCGGCGCCCTCTGCCCTGATCATCACATAGCATGACTGCTACAAAGATAGCTGATTTAGATCCAAGTAAGTCTGGCGCGCGTCTGATGTCCCATTATCTGCTTCCCCTGAGTCTAAGTTGCCGACATTTTGAATTTCTGACGTTCGTGGAGGTTTGCACAATCCAGAGCCTGCAGTGAGAACCGAATCCATCTCAGCTAATGATGCACCGTTGCGGATTGCTCTGACAATTCTGTCGACTTCCGATTGATCATTGATGCGAAGACTTTCCATCAAGCGCATAAGCAAAGCCCGGTCCTGTTCTAATGAAGCAATTCTTCGTTTGTACGAGAGTTTTCGCCGACCATCGCTCTCTTCGTTCATGATACATGGCGCACCCTCTCGGTTACACGACACGCATGGTATCCCTCCATGGCACTATTTCTTTCGTGAGTCAATATTCTCCATCTGGAAAGGGTACCTACTTTGGCTTTCCGTCTTCGACATTCAAAACAAGCTGTACTAGCCTTTGAAAGCCGCTTCGAGACATGAGGGACATGACTTGGACGATGGATTTTTGATTTGGGTGCCAAGCTTTTAGTGGGAATTTGCGGTGCCATTCTACCTTGAGGCCTGAGAAGTATTGTCGTGGTCATGAACATCTTCAGCTGGTTCTGTTTTTACCCCTCTTGGTGATCAGTACGTCATATTTACTCTCTTCCGCACAATGATTGGCCCGAAACCACCGGAAAATTAGTCCAGATACTACCCGCCCCTGTTCCCAGCTTGTTCAAGTAGGACTGATCACTCCACGTTATAGCAGTCTCACCAAGTCTAGCTACTACACCACGGCAGACAAATATTCAAGGCTTTCGACAATGACAAGCTAGTTTCACGTTGGCTTTCGCTCTGCTGGCAGAATTTGATACAGTAGATCCCGTAACTGGTGCGACCACCTACACTTTTGAATCGAGTCTGTAGCCCCACCGCCAAGAAACACTAGTTCATAATGGTTGGCCTTTCCTGGACCACTTCGAGAATTGGACGTGTATTGCTTCTTACATATATTACGCCGTGTTCTCATTCACGTAAAATTCGAAACATCCGACACCTTTGTGCCCCGCCTCAGGCAACCACCCGGGAGAAGGCTTCGGACTACGTCGAGAGACTGCCAATGGACCCCGACGAGGCTTGCGTTTTTAATTCTCAAGGTAGCAAGTTGGGAATGGCAGGCCATGACACGCCCCTTTCCAGGGCACAACCATGGCTTGGCAGGTGTCCACACACCCTCGGGTCAAATGAGGCCAGCGTGTTTTCTGGAGCCCCGGGCCAGCCTGTCATGGAAAGCCATGCTCCTCACCCTCTGAAGGATAAAGTGGCTATCCCGCGGGGGTTAGGCCCCGGAATTCCGACTTCGAACAAGAGAGTCAACCGGGCATGTGACTCTTGTCGTGAACAGAAGGCAAAATGTAGTGGCCATCGACCCGCATGCCAAAGGTGCCGTCAAAGCGACATTACGTGCATCTACGCAGATAAGAAGCGAGAGAGAGATGCCAAGTTTAGTAGCATGGCCTCTAGAATTGCTTGATCATGAATTGCTGACGTTTTATCTAGGCAATCGGCCGATCTCCGGTCTCGGATACGGGAGTACGAGGAGCTTCTACGTACCCTGCATCCTCGTCTCGATCGTCAAATGGCCACGGAGGTTGAGAAGGTTATTGGTGGAGTAGGAGACCAGGATAGATCCTTTCCCCTCGGAGGATCTGGCGGCACTCAGCTTCCAGCCACGTCTCCGATGACCCCAAGACCGAGCACGGTAAAAGAGGGCCAGCAAGCAAAAAACAACCCTGTACAACCGACTGATCACACCACTGAGGACCTCAACCGGGACGGGGATACTCGAGCGACGGGATTGGTGGGTAGGCCATCAGAGATAGCATGGCTGAATACTCTACAAACGGAACCAAACACGCACAGCAAAATTGCACGTTCTTCGGGCCGGTCAGGATATCTCCCACCTTTGTCTACAAATTACTTTCTCGACAACATGCAAATACTTGTTCCAGACTTGAATGACTATCCGGACAGGCCCTCGAAAGACGCTGCTACTCAACTTGTGGGAAGCTATTTTCAAAACGTGCACGCTTCGTTTCCCTTCGTTGGGAAACCAATTTTTTTGGAACAATTTCGCTGTTATTATGCGAATTCTGGCGCGCAACCTGGTAGGAAATGGATGGCAGTGTTGAATCTCATATTCGCTATCGCTTCACGACACAGCTCTCTCGTGAAAAAGGAATCCGGAGCCGATATGTCCTACTTCACACGAGCCTGGAAGCTCTACGCGGGGGGCTTCGCTGTATTAGACCGCCCGAGTCTACAACAGGTACAGATCGAGTCACTTATATCGCTATACCTCCTTTCGCTAGGTCACATCAATAGGTAAGTTCTTTACCCACCGCATCCAAATAACCAGGGACTGATGGTGAGCAGGGCCTGGCGAATGTGTAGCATAGCAATACGATCAGCAGTGGCCATTGGGGTACATCTTCGTACTGAAAACGCGGCCATTTCTAGCATATCTAAGGAGACAAGGTATCGCCTTTGGTGGGCGTTATACTCATTAGACGTTCAGTTATGCTTAATGACTGGACGGCCGCTCAACATGGACCTGAGATACTGTACAACGCCTCTTCCTGTGCCTTATCATGAGGAAGACTTTCTAGATGGCCGTGTTGCACAAATTATTGCAAACGAAGATATCAGGAAGGCTCTGGTATCATTCCTCATTCCTCGTGCGGCCAAACCAGACAGTGGAGATCAGCAACGTTTTGCACGTTCCCTTCCCTCGGCTGTGATGGAAGGAGGTGAAAACGATCCAGACGTGTCCTCTGTGCCGGAAAGTATCAAGCCCAACACATCACTATACTTCTTGTGCCGTGTAGGCTTGGCTTGCATTGGCAGAACCGCCATGGACGAAATCCACTCTTCTAGCACCGCGTTGCTTTCGTGGGATGAGGTAGAGACTTCAATCACCCGAAATAACGCATCCGCCGATGGCTGGTTGGCCCAACTACCGTCATACTACAACTTTGACAAGTCATCGCCCAATTGCCCATTTGTTCGTCAGCGCACTAGCCTAGCATTTCGGTTCTACTCTATCAAGCTCATTATTCTAGAACCTTGCTTGCGCCGCGTGATCAGGGTATCCACTGAGGGCCCTTGTAGCGTCCACTGCCAGACCATGGCCGCTATATGCATGCAGGTAGCACGGAGTGTCCTCGACATTCTACCCGACGAACCAGATGTTTCCTGGCTATATGAGTATTGCCCCTGGTGGTCCATTCTCCATTATATTATGCAATGTTCCACCATCCTCATGGTCAGTCTTGCTGGTCAAGTTGAACTTGGCTCTATACGACTTGAAGAAACAGTGCGCTATATCAGGAAGGCTTGTCGATGGTTACATGAGATGTCCAGGACTGATGACTTTTCCAGACGTGCCTGGAGCATTTTTCTTGAATTAGCTGCATGTCATATCCCGGATTTGGTGCCTCCGACAACTGCACGCTCTTGACATCGTTCTCGAGACGGCTAACTGGTAATTTCACTAACCAGCCTTGCAACAATCGTGCTGCGAATGAACATTACTACAATATTTCAAACAATGAGGATGTTTACTACATATTTCTAGCCCAGGCTCACAGCACCCAGTACGCACATAAACAGGATGTGAAGTTAATTTACGATCCTGAATGAACTTTTGTTGACTCTTCGCCACGCACACCGAACTCTCTTACTGGGTTACAACAGACAATAATAGAAATGGCCGTGCAGGCGAATCGGAAAATAGAATTTAAAATCGAGAAGATTCTATCTTTAGAAAAAGATTATTACAACGTAGCCAAATTCCGGATTAGGGTGGTTTCGGGTACGAGCCGAGAAACAAAGCGTGACTGTCCACGGGGAAGTCCATTTCCTAAATCTACCGTACAGAATTGCAGGGCCGTAAACGCAGCTCTGTTTAGTTTAACAAGAGCTTGAATGTGGCTTGCCAAGCACTTTGTACATTTATGCAATTATTGAACATTCTCTTGTTTGTTCAAGTTCTGGCAGAACTTATGGCAACAGCTATTCAGGCTATTTACGTGGTGATAAAAATGAATACAAACAAGCCCTGATGATATATGAAAGTGTATGTATGGAGAGCATGTCTGAGCGATTTCTATCTACTCACACTTAACTACTGACGGATGTTGGCGCTGTCGTAAGTCTGGGCGCTATCACGAGCATGTCTCACACACTCTAGCATCAAACATGATTGGATTGTTATCAGAGCATTGACATTTGCCAGTGGGTTTGAGTTCAAGTCTGCTAGCTTGATAATACAGATCCTCTTACTCGTAGAAGCCAGCGATGCAGCCGAGCTTGCAGTCATTGTTAGACTTTCAGTTGAGGCTTGCGGTCGAAGCCAAGGACAATTTGGCAGGCACCTCAGTTGTGCTACTTGGTGCTCCGGCATCTTGAGATATAGATGACACAATAGCATCCGTTGCAGCGGTTGACGGACCTATTGATGTCGACGATCGATCCCTTGCTACGGGATCACTCAGAACAGACGACTGAGAAGAGGCACAAGAGCAGCTCTTCTCACTCTGTATAAGTTGGGACCTTTTGCTGGTATTTGCCCTCTGGAATCTCTTCTTTGAAGAACGGGAGGCTACGATAGTAAAATCGCTACAGATAAGGCTAGAACTGTATACGCCTGTTCATTTGTCGGTCGGTGAGCGTTTTCCTACCCTGAGCACTATAGCAAATAATGAGGAACTGACAACGGGAGAGAACATTTTCAACCCCTTCGATACAGGATAGATCGGAATCAGTTTCACCACGTCACTCTCATGAGAATCTTTCTCGAACCCTACTAATCAACTTCTGACTTGGCGCGGTTTGAAGCATCGAATCGTGTTGAAAGGTGCTATCATGTGACAGAGGGTTTCATATCTTACATGAAATACTTTGGCCAAGAGTACCGTCGTTCTCACAGCCCCTTAGCTCGCTTGTTGGCTACTCCCCTCTACATATCCTTAATCTCTTGGCAGCTATGTCAAGTAGAGTTGACGTTAACCCCTTTGGATTAGTTCGTGTTAAAAGAATTTGAGAAGATCGTTTTGGAGATCAATGTTTAAAGCATATATATACGTGTACATATAATATTTCAATTGTCTAGCTTCATCAGCTTTTATATCAAGGCCATCATAATCTTGAGATTAATCTTGCTGTTAAATATCTTGAATCTGATGCCAGCTTAGTATATTTCCAAATGAATTTGTTTCATAATCATGTAGCCCAGACAATAGTTGCTCTATCCGCGGAGAACCGGAGACTTCTTGTAAGCAAGGGAGTCTGACCTCATTGGTGCGGCAAAAAGTTCCAGCCAATGATACTGCGTCTATCGGCGACAGCCAAGATGCCTTGAGCAAAGCACCTATACACATCAAGCGCCCCATGCAATCGATCACAGGGCTTCAGAGGACTTGTCAACCGTCGCTCTTGGCTGCTGTTTATAGACCCTCCGGCTCTGCCATCCCCCCTTCAACTTCCTTTAACAAAATTGGCCTTGACCGCCGCTTTGTTTGCACCATGAGTTGGCGAGCGCAGGCTGACTTGTGTACTCCCGATGACTTCCAGTTCGACATTCCAGCCGATCAGGTGACTCTCTTCCCTTCGAACTTGCCCGGGTTTGATAATGTCTCATTTCAATTGCCGGAATCCGTGCGCAGCTGGACCAAACCTCCAATTTCCCAAGAAGTCAACGGAGGGAAATATTCGATCCGGCTGAACGTCGAGGAGCCGCGTCTTCCTAAAGTTCCAATACCCCGAGCAACAAACCAAATGAACGCCGTCACGCCTGGCCGAGTGAAACAGGCGTGCCAGTCTTGCCGAGAACAGAAGGCGAAATGTAGTGGCCACAGGCCTCAATGCCGTAGATGCGAAGAGAATTCCTTGTTCTGCGTTTATGAAGACCGCGAGCGGTTCAAGATGACCAAGTAGGTCAGTTTGCACAGCACCTGAATGTCAATCTTTAACCAGAAGATATTAGACAACTCCACAGTCTTGCAAACCAAGTTCAAACCTACGAATCTCTTTTACGAGAAATCTATCCCAAGCTTGGCTTTGAGGTTGCAAACAGCGTTGATCATGTTTTCGGCTCCAAATATCGTGATCATCCCCGCCTGGAAAAAGTCAATTCACTTTCAGCATCTATAGGAGGAAATTTTGTTAACAATGATTGAATACAGGATAGCCTATCATCATCTAAAGATCCAGCTCACGTATTTCATGAAGCTGATTGCCAAGGTGGCTCCGACGCGTCTTTACCTGCCGTTGTTGCTTACTGCACCACCGAGAATTACAATCAGAAGGGGGAAAGCCAGGCCATGGGATATGTGGGCGACCACTCTGCGATGAAGTGGCTGTACAGACTGAAGTGTCATCTTGATGATAATAACCGAAACTCCAATGTTAAAGACGATTCTTACGACAACTTTGACTTTGCCCGAGGCAAGTTTTCTTCTGTGAACTATTATTTGGATGACGTGAAACTTCGGTTCCCAGAGGATGCGGACATCTCGCGACGGCCCCCACAAACAATTGCCGACCATCTGGTTTCGGCTTATTTTGGCGTTACGCACGTGTACTTCCCCTTCATCAGGAAAGAAATTTTTTAAGTCAGTATCGATCATTTTATTCTGATCAAACAGCAAAACCAGGGAGAAGATGGTTGGCTATCTTCAATTTGGTTCTAGCTGTCGCAGCAGCGCAGTCTTGTGCGATGAGTAAGGGAACTCTACCTGAGTCCCCAGAAGTTCAGGAATGTAACGCGCATAACACATTTTTTGGACGTGGGTGGAATTTGGCCTTGACCGACTCTGTGTTGGAACCTTCAAATCTTCAACAGGTGCAGGTGGAGGGGTTGGCATCCCTCTACCTGCTTTCCGCTGGACATGCAATTAGGTTAGTTCTTTGATCCTGCCTACGTCGGTTGTTATTATGGATGGTATCTAAGAAATTTGAACAGGGCATGGAAGCTTTGTGGCGTTGCAACCCGGTCAGCGATAACAATGGGACTCCACCTTCGCTCTGAGAGTAACACGATATCGCCAATATCTAAACAAAGCCGGTATCAACTGTGGTGGGCGCTACAGATGCTAGATACTAAGTTGTGTGCAACGATTGGCCGGCCGTTGAGCATGGACATAGCTTTCTTCACTACTCCTGCACCATCGCCGTATGGTGATATGGACCTTTCCGAAGAAACGTCGACACCGATTGATCTTCGTATGATAAGTGCAGATCTATTAGCAAGCGACGATTTTTCTCATCCTACACTATTTGAAAGTCCGACGTATCAGGCGCTTCCCTTGCGGCGCACTTCGCATGCGGAAACCAGAGGGGAGCCCAACCCGCAGAAAGCAGTGGGCAAGCTCATGACTACTAACTCTCTACGCTTCATTTATGCTATTCAGCTAAACCATATCATGAGACAAGCCATTATTGGAATTTACACGACAAGCGCTCGGAAGTCACGGCAGCATTTGGAATCCGTCATACGTTCCTTAAACAGCTCCGCTGACCACTGGCTGTCCAGTCTTCCTTCCACATGCGGCTTTTTGAGAACAGAAGCGGCGGATCAGCTTGATTGTCATCGCACGAGTCTCGCCTTTTCTTTCTATTGCACCAAAATTCTGATTCTACAACCGTGTCTGCACATTGCTACATGTCAATCCTCCGACAAGAATCTGCCGAACTCTTTTTGTGCTTCTATGGCGGCTTTGTGCATACGAATGGCGAAAGAAACAATTGATATCTTCCCTGACGAGCCAGATACAGCTTGGCTCTCCACGTCGTGTCCGTGGTGGTGCGCTCTACATTATCTCATGCAGTCCACGGCCATTCTGATGATTGCACTATTCAAAGGAACGCAAATAATCACGGCCGATGCAATCAATGTCCAGTTTAAGGTGCATAAGGCTGTGCGATGGTTGAGGGCCATGTCTATCGGGGATCCCGTAGCGCAGAAAGCGAGTAATCTCTGCCAGGATATTCTTGCTAACCACAGCGTGGGGGCTGCCGTTTGCCAGTAAGGCATTTGGAAATATTTGCAGGAAACTATGTCGTCTGTTTTCAATAGTGCACTCGGCCTTCACCATGTTCGGTTCCTCTGACTTTCCTGGAGGCTGATGGGTACTGTAACTGCGTTGGTCAAGCCACGTTTATCTCCAATTTGAAGCCCATGGTTATTGCCACGAAATTGATATCGATGACCTGATTAAATAAACGTGCCTTGTTTGTAGTTCATGAGAAGGGCCCGTTATGTGGTTCTGAGCTGAAGAAGGGGAACCCCCTGTGTGGGTGGATCAGCTCGTTTCCAGGAATCGAGCCGACCCGAGCCAGAACCCTCAAATGAACACAGCATGATAGGTTAGCCAGCTCCAGCCAGATAAAAAGCAAGCTTGGAGACTATAGTTTCAAATACGCGAATGGACAATGCTGGAACGCATTTGGGTCGTTGCTAGGGCGAAACAAACGTATGATTTCCAGCCTAGCAACCGCCTTTTTTGACGTCCACAGATTTGAGTGGGCCTCCAAGCTCCCAGGAAACTGCTAGATCGACAGGTCACGTGCATTTCCTAATACCTAGCATACCCCCAGACTTTTAGCTCGGAGTCACTGGTGACGCGCGCTTCGCACGCTGATGCCCTGAAACGATGAAAAGGAAAGGCAGGTACAAGAAGCTAAAGTCATATATAATTGCTAACTTTAAAATAGGCTGTCGTAAGAATGATAATATTTTTAGATCTAGATCTAAAGTACTAACTTAATTATAAATACATACCTTAAATGGCTTGAGATTTTTGTTGAATGTACTTGCTATGATTACTAGTATATGCCCCTGACACAGCCTCAATATTGTGATCATCCTGAATTTCGCTCTCGCATTGTTACCTTCTCCATAATTGGTAGCCTCGTCGCCAATCATTTACAAAATGGGTTGGTTGATCGGGCGCTCAGCCGCAATAAAACGCAGGGATCGCGAGTCTTTGCCAAGAGGGCTAAAAACAAGTAGAAGAGCCCCCATCCCCCACCTTCGCCTCTCAGCATAATTTAGCCTTCCAGTGTTTCGCAATGAAAAACCCCGTTCCCTTGCCGGGGAAGCGCGAAGTACGCAACATATGGGCCTGGGCTCGTTCTCTAGCCACTTCGCAGCGCTACGATGGGGCAGCAGACAGTGATCCACACGATACCGAGCTCCTCGTACTTCCCAGCCAACAGTCGCTGGCTTCCGTCTCGAAAACCACGACAAAAGAGCGAACCGTCCAAGATCAGACTCTTGACACTCCTATGTTAGGTGAAGCAACAGCTAGTACCGACGAACACAGAGACATTCCAGCAAATGTTTTGGAAAATAACAGTCCTAACAAATCAAGACCCTCCTGGATTAAAGGTGTATACCTCTGTGGATACGCGACTGCCGGCCTCCTACTATCAAATGTCATATTTGTTTCCGTGACTGGCGGATTATCTTCCAAATTCCCGGGAACAGGAGGATCCTCGAATTCAAAAGTGATATATGACGGTTCTTGTGACGTGACAGGTCGGTGGAACACAGGTCTCCACATTATAATCAACATTATCAGCACCTGCACTCTTGCAACAAGCAATTATTGCATGCAGACTCTTGTCGCCCCAACTAGAGACGAAATTAACATAGCCCACGCAAAACGCCGCTGGCTTGACATTGGAGGTTCCAGTTTTAGAAACATCTTCGCTATATCGTATGCCCGACTCGGTCTGTGGATAGTCTTGCTACTTACTGCCACGCCATTTCATCTACTGTATGGAGGTATGTCTATTGTTCTATTTACAGCGTACTAATGTCGCCTTAGTTATAACTCACTCGTGTTTGAGAGCCTAACTTACAACCATTACTGGTCCTTCGCCGCCCCATATGATTTTACGCCTGAAGACGTGCGAAATCTCACGACTCCCGCCTTGCATGATTGTTTTGGGATAGGCGCGGGGGACTTAGCGGGTACAAGTCTAGATTCAGACAAAAGATTCGACTGGAACCAACAAATTCTTCAGATTGAAGGATCAAAGACTGAGAGGATCTCCGCCGAGAAATGCTACGGAAAAACATCTATAACCAATGGCCTATCCGGCTACAGAGGGATAATTCTCCTAACGAGCAACCGAAGTATGAGCGATGGCGGAACTGAGTCTGTCCTTGGAATTGAGAACTGGAGCCACCCCGGCGAAGTTTGGGCCGCTCCGTTTGTGAATTCGGATCCCAGAAACATACAGGATCATGAATGCACAACCTATGATGCATTCCTCCACCTTGAATACTACAAAAAAGACACAATGCACGTAACGGAGTGCCTGGCATTCGAGGGAAAAAGCAATTGCCAACTGTTTTACAACCCTATTATCGCTGTGATCATTATTGTTGCCACCTTCGTCAAAGTTATTGCGATCTTCCTGGCCGCCCAACTTCATAAATCTCGATCAACCCCTCTTCTTACGTCAGGTGATGCGATAGCTTCATTCCTGGAGGACCCAGATGAGACTACGAAAGGCATGTGTTGGGCATCGCTGAACAGCACCAAACAGAGAAACTGGATAACATGTCCGAAAGGACAGGAACCACAACGGCGGGCCGTAAGATACCAACGTCTCACCAGGCCTCAGCAGTGGAGAAGAGCATCTAGTCCAATACATTGGTTTGTAACAGTGTTGATGTGAGCCACTTGAACCCGATACGCAACCTGAATGCCTAGAAGCTAAACAAAATTAAGCGTCCTTATCTGCATTGTGACCACCACTTTGATATACCCGTTCTTTGCTGTGGACTCAATGAATGGCGTGGGAACCGACGAACTTACATGGCAAGCAATCTGGGACTTGGACTCCATGGCAAGAAAAAATGCTATTACTGCCTCTGGTTCGAAAAACTATTCAGAACTCCAAGGTGTGGTGATTGCGAATAGCGCCCAATTGGTAGTCACGCTCTGCTATTATTTCTATAATAGTCTGCTTACAAGGATGTTATTGAGTGCGGAGTATAGCTCTTATGGGGTTAACAGGAAGCCACTTCGCGTCACTTGGCCTGTTGAGGGTAGCAAGCAGCGTTCAACCTATTGGCTATCTATCCCATACCGATATGGACTTCCAGCGATGGCCCTATTCACAATACTCCATTGGCTTGTCTCGCAGGGAATCTATTTTGTTCTGGCTTTTCCTTACGATGCAGACGGCAATCTACTATACGCGCAGAAGGAAAGCGCACCAAAAATGTCATATATGCCTTTAATATGCGCTGGTGCCCTTCTTGGTGTCCTGGGTATCATGATTATTGGCGTGTCATTCCGGAGACTCAAGTCAGCAATACCTCTCGCGGGAACTTGCAGTGCTGCTATAAGCGCAGCCTGCCATCCGCCCGAGAACGTTCGTACAGACACCGTGACGCACGGTGAGCTGATGTGGGGAGAGACCGATCTGCCATGGGCCTTGGACAGCGGGGATGATGATGAAAGCGATGGCCCAAAGGGACATTGCAGTTTCACCCCATCAGAAGCAAGGCAGCCTTCTTTGGACAAGTTATACGCCTAGATCACAGTGTATCTTGCCCCTACGCTGATAATACACTCCTCTACTGGTAGATTCGATGACCCTTCACCTATTGCGCATTATTTTGTTACAACACCAAATTAAATACCATGTCATAATTAATCAAAAGGCGTTTCTTCCAGGCAATTTACTTGTCGTTCGCCAGATCAGGAATATTGGTAGATGGGCGACGTTGAAATATAACTGAGAGCCCGAAAGGTTTAGACTTCATGTATACCCACCCATGCCGGATTGTGAGAAAGACCGGGCCCGTAATCTAAAAGCAGCTAGTAGAAAAGAAGAAGCGGATATAGGATTGGCTCGGAGGATGTGAGGGTTTCACGTATACGTAGATGAGGACAGCATCTTCGTTGAATAACCAGTATTAAGAAAAGCTATTTTCAACTCCAGATACAAGACGTAGCGCGAGGAAGCAAAGAGACAGGCTTCCTCGCGTTCTGGGGAACCCATATGCGCCATGTGGGCCCCGCAGGTCATATCTCCAAACATGCTCACGTTTCATGTAACTTAATCTCTCAGCCCCTGCAGTCCACCAATTCATCTGCAGCAAAAGTACGTTCTTCCTCATGGCGACCGTCCTCCGTCCAGGGAGTCCACAGGCCCTAGGCGCGGCAGGTTTGGAGCCAATACCCAACAACGCGCCGGTTCTTGTCAGCGATAAGACTAGGGTCAGCGGAGCAGTCTCAAACCCTGGATTCACGGCATGTTCGATAAAACTGCCAATAGTCCCGATCCGCAACGCCACTTTTCGAGTAAGGCCTGGCCAATATCAAAACCTGATCAATCAGGATGCTGCGGCTAGCAAGAAGAATGTGCGTTTCAATGATACTTCGAAGAAACCCGCTTGTTCTTTCGAGCGGATCCCCCTTTTATCTTTGACATTAAAGTCAGCTCCAACCGGCCGTGGAGCGACCTCAACGGGTTCGACATATAGTAAACATTTTCAGATTAGCCACGGAAAATTTTTTTGCATATTGAACTCTACTCACAGTGCACCTTCGACTTCCCATGTTTTCAAAAGCAATACTGGTGTGGAATGGTAGATTTGGTCTTACGGGTATTACGTCGGGTTGGATTGGATGTGGGGCCGGCTCTAATACCATCCAATCAAACCGCGATATCTGAGGCCGTATAAAATACGAATAATTTTAGTTTCTGTTAAAATCCTTATATTTCTATAATTATTGAATTTATATATTCAAGTGTATATGCCTAATAAGTATTGGACTTTCCTATTTTCATAAAATTTTTATATCTTTTAAATATTGGGGACGCGCGCTGCTGCACGCAGTTGCCCTCAAAATGAGACAGAAAGACGAGCACTTGAGGGCACGCAACACGTGAGGGGACAAGTACCAGACCAATGAGAGCGAGGCTTGGCGCGAAATTTGGCTGTGTTTCTCGCAGCGTCTACTCCGCCTTCAAGTCAGCCTCGCGCAGACCGGCGGTTTGTAACCCCTTTCACTCCGTTCCTTCGTTTCAGGGCATTTCATCTGCTCACTGAGCAGAGGGGTGAGCAGAGTGAGCAGTTGGAGGCGCTGGTTGCCCCCTTCAGCGGCCTCCCACTGCTCCCTCCGAAAATACATGTACCCTCCTCCATCGACATCCAGATTTCCCTTCGCAACTTGGTGCCCAGACTGCCTCAAAACTCGAAACATGATATTGAGCAAATCACTGATTGCCTCCCAAATTGCTAAAGCTGCTGAATGTCGTAAGCGTTCTATCACCAACATCAGCAGCAACCTCCGCCGGTTCGGGAATTTCAAAGCACCCCAGCTCGAGTGGGTCGACGACTAAGCATAACATCTCCGATGATAGAAGTTCACTATGTGATCGCGTCCTCAGAAAAGCTCGGGCTATATATGGACGAAATGGCAATCATTTTATGGGATACGTTCCGTGTCCAGGTCACAAATTCGAGCCTTAGGGCGCTTGCTTCGGTGGGTTAGTCGAAGAAGGTGGCTCGACACAGTGCAAAGGAACAGAACGCGGATTTACGAGATTTCTATGTATATAACCTGTCGGATCTTCAGTCATATCACTTGGTCAACGTGGATGAGTCTGGATGTGATAAACGGATTGGGTTCCGATAGACAGGTTGGTCTCCGTTACGGACGGACCATTGCAGGTAGCCAACTTTCATCGCGACCAGCGGTACCAGATACTGCCCGCATATTGCCATGATGGAATTGTGCTCTCTCGTATATTTCAGGGCTCCACGGAGGCTGGAATCTTCGAAGACTTCGTTGATCAGCTTCTTCGGCATTGTGGAAGATGGCCTGAGCCAATGTGCGTTCTAGTTATGGACAACGCATCTTTCCATCATTCTTATCGTATCGATGGAAATGTGTACTGAAGCGGGAGTAAAGCTCATGTATCTACCTCCTTACTCACCTGACTTGAATCCTGTCGAGTTCTTCTCGGAATTGATTCATTAGACGGAACTGGGTGCGGTAGGGAGAAGGCCCAGAACAAGGGTTCCAAATTTTCCTTGAGTGGTGTATAGAGGTTGTTCGATTTCGAAAGCAGAGTGTTCTGGGTCATTTCCGATATGCTGGCGTGGTCGTTGGCACTTACTAGTTGATAGTGCTTGAGGTGTCGTGGCGTTAGGCCTTGGAGTGACAGAAAAAGTATATGTACAGTTACCCCCAACATACTCATGCTTTTTCTCCTAGTGCCTAATCCTAACGCGCTAAACTGAATCCTGTCAGGAAAAACCGACCGACTATTCTTGATGTATTTTCGGTAGATCGCCAAAGGTACCGTAAATACGATTTCTCGGCACGGGGACAATATTCCTCCGTAGACATCCAAAGTTGATTTTAGCTTTACAGCGATCGTAACAGTTTTGTGGACCCTTCAGGCTTTTGCCCTTCTGAAACCTAAGAAACTGGTGCACTGTGAATACGATGTTCCTGCATTCCATAGTACGCAGACAGAAGGCAAGTTCATCCCTTCACTTGACGTCGACCTTATCAACTAATCACTTCCTAGAAAATCATGGAAATAAGTGAGCTCAATTCCAAGCTCAAAGAAGTATTTGATATGGCTGTCTTCTCCCAATTACTGGAGATGGATGAGGAAAAAGATCGAAAGATTAGCTCAACGGCGCTCTACAGTTTCATTGAGAAGGGCGAACAGCAGGTGGACGTTATGGAATACTACCTGTAAGCCCACGTACCCCATGCAAGCCTACCTAAACCTCCTACCATAGGCAGAATGCACGACCCAGGGCCATTTTTGAGGTGAACAGGCAATCTAATGAATACATCCCAAATGGCAGGTCAAAAAGAGACTTCATTTCTCTAATTTCTGTTAGCGAATCACTTCAACAATGCGCCGCAGCGATGGGCTTCTACAAAGTCCATGAGAGCTGTGGAAACATTCGACGAGCCAGTGCGATGATAAATCGACATAGTCAGGTTGCAGAGACAGCCCAGGTGGACTTTCTTAGGTTCATCAAGAAGGAAATTGGAACTTTAAGTGATACCGTACTGTATGCCCGCGCAACAATCGATTTGTTTTATGAGGCAAACTAGCTGCAATTTACGAGAGAAGCTGGAACCGGTGTCAACTTTTGCCGGCTAATGCTCAATACGATAGCATCTCCCCACGAACAGAAGAATATATTTAAGCGAAGAGGCCACCAGTGTCGAGCGTAGTTGGACTCCGTATCTATCGAATAAGATATGAGGCGGATTGGAGATTTCAAAAGAGAGACAGCCAGGGAGGGGGAATCCTGGCTGGGGCCCACAATTTGGACCCGCCAAGACGCCAAGGGTCAAATATCCGACCGAACCCATGACCCTCTTAGGTGAAATTTCAAGGTATGCTTCGAAACCGTTATTTCAAAGTCCTTGGCGGGTCGCAGGTCGAGGGAATAGACCCTCTGGCCTTCCCTAGTCAGGTCTAGCTCGGCACTGGCCCAGGGGTTCGCAAAAATGATCACGACCGATGTAAAGCAAAAAAATCACGTTAGGCTATGTTTGGCCAGTACCGGAACCTATAATTACGGTAGTTGGGTTACGAGAGATACAGTGGTGAATCATAATTTAAGTATTTGACCTCTGGTACTTCGTCCTTGACCACTGTACAACAAGAAAAGACAGCAGGGATTTCTCTGGCCGAATTCAGTTTAGCGCGTCCGGAGTGGGGCGCTGGGACGGAAAGCATGAGTGTGTGGGGGTAAACTGTATTCGAATTCGAATTCTGCTCTACTACAGTGGTATCCGAATTCGGTTTTGCCTCTAATCTCTCTACTTTATTTCCTCAGAACCTCACCCAAATTGAACTGGCCCGTATTAGGATATCTTTCCGTGAGCCTTGAACCTTCCGTGAGTCTGCGTAAATTACGGTTATTGCATCACCCCGGCAACCTAAACTTGCCACCGTTTTTAATGTTACGCCACTCACCCCGAAGCCTTCCCTGACGTTTCTCTTTCTCTCGGCTTCCCGTTTGCCGTTAGTGCGGGTTCTAGACAGGGTCGAATTGCACCGCTTCTAAGCCTAAAATGACCTAGAACATCACTAGACACTTATCATTCGCTACCATCTCACTACTGAATTTCACCACTTTGCGCCTCTCTTATCTCAAGGTGAATTGCCTTGTAAGACAGACTGCTCCTTGTCCTTCTAGAGTAATCTTATGCATGCACACTAGCCACCCCATTTCAATGCCTACCAGGTCCCTCCACAATGACCAGTTCCGACTCCAGCAATTCGTCAATGGGCGTTTCGAAAGACCCGACAAAGCCAAATGATCTTCAATCTAAGCCTTACATGCAAGCCTGGCGGCCGACGCTCGATGAAGTGCTGAATAACACCACCCCTCCACCGTACACGCTCAACGAATTCGTAAAATACCTCTCCAAAAACCATTGCCTCGAGACCCTAGAGTTTATTCTCGAAGCGAGGCGATATCGCGCAAGCTACAAGTCATTAGTGGAAGCAGCAGGGGAGTCTACAGTGACAACCAACTCATCGTCAAGCGTCAATCTGAGAATGCTCTATCAGCTTCTCCTGACGACGTACATTCTCCCCGGGGCGGCCCGTGAGGTCAACCTGTCTGTCAACGTACGTGATGCCCTCTTGCGACACAAAAATATGTCGACACCACCACTACCTGAGACGCTTGACCCCGCCGTGAAAAACATTCACGACCTGATGGAGGATTCAATCTTCGTTTCGTTCCTGAACAGCCCCTCCACCTTTGTTCACCTAGACCCAACGTTGAAGCCGTCCAATCAAGACGATAGTAGATCTTACCTCTCGTGTATGATCTCGGACAACCAGTCAACGAAGCCAGTGCAAACTAAGCGCCCATCGCTTAATCCACTTGGAAGGGCTTTGTCATGGCCTCCGTGGAGTCGATAGGGGCGAGTGAACCTTGCTCACTACTGCATATATAAGTAACATCCGGCCATGCGAGTGTCACCGGCAACACAGCCTTGCGAGTCCTGCTGCCGCGGCTTTGGCAGCCCAAAGTCTACACGAATAGGCTCAAGTTCTTAACAACATAGCCCCGGGATCGGTTCTTCCGTTGCCGCGACTTTCGCAAACAAAGGTTACCAGGTCGCCATCGCATCGCGGAAGGGCACCGGCAGCAAGACAAGCGAAGGATTCCTCTCCCTCCCGGCCGACTTCGCTAATCCGGACTCCGTCCCCGCGCTATTCAACGCCGTCAAGAGCACCTTCAACGCAACCCCTAGTGTCGTCGTCTACAACGCGGCGAGTCTCACACCTCCCCCGGACAACGACTCCGTCCTCTCAATCCCGGCTGAGAGCGTGACAGCCGACTTGAACATCAACACCGTCAGCCCCTACGTCGCGGCCCAGCAAGCCGTGCAGGCCTGGGAGGGTCTACCCCAGGACGCCCGGAAGACGTTTATCTACACCGGTAACATGCTGAATGTTACCGTGGTTCCTGTGTCGTGGATGCTGAATCTCGGTATGGGTAAGTCTGCGTCGGCGTACTGGGTTGGTGTAGCTGATACCTTGTATATGCCGCGGGGCTACCGGTATGTTTCTTTCCCATGAAAATATGATTTTGAATTGTTTCTAATATTGTTGACTTTGACTTCGTAGGTTCTTTTGCCGATGAACGTACTGAGAACAGGACGGCCGTAGGTAACGCTCCTGATGGAGCTGCCCATGCGGAGCTTTATACCAAGCTTGCGAGCCATGAGGGGAATGTCCCGTGGCATGCCACGTTTATAAAGGGCAAAGGCTATGTGAAGTTTGATTGATATATTCATCCTAGACTGGTCATTTCATTCAGCTTCATTTGATCGATATGACTTTCATGTGAACCCGTTCATTTCTCAGAAAAGTAATACCAGCTATCATCACACTGGCAACCGGTTCTACAATTGCGTGTTGTCTTTTCACATATGATAGCGGTGTAAGTACCGGAATCAAAGCTGCAGCATATTTCTGGATTGTCAGTTCAATTCTCGCTTGGTTACGTGTCACTGTTTACCTCGTCGAGGAAGCGTTCGGTCAAGGAGCTATCCTTTAAGTTCTTTCCTATGTGCCGCACCCCCTTGGAAATACGACGTCCACTTATAGCGTCAGGAGTTAGGGAGCCCGGCGTTAAATGTGGGATGCCCGGCGTCTCATTTTGGGTGTATGCCGAAGAGATATATATTTATTACTGCGGGCAATATAATACGAATAATACGTAATTTGGACGTTAAGTGACATTTACAGTGACGCAGCAAATGTTTTAACACCCCTCTGAATTTTTAGATTCTGCCGGTCAAAAATTCAATTTTTTTCAACACCCTTTAACTTGTTCCTTAATGAAAATACTTGGCCTTTGTGTATTGAATTGAATTATACCTTCTATGAAAAACACCTACTGAAACAAAAATGTCTAAAATGTAAGATATCATAAATTTGCTCTTCGGTTTACAATAGGCGGTCTCAAAAGCGGTCTGTCCAAGGGTGTTAAAACATTTGCTGTGTCACTGTACCTGTAATATAAAGTTGGCAGAATCTTAGGCAGAAACAAGGGATGGAAGTACCAGTACCAACATTCACAAACAATCCTGCCTTGGACTACAACACTATAAAAAGTGATGGTGTCAGCATATAGGGAACTGAACCAGGACTATAATATCTGTGCCCCTAGGGTATTTCAGAGGGCCGGAAAATGTTAAGCCTAGGGAATAGACATATTTCCTGTAAAGCCGCAATTACCAGGAGGATATGCGAGTCGCACTCAACACAACACCCACCTCGTTCTTGTTGAAATTGTAAGAAGCGGATATATATTTATATATGTAGTGAACGCACCAGAGCTTTAATGTTATATTTTCGCCGTATTTTATAATCGTCTCTGCTGTGACGCAATGGAGGAAATTGCAGAAATAGTCCGCGAGATTGGTCGGCAGCAGGGGGAGAATGCATATTACCGCGCTTGTTATTACTATCTCAAACAGTTGCAAGACTCGGTATCTCAGGCTTCTGATGACTTGTGTCAGTTTTATCAAGAAGCTACGTTCAATCCTTCTTGCGACTCTTGGCCCGCTCACGAAGTGGCCGAAAATTTACGGTGTTCAGTCTATTTACTGGCCGAACAAGAAAGAAAAGCCCAGCTGGCTCTAGTGGAGCTGTACAGTCTGGAGAATGGAGCTTAAAACCAATGAGCTTAAGCTTATGTTGCAAATTGAAACCAAATGTTCCATTTTATGTGAAAGTTTTACACGCATGCATGTTTGTCTAGCGTGCCATTGAACATTTCAATAGCGCCATCACCCCAAATACTTTCTGAACAAGTACCAGAGTTCGCTGGGTGGTCGGCCATTTCGTTGATGGCAACGTTGACACCCCCCCCCCAATTATATATGTCGTTTCTGATCAGGCGATTGGAATGGATTGTGTCGCTTTCCGATGGTGTAATGTAAAGAATAAACTCGGTCGAGGGCCCCAATACAATTGATAAGCTAGAATGCTCCTATTTCTTTTACAAACTCATCTCACTCAATGTTAATAATGTAGAATTACGACCAGCCTCACCAAGCATAAAGGAGATTCGCATCATTCTGTACTAATTCCTCTTTTTGTGAGCCCCGGCAGCGTCTGATGGGCTTTTGCATCTTGGGCCCCATTCCATGGGTCCACTCCTTTTAAACCAACTGATGTGATTGAGTGGTAAAAGCGTCGTGTCAGGTAAGATACAGCACTATAGCACAGGCCGACGTAGGAAGAGAATGGATAATTAGGAGGACATCACAAGTAACCTTTCGCGAACATTAAATGCAACTCACAAGCCATTTTGATTGGTTTGCCTCATCATTCACCGTCGGAAATGGACACATCTAAATGAAGTTCTCCGTTTCCAGTCCCAGCCGCTTCTCCGCGGCCTGTTGAAGATTTTAAATCAATCCGGACCTGACTAAGACGAGTAAAACAGCACTTAACGTTACTCTCTAGCTACAGACAGTGCGATCAAATCTAGTCTCATTAAAGACCTCAATATTTTGTTTCGAGGCGCCATTATTTATTCATGCTGCTGTCCCTCACAATTGTCCCACCTTCTATTCTTGCCACTTTTTCCCTGCCTCGATCCAACCATTCTACCTTTCTATAAATGTAGCCACCAAGGATAGGGTACAAATTTGTAAAGTGTTGGCAATCTAGCCCAAAGTAAAGGTTCGCTCCAATGTTGGCTCATGGTGAAAAACGGCCAATGCTTGTTTTGGTAGCATTGGCGTTGTCGATCTTTGCACTGATACCTCTAGCATTCATTTTCGATGGATGTACATCGACGTCTTCACCTTCTAGTTTCTATTTTATGAAGGTGAGAGGCCATTCAAATGGATCACATGGCATGGTTTGATGAAAGATACAGGTGAACTTAACCGACTTCCCGGAGATAAAAGCGCTCCATATCCGCCGATCGATTAGTGTCAGTGAAATAAGTAGCCCTAACCTAGCTGGTGACACAGCCGATATGGCTGGGACCGCTACAAAGATCGTTGCCAGCAACGTTGCGCAGACCACTAACGCCGCGGAGAGTGAAGCAAACCAAGCCATTGAACATGTGCAATCTTTGACAGACCACTTGAAGTCTCAGTTACCCACTTCCTACACTGTCGGGCTCCGGAGCTATTGCCAGAAAAATCGTGGCTCTACATTCTCCGACTGCTCTGCGGTCAGCAACTCATTTTCATTCGATTTGTTGAGCCTGCTTGGCTCAATTTCCAATGAAGTCGATGCGCTGCTTCCAAGTAAAGTGAAAAAGGTTTTCAAAGAATATCATAAAGCATCACACTTCGCTATCTTGGCATTCATTATTGGAACAACAGCTACTGCTATAGCTGTTACGTTAGAGGCTATTTGGATGGTTTCCCACTGGAAAAACATTGTTCCTTCTCCGACAGCTTCCTGGCGGCTAAGGCTAGTCACAATTTCTTTTTCATCTGTAAGTCTGGCTACAGCCAAAATCTGGAGTTGTATGTTGATGAAAGACCAGCTTGCCTCCATTTTCCTGGTATGCGCATCCGCCACCATAACGGCAATTCACGGGTCCGTTAAGTCGGCCATACAGGATAGTTTACAAAGTTTAGGAGCGCACGCAAGCTTGGGTAGACCTCCGCAAAGCCCATAAATGGGCCCGACCTTTAGGCCCATAGCCCAACCAGCAGTGGGCTGTGGGCCTAACCTCTATAGCCCGCCCCAACCCATAGCCCATGAGTGGGGGCCCATGAGGCCCCCAATATAGCCCATTTCTATGCATAACTACGATCTTGGCGCTCATAAAACCGCTGATTAATGCCTGTTTTTTACGCATGTTCCAGTCTGTAAGCCTTTACAAGGCATACATCGGCCCGACGTTTTACCAGGCCTGATCTAGTATTTCAACTCCCAATCCGGGGGTTCAACTCCCCCAAGAATCAAGATCTCAAGATCCAACGGCGACGACATAGTAATTAAGGTCGTAGATGAAGCCAGCTACAGTAGGCACTATAGTTTACCGGCGTCATCAAAAAACAATCCAATTTCACCAAGTTTTCGTAGTATTCTGGTACTTAGAGAGTTCCAAAGTGTCAACATGTAGAGAGATATATCTCATATAATTAGAAGTAGGTGCATGTTTCTGTTGAACTGTAGATTCAAGGGTCAAATCTATGAATTATAGGTTTATAGAGTTGAAATTTATACCAAAAGATAGCCAATCTCTCAGACTTAACGTCTGTCTTCACAGAAACGTAATATTCTGGGGATTACAGAGATGAGAGAGGTTTGAAGATATCTCATGAGCCATGGGGTGAAATGTTTTGGGCGAACAAATTGTAAAATGGGCGGGGAGATGGGTTATCCATGGACTTTTCTTGGGCTTTGGATGGGCTGAATTCACTGCATATGCATGATCCAGCCAATCAGATGCTAGAATCAAGATATTCCGTTTTAATGTCGACTGCTACGGTGATCTCTGTTTACAATATCTGTTTGCTACGGCGTCGATACGTCGACAGTTCTCTCACTAAGAAGGTATGTCGATTTCTTCCTCCTGAAGCTATTCCCCTGAAGCCCTTCATCCAATTTTGAACCTACTATCAAGTTGTCATCCTGATCATGTCGCAAAGCCAGGAGTTTAGATCCTCCCAGTTGGGCCTGTTCGACACTGAGCCCGACAATTCGTCAATTGCTACGCCTTCTCTTTGCCCAGCTACTCCGTCCACCTCTCGGCAGGTTGATAGCTTCTCGTTCGTTGAGCCGTCTGTTCCTTCGTCTATCGCCCTAGATCCCCTTGAACGCTTCCAACGTGTCGGTCCTGGTAGGAGAGGAGGCCAGTTTTTCCTTTACGACGCGATGAATCACACTGATTGGGTCAACTGGTGGTTGGAGACTGACTATGGATCTAAAAACAAGATCGCTTGGGAGTCACAGCATGGCTCCGCTTCGGAGACCTGGAAACAGTTTGAGCAAGTGGCCCATACGGCGACTGGAAACCCAAAGGTCTTGTGTAAGCGTTGCGATGCAATTCTTGAGCACCCTTATACTACTAAGAAGGATGCCAATGGGAGGGTTGGTCGTCATGGCACGACAACAATTACCCGTCATCTTCAGACCCCAGCCTGCCAAAAGGCTACAAGTGGACGCCGGCAGAGGGCTGAATTGACGAGGTTCCTTCAAACGGTATACTATCATACCTAGCTCTACTAGACCCTACTAACTAGCATCATGATCAGGGTAGTCATAGCCAGACATTCTCGCAAGAAGGTTTTGAGAGTAAAAT